ATTCATCGGCTCCGTAGCCCTAGCATTCTGCTAAACACATCTGACTGCTTCACCACGCGGGGCAGACTGTCTATGGTGTTGTTCCTCTTGCGCCGTTTGCAATTCTCCTTTTCTGCGGCATCAATCAAGGAAGACTGGTGAGCTGTTGTTGAAGCTACTTTGGAAGCAGAGCCGCGACGACGGGTGAAGATGTCGTCGTTGCTCCGGGGGCTTTGGCTCCGCCTGTGGAAGCGGAAGAAGGAGAGGGCGGGAGATTCCAGCGGAGAGGATTCATCGTCTGTGCAGTCTGTGTCGGAATCGTACTCGAAGACGGAGACGGGGAGTGGCTCTGGGGGAGGGCGGCGGAGTTGGGTGGTGGATTTATAGGGGCGGATGATGTGGTTTGGCGGTTGAAGTTGTTGTTGTTGTTGGGTATGGCTGGGTTGAGAGAGATTTGAGGATCGGTGGGTGAGATGAGGGGCTTTTGGACAGTTTGCTGGGAGGGCTGGTAACGGCGCTGTTGGCGGAGGAGAGGGATACGGATAGTCCATGGGGCTGGATGGTCGTGAGCCGTGAGATGTAGCTGGACGCTGGAATGCCTTTAGGGAGGCGGGTGAGATGGCCCTGGGGTGAGGGCTTCCCGGACGGCTGTAGAGAGATGCTGGTGGATGGGGAGGAGGAGGAGTCTGTTGGAGAGGACAGCGGGCGTCTATTTCCGGGAGACGGTTCTCGCAAGCACTGGTAGGGAGTTGGGAACTCGAGCTTGGCCGTGTACATGCTGGCGACGAGATGTTGACAATCTTTGGGAATGCCGAATAAGTTGGTGATGGTTTTCGTGTATGGTTTGATCGCGGATGTTGGTCAGAGAGCGGCCAGCCATTGCTTGCCTGAGATCTAGGGCCTTGTGGACGTCTTCTGGAGCGCTGAGGCGAGGATATCAGCGCTGGATAGTCCTTCTCCGGGACTTGAGGAGGAGCACGGCTGGGAGCCGTAGAAGCAGGATCAATTGCTGCAGTAGCCATGATGAAAGGTTTCTTCTCGTGACTGTCCTCAAGCTGTTGATATTGATGCTGTCCGGACATCCAGAAGCTGTCCCAGAGCTCGTTGGCGTGTGTGTGGTAGCGATAGTCATCGACGTCGGCCGAGGCTTCAGAGTCGGTGCGGTCGTCGACCAGGCTGGGCGCCGATGATAAAGGACTTGACTCTGAGTCCACGGACGACCGCTCGACGTCTTCAAAGTAGGACCAACACTTTGATGACGACGGCCTTCGGCTGTTGCAAGGGGTTGGGGCGCCCTCGCTGCGAGGGTACGAGTAGTTTGCCACGGCCGGATAGTATTTGGATACGAGGGTGAGAGGAGCGAGTTTGCTTGACCTCTCCATGGTGCGGGTTGGTGACATGGGGGGACTTGAACGAGGAACAGGCAGTCGGACGAGGAAGAAGGAGTGTCAATGCGTCGTATAAGGGAAAAAAAATTGCCATGCCCTGAGACTTGATATGGGATTCAAAGCAAGGGGAAAAGTGGTATGATATACAAACTAGCCTGATGTCTGTGAACGAGTGGTTCAGAAAGTGGAAGTAGTATTAGATAGCTTGAAGTATGTGTTTAGCATGCAATAAACGGATGCTGAAGAAAGAAAGATAAAAGGTCAACAAGACATGCATAGCAGACGCAGGACACACTTTTTCGATGAGACGAGACATGGCTTTATGTGGAGCAGACTTACCCCATATAGAGAGCAGCACTATCGAGTGCCTCTCCTTTTTTTTTTCTTTGGGGGGGTCTCTCCTTTTCTTTCGTTTTTCTCTAGAGCTACTTTTGGCGTAGCAAATGTCTAAGTTGGGTGGATGGGAGGAGAGTTTGCGCGCGCGCGCTCGCCCTTGATACGGGTAGAGGAGCATTCCTTGCTTGGGCCTAGCATATGGGGCGGATACTCTGGCTGGGAGACGTGAGAGACGTGGTCGATTAGCTACCTACCTTGGTACTGTATATTTTTTCTTTGTTTCTCGATCTAAACTCTTTTGTGGATATGTTTGCTTTTTTGGCATTCTGGCTGGGGGCTTGCGGCGTGGCTTGGTGGGATGGGGAAATGCAAGGGATGATTCATTTGGGTATAGGAGATGATGACTGAGCTGAGAGTTTTAAAAAGTGCCATGCTGGATTATATGACTGGGTAGATGGGGAATATTGTCGGCTTGTTGATGATTGGAATAGATGAATAATCGCAGCGGGAGGTCATCCCGTGTGATCTACATAGACAACAGCCCTGTGAGGAGTAGATGGATGGTAAAGACGGAACACCGGTAGAGTTTCTGCTCTGATTTACTCATGGTGGCAAGCCACGCAGGGGAGGAATTCCGCCAAAGAGAGAGAGAGAGATCGACGCTGTTTGTGATGTTGCTACTGGTGCCCCTGGCGACGAAGATGCTACTGGCTTCAAGCTGGAGCTTTCAGCTGAAAAATGAATCCTTCTCGGCATCACCGTAAGCGTCTCTGGAATTGTTATCCAGCTGAACTTGAAGCAAGCAAGCAAACATGGTTGATGACGACGCAATGTCAGCTACCTACTGCCAAATACGCACAATCTGTCATGTACCTAGTAGTATATGGCGAACAAACTTTGTTATAGAGGGGGTTACCAATAGATTGGCACATGTATTGTCGACCATGTAGGAAAATATACGTATCGAGCAATACTACTGCAATGAAGTAGCAGTACTACGATCAAGGCTCTCGACGAGGGATAATCCCTGTCTGCCTCTTTTTTCCACTTACTCGATTTTCCTCCCTTGTTGCCCTTTTCTGTCTTATATGCAGTCTTATCCGATCAGCTTAGAAACTGCGCCAGTGCGCCTAGTATCCCGGTCGATCGGGGGGGTCCTGCTCGACAAGGGTCGTATGCCAGGTATGGGAAAGGCTTGGGTCAAAATGCGAGTCTCAGCTGAGACCTGCATGACTGGATTGCCATGGTGTAAAACTCTATTGGGCCCGGGTCTCTTCCGTGCGCCGCGAGAAATGGAGGAGGGCTGGTCATGGTCGTTGTATAAAAGAACTGCATATGTTAGTACACAATACCATTGCTATAAGACTTCTGTACTGTATGAGAAGCAAAAACAACGGCGACCATCCGGGGGGACTGGAGCAAGCGAGTATAGCTGACTCCTTGGGGGGCCATGCTCACTGGAGTGCAAAGGAACTAGGAATAGCAGATTCATATATTTTCCCATGCCAAAAGCGCATCCATCCTCAAAAATAGCTTCGATCTGCACCGGCCTCCCCAGCAACAAAGAGCTTCTCCCGTTCTACCAGCCCGTCGTTTAGGCCGGTTGTACCAGCGACACGGCGTGGGCAATCGGGCCATCTACACGTGGGACAAAGAGCGGCTCTTGGTGGCATACCGTGTGAAAAAAGTGCCCAGATCTGAAGAATGCAAGATGCTAATCTCCATGGCTACGAACGTGGGCTGGCTGAGATTCGCAATTCCTGGCAAGGGGAGGCGCATGCATGTATAAGAAGTCTTGTACGCGCATCGCGTCCAGTTCAGACGCGTCTTTCTTTCTCCATGGACTGCTCAAGGCATAGGTTCCATGCTTGGGGAAAAAAAAGCTACCATGCCTTCACAGCATTTATGCGGACTCTTTTAGTCCGAGGCGGGAGACGCAGGGAGGGAGATGGAGCTCGTATAGTAATAGTGGTGGTGGAGAAGATGTGTACGACGTCTGTCTGACTTGTGCATAATGATCCAGGCCAGTGGCAATTCTGTCACTGCCAGTGTTGGATATTTGTCAAGACGAGGAAGATTATGATATAATTTCAAAGTAAAATCATCACATTTGGTGGGCATCTTCTTAGCATGTCTCGTGTTAGACTCAATAAGAGCAAATGCCGCTGTAGTGCACAGGCGTCTACGACAACTTCATTTGGGCAATCAAGTAGAAATTACGGATGTGTACGAGGCCAGAAGCCCTTGAAAATATTGTTCAAATGCATTTTACTCGCAAAGGTTCCGCTACGTAGGTTGAAGCAGGTGTCGACATGTTCGCAGCCAGTTTCCAGGGCGCTTACCCTGCATCCCGTAGAAATGAATCTGGCATCTACATCATGACTGACAACCATCGACATCTATTTTTAAGAAGCTGATGACAATCCCAAGAGGCCTCCCCTTCCATCTTGCCATCGAGGGCTTATTCCAACCATCGGCCATCCATAGATCGGTGTATGCCATGTCAATTATGAGATCGGCAAAGGGGCCCTACAAGGCAATCGGGTCCAACTCATGTACCATGACAGCATGGATTGCCACACCGCCGGTACAAGTCCACTCACACTTGCACCCAGCAGGAAAATAAGTTGTAATGGTGCATAACCAAGCAATTGGAGAGAGCATCTAATTCGGGCAAACGTGACGTCGTGCTGCCCCTCAAAGTATTCCGCCATTGGCACAAAGTTTGTTGGCGGCTCGAACAGCGATTGGGTCGCCGGGGCGAAATCAAGCCATTTGATCACAAACAGGTATGGGGCAGGCCCGAGCCGCGCCGCACTGGGACAGGATCAGGTGGCTTGTGTGCTGTGCTGTGCTGTCTGTGGTGGTACAGATTGCAATTTGCGACAGCGAGTTGGACTCGACCCAATCGACCTAATTGCTGTGAAACATGTTGATGCTGCCAGATGAGCATATCAGACGGGAGACGGGAGACGGAGGACGACCCAACAGCATCACCGGCAGCCGGAAGGACAGCCCCGGAGCGGTCGGTGCTGGGCGCGTTGATTGAGGTGTTGAGCGCTTGGTGGGGATGTGCCACGGCATGCAGATACGGGAGGCGCACATCTTTGGCGGTGCATAAGGATGAGGTGTAGTGAGGTGTAATGAGGTGTAATGAGGTGTAGAAACGAGGCCGTGACGACGAGATTGCCACGGCGTGGCCTGGTTGTGGCCATGGCCGTGGCCCGACTCGACTAACACGCATCGCCAACGTTTGGAGGAAACCTCGCCGGTACTTGTCGCTCACAGCATCGCAAAATGGCTGCACAGGTACATCTGCCGTACAGCCAGAAACGTGGCGCACTTGCGACGTGGCGTAAGGTACCAGCAAGGTTGATCAGCCTCGCTGAGACGGCATGTCGGGATTCGCTGGCAGGACAGCCTGTCCGTGTCAAAATCTCAACGTTTGCAGAGCCAGTCTGCCTTGGGCGATCGATCATCTGCTGCAGTCACCCATTTTCCCTTTTCTGTCCGTCTGGCATCCATCACCACCTGTAGCCATCCTTCCATCGTGCTTCCAGCCCAAGCAACTGTCGTATGTATTACCGAGTCAAGCCCCCTTCGACTAGTCCTGTAGTAACAGCGTCCGCCAGGGATGGCCCCGGCTCTCCCCCTCCCAGATCCCATCTTAGCGATTCGCATCGCTCTCCCCGGCCCAGTTCAGCTTCTGCCACCGGGTGCTAGCAGCGCTATGAGCCTAGCAGGTCCGTTGGCCGGTGGAGCAAGGTCCGTTCCTCTGCTGGAACCAGACCGGACGCTTTTCCCACCAGCTGCGCCCTAGCCTCTCCGTCTCAGCTGGAGTTGCAGACAGGTCCTCGTGGCTGAAAGGATACCTGCAGCCGCTATAGCCCCGGCGCGCGCGATGCAGGTACCTGGGCGGGCCACGAGACCTGCTGGGTACGCCGTCAGCTGGGGGCCGCGACTACAAGTGCGAGGCCAAAGTGCTTGCTTGGGGACGCTGCTCTGGTTCGCATCTTGCATCTCGCATCTTACCTCCAGAACCGCTGCCACCTCCTTACCGGGAGTCTCTGCTGCTGCTTGTCGACCGTTCCCCTGAGACGGCTCCGTGCCGGGCGCTTTAGAGGTCAGCATTGGGCCTCGAATATGCAGCCCGAAGCTCCACCGCCTGAGCTTTGCTGGCCGCTTCTGTGACCTCGTGGAGAAGTTGGGAGAGCGCACGAGAAAAGACAAGAAGAGCCTCGCTCGACACGACACGACACGACCCAATTCCACCACCCCTTTCTGTGCCCTTCTGTCCCTTTTCCCATCCATTCTGTGCTCGTCTGGCACGCCAGGGCAGGGCAAGGCGAGGCCGTCTGCCACGGCTTGGGCCAGCAGAGCAGTCCTGGGCCTGCATCGACGACGCCAGCGCAGCGGGAGGCATCCAGCGTCTGCGACTCCCTGAAAACGAGACACGCAAAGAGCCTGAACAGGCCTGAACAGAAAGAGTCCGTCTTGTGCTCTATACGTTCAACACTGCCTGCCTATATATCTACACACGAGCCATTCGTTCAGCCGTCCATCCATCAGCTACTACACATACATATCATCTTATCGGCCATCAGCCGCCATCCCCCCTGTCCTTTGGCCAACCACTATAACTGCTACTGATCCCAGGCCTTCCATTGCGCGGATACCACCTGCGGCGCCGCGCTTGCGCACTCCAGCCCCCCATTTTCCAGCCTTTTCCCCCTGCCACCACTTTTTTTTTGACATCACCGCCCTGGCCCTTTTGCGCCTTTGTCTCTGCGCCGTCGAGCTGAGCCAAGCTTCTCCCAGCGTTCTGCGGGCAATTGGGTCTTCTGCCGCCTCTTACTGCACGACTCACCTGCGTGCATATTCCTGTCCGGCTCCTCCTTACCGCCAGCTCGCACCCTGGAGGCGATCAGCTCTGCCTCGACATCCTGGCGTCCGTGCTCTGCAATCCAGCGTCCTTTTTCTTCTGGCGCAAATCACCGCATCACCCAACCCGAGCCTGGATCACCGCGACTCTGCAATTCCTGAATTCCTGCCTTTGCCGGATTCCCTCGCGTCTAGGGCCAGCCCGTTCGCTGCCTATACCAGATACCATCTAGCAGCACCTAATCGTAATTAATTCGCCCACCTAACAACGAAACTTGCCCTAGAGTGGCATCTGCCGACGACCGCGAGCTCCTCTGCTTCGCCGCGCTCCCTGCCATCGCCGCCAATTCGCTGGCGGTGATCAGCCTCGGCCAACTTGTCTTTCCTCCCCTCCTCTGGTGGCGCCGCAGACTTGTCTCAACGACTGGCCTCCGTCCCTAACGACCGTTACGCGACCCACGAGAACACGCATTCACCACCGCAACGCCAGCAGCACCCGCTGCCGCACACAGCCCAGGAGCCTCCCAGCAGGCTCTCCACCCCGTCTTCGCAGCACAAGTCTCTTCGCCGCACCCCGAAATTTGATTCTGCGCCGAAACCTCAGCCGGAGCGCCGAGTCCACATCGCCGCTGCTTCGGCGGGCTTCTACCCGAGCATCGTATCCATCTCGCAGGACTCCGAGTCGTCCATTACTGGGCTTGGATTGTCTCTGTTTGACGAAGAACACGGGGATAGCCACCAGCGACGCCAGACTTTGGGACCGCATCGCGCACCCTCTGGTCCAGCTGAAGCACAGAATCCTCCTGCTCCCAGCAAGGTCGCTGCGCACCCAAGAGACCTGCACAAGGCTCTTCGCATTTCCAAGCATACTCACAGCGCAATCCTCTTTACCCTTGAAGAAGCTCTCCGCCAACCTCACTCCTTCACCCCTGACGAGATCGAAGAGTCCGCAAGCATGTCTGATCTAATGACTGGCAGCCTTCCTGCCACGTCCAATGGCGCTGCCCTTGGTCCTGGCCGCATGCCGGCTGCTGCTCCCGCGCCTACAAGCTCTCCCTCAGGGATTAGGGGTCCTAGGATGATCATGCAGGAGCGTGCAGCGAGAGAAGCGCGCCAGAGGGCTGAAGCTCAGCAGAGAGCCGAGATTGAGCAGCAGGCATTGAAGAAGAGCCGCGCCGAACAGGAGGCGCGAGTGCAGCTGGAGACTGAGCGCCGCTCTGAAGAACGGCGCGCTGCTGGCGTTGCCGCTGGCCAAGGCATCACTGCCGAGGCTCAGCAATCTACTAACCATTCACACATGGGCCGAGCTGCCATGGACCCGTCACAGCAACCGCGCGGCACAACCACATCTGCCCACGCTTTACCAACTCAACAGCCACCTCCGCAGCAGCAACAGCAGCAACAGCAGCAGCAGCAGCAGCAGCAGCAGCAGCAGCAGCAACGCCCCGTTCACATGTCCAACACCCAACAACAGCATACTCCTCCCCAGGCTTTCCCCGCTGGAAACTTACCACCGCAGCACCCTCCTTCTGGAGCACTTCCCGGTGACACAAACGACCCGACCAAGCCGCGCAATTCTTTTCCCCATGCCTTTGAGCGGTGGGAAACACTGTCTGCTCACTGGGAGGGATTGACGAGCTACTGGATTCGCAAGCTGGAGCAAAACAAGGATGACATCAATCGCGACCCAATGAGCCAGCAGCTGGCGCGACAGGTCACCGATTTGTCGGCGGCCGGCGCCAATTTGTTTCATGCGGTAGTTGAACTTCAGCGTCTGCGGGCCAGCTCCGAACGAAAGTTTCAGAGGTGGTTCTTTGAAACCAGATCAGAATTGGAGCGTGCCCACGAGGTGAATGCCATGTTGGAGGCGGCTCTCGAAAAAGAGAGGAGGGACCGCGAACAGGCGATCCGTGAAGCCGTCGATCATGAACGTGGAGTATCCAAGACTCAGAAGCAACTCGTGGAGATGAGAAAGGAGCTCTCCATCTCGAAAGAAGAAGCCCGCCGCGCATGGGAAGAACTTGGGCGTCGTGAGCAGGAAGAGCGCGATAGGACTCTATCTCTTCAGTCAGGACATCCCACGGTTGTTGGAGGAGTTCAGGTAGTACCAATGACTCAGGGCGGCGGCCCAAGCAGGCACAGCAGCACCAGGGAGCAGCCAAGCTATCAATCCGACTACCAACGACCGACATACTCCATCGAGCAGGGCACTCCGGGCCGAGGCCAATCCGCACCAGGAAGCAGCGGTTCCGGACAAGGACAATACCCATCTGGCCACCAGGAAGATCCGAGCCGTCGCACAGGCGCTGGCTCCGAGGGCGGTTACAGCGAAGGTGAGTACCTTATCGATGCGCAGGGGAACTTCATCCTCGACGGGGACGGCCACAAGATCCCCTTCGCTGTGCCGCCCTCCACGTACACAGGTTCTGATTTGGATCCAGAAGACTACGACACCCCGGCCACCACCAACCCCAGCGGCCAGAACATGCCATCATCAACCTCTGCCCCTCAAGGCCAGTGGACCGGCGCCTATTCAAACCCCCAGGACTATTCCGGCCAGGGCTATGGGAATGCTGGATGGGAGACGGTGCCACGCCACCATCACCCGACTCGGCTGAGCGACGTTATTGAGGAAGATGATGAGAGGAGCCGAACGAGTGCCAGCCACAGTCGGATTTAGGAATCCGAACTGGCGCTATAGCTCAGACCTACTTTTCCCCTAATTTTTTTTTATCTCGATACCTAAAAACAAACTCCTTCTAGCGTTGGATATTCATTTTTGAAATGATTTGTTACATAAGACTCAGATGGCCCTGCCACGATTATGAAGCCCTTTCTGGAGAAGATACGCAAAGCTTGCATTTAAACCAGCGAGGGCCATTGCTTCGTGCTTTGTTTCATCCTCTACTCTTTTTTTATTTGCGTTAATAAGGCATAATTGCTCGGGAGAAAACACATCATATCTGAATTATTGGCCATGCCCGTTTTTTTTTTCTTGCTACCCCTCGGTATACATTTGCGCAAGACGGGACATTTTTTCGTTCCCAACGAGACAAGCATCAGCACCTTAGAGCAAAAACACCCTGGAACCTACAAGTTGATACACCTTTTATGATATGCTGCGCTGGTTTTTTGCATTTTGCATTTTTTTCCTTGCTTCAACCCCCCCCTTTTTTTTCACAAGAAAGGTTTTTTTTCTTCATCGCGTATTTGCTTTTTTTTTCTTCATCCGGAATGATCGGAGGAGAGTGTATTTGTTTTGTTTGAGTTGATTTCTTTTATGTTCTGATTTCCAGAAGGGAGGGACGGGAGAGAGAGGGAGAGGGAGAGAGCGAAAGGATAGATGCAAGAGCGACGACTGTTTAATATCTCCTGAGAATTAATGCTCGCTCTAATACTCGACTGATCAGGGGTGGAGTTTTTTTTTTTTCTTCTCTTTCTTGGTTTGGGGAATCAGGAGTACAAAGACATACACAGAGAGACAGACCGGGAAAGAGGAGTTGGATGATACTTTTTTGAGAGAGTGTATTCATGTAAATGCTTAACGTTTATTCTCACAGGGTATGATTATTTATTCTTACAAGTTAATTTTTATGACGTGGTGTGTATGTGTATGTATGATGGTTGTAGAGTTTGAATTTATGATGTTTGGCGTGTCAATCTTTTTGAGAGCTTATTAAAAAAAAAGAAATCACAGCTTTCAGACTGAGAAAGTGCCGGCATATTAGTACAGATGTGGTTGTATACCAGATTATATGATACCTTGACAATATCGACGTAAGGAGTGCGAGATGGACTAGGAGACAATTCAGGTTCGATATGTGGTATTATCATGAAAACCCAATGAAAAATCTAAACCCGTCTAGATATGATATTATGATAACAAGAACAACTCGGAAGGAATAAAAGCCCCCCCCCTTTTTTATACACTTGCACGCTCTCTACTCAGCCGCCTTCTTTCCCTTTGACCTCTTCCGCTTCTTCCTCGTCCCGTCCACGTCGCCAATGATATTACTCGCCTCTTCGCCGTCCTTGTTCTTTGCCGCCTTATCCTTCTTCTTCAAGGACCTCTTCTTATCCCTTGCGTCCACGCCATCTCCCTCCTCGGTAGCGGCAACCACCCGCTCAAAGCCATACGTCGGGCCCGTCTGCTCAAACTCCCCGCCAAACACGTCGCGCCGCCACTGGCGCAGACGGGCCTTTTTGCCCAGGTGCTTCTTGTCCTTGCGCTTCTTCTCGGCGTCGCGGAACGTGGCGAGCTTCTTGAGGCCGGCGTACTCGTTGAGCACCTTGTCTGAGGGGGCGAGCAGGATGTCGCGCGCCGTCATGCCAAAGGACTGCGGTGAGGTCTCGCGGTAGCGGAAGCCGCCTACTACGCTGTTGTCGTTGTCGTTGTCGTTGCCCTTGAGGATGTCGTGGTCTGTGAGGTTCATTTTGGCGTCGACGAGGGCCTCGAGCTTGGAGCGCTCTTGGCGAGCCTTCTTTTGGGTCTCTTGGCGGGCTTTCTTGTGGTCTGATGATTTCACTTTCTTGGCGGAGGGTTCTTCATCCTCCTCAGCGTCCTGACCCTCATCATCTGTTAATGCAATGGTTGGCTTTGCGTCGTCGTCCTCGAAATCGGGAACGAGGTCCTTGATGTCGATATCATCGTCCCACGTGGGCTTCTTGGGCTTCTTTCTTTTGCTCTTCTTGCCGTCCTCTTCATCGACATCCATCTCATCGTCGTCGTCGTCTGAGACGACGTTTGCTTCTTTGATGGCGTAGTAGCTCTCGTCGAACCACTTCTTCATCTCGTCCTCCCACTTGTCATTCTCCCACGCGTCATCGAGGAACTTGATCCATTCTTCGTCTGTCAGCTCCTTGCCAAAGGCTCCAGCTGCTTGCTTAATCTTGCGAAGCTTGCGTTCCGTCTCCTCCAGCTTCAGGTTCCGTAACCGGGCTTTGTCTTCGCGGCGCTGCGCCTTCTCCACCTCCTTCTTCTCGCGCTCGAGCTCTCTCTGGCGTTTTCTTCCCGTCTTCTCCTCTCGTCGGACTGATCTGGCAGCCGCAAAGTCTCTGGCATATGACTTCAAGACTTCGTTGCTCTTTTCGGGATTTTCGAAGCGGAGATTGTAGGCCTCTTCAAACTCATCTGCTCGGTTGTCCTCTTCTCCATCATCTGACTCAAAGGCCTCCCATCTGGAACCTTCGTCAGTCACCCACGCTCTCGCCGCCATAAAGTTTGACAAGAATGTTTCTGGATCTCTGTCTGCATTGTCCACATCCACCTCTGAGAGCTTTACGGCCTTTGCTCTTGATGGGTGTAAGCCGGTTTTATCCGTTTGTGCTGGTGCTTTTCGCTTAATGAATCCATCCTCGTCCTCATCTGAGTCCGAGTCTACTTCACCCTTGGCAGCGTCGATTTCGGAGAGCAATGACTTTTTGATTGCGTCTTGCTCTTGCTGGTATGTTTTCGGAGCGTCCTCTTCGTCGTCTGAAGCGCCGACGTCTCCCCTTAAAATTTTTTCTCGTTGATAATCGCGGAGGAAGACTGGTTTCTCTTTCTTCTCCTTGTCTGCGGCATCGGCGTTTTCGTCGTCTGGGGCATAGAAAGTGATGTCCTTGTCGTAGACGCGGGGATCCTTGTTTCGAATCGCCTGTAGTGTAGCAGAGATTTGCGCGTCGAGGTCTTCTGTGGCAAGGAAACCATCTTCATCCTCGTCCTCGTCGGAAGAGGAAGAATCCTCATCCTCTCCTTCTCTCTTGAGCTTTTCCTCCACTGATACATGTTAGAGAGATGACGCTTTCATCTTCAAGGGTATCAAGGGCCTAATTCGAACGTACATCTGTGTTGTTCCTCTCGTTTCTTGTTATGTTCAAAACGGCGCGCATACTCCTCATTCACCTTGAAGCCAGAGCCTCCAATTGCTGCTCCCGTATCGTCTGAATCTGAGTCGCTATCGTCGAGTAGTTTTCGCTTATTGGGATTGGATGGCTTGCTTTTTGAAGCCGCCGATGCGGTTATCGATCTAGCCATATTGAAGACTGAATCGGCTTTCAGAACTCGTAGAATTGAGAAGCTGAAAAGGGACGCTGGTGAAACAGGTATGTGGAAAAAAAAAATGCTTGAATCTTCAGACTAGGATCCGCACCTGCAGCAGAAACTAATACGACGCCGAACTTTTTTTTCTGCCGGCAGATCAAACCCAAAAAGTTTGGCGGGGAGCTGTCGGGAATAGGCGTTACTTTTGGCCGAACTACGAACTGGCAAAGTCCCGCCGACAACGCTTCTGAAAGTCGCATCGTCTGAAGTACTCAGTACTTTATCTTATCGCTAGATCGATATGCCGGCTAGAGTACCCTGAACCTTGCAGGCAGCTCCCACTCTAGCCCCCGGCCTCAGTGTGGCTGGTGAGCTGGTTCGTTCGCAGACCTCGTCATCATTGCGCCTCTCTTTCGCTGCTCCAATGCAACCGGTACCCACCACGAACTCGCCTGCTGGAACCATCCTCGCGCATAGCAGCCTGTACACACAAGTGCTCTCAGAGGCAGCAGCATTCACCCACGCCGGCGCCTGTGCTTGAGCAATTTGTCCTCTTCTCCTCTCTCCAAGCCGGCCGCTTTGGCTTCACATCCATCTCCTCCCTTCACAGCGCCGAACGTTCGGGCGGTACGACCACGAAACGAACCGGAAAAGATGGCGGAAGCTCCCAAGCCTAGCAGCAGCGTCAAGCTGGTGCTCCTCGGCGAGGCCGCGGTCGGAAAGGTCGCCAATCCTCCTCTGCGCTGTGTTTTGGCTGCTTCATGGTAGACAGCGTTATTGACTTGTGCCCGCAGTCATCTCTGGTCTTGCGATTCGTCAACAACGACTTTCAGGAAAATAAAGAGCCGACTATTGGTGGTAAGCCATCTCTCCCCGGCGCTCCCGCCAGCGCTTCCCACCCCATCCCGTCCATTGCGGCCGACAGTAGAGCTAAGTTTTGGATGAAATGAATGACAGCGGCGTTTTTGACGCAGAAATGCAACCTCCCCACCCGGACTATCAAGTTTGAGATCTGGGATACGGCCGGCCAAGAGCGGTTTGCGTCTCTGGCCCCCATGTACTATCGAAATGCCCAAGCTGCCCTTGTCGTCTACGACATCACCAAGCCTACATCGCTCGTAAAGGCCAGACACTGGGTCGCTGAGCTCCAGCGACAAGCCTCGCCCGGAATCGTCATCGCGCTGGTGGGAAACAAGCTAGATTTGGCTGGCGAATCGCAGAGCACAAGCGAAGAAGGCGACGGCGAAGACGGCGGTGATGCCCGCAAGGTGCCGACAGAAGAAGCTCAGTCATATGCTGAAGAAGAAGGCCTGCTATTTTTCGAAACGAGTGCCAAGACCGGCCACAACGTCACCGAAGTTTTCACAGCCATTGCAAATGCGATCCCGGAGACATCCTTGAAGAGCACCAGAGGTTCCGGCGCAGCAGGCACGGCCAACAGGGCCGGAGAGGAGCAGAGAGTGAATTTATCAGGACCAAGGGATGCGGGTGCAAAGGACGGGTGTGCCTGTTAGATGAGGGCTGTGTGCTGCTGTTGTTGTCGCTTTGCCAGTGCTAACGCTGCTGCGCTACCATAAGACGAGGTCGGATTTGTTGTGGCATGCCATTCGGGAGTAAGAGTCTTGCGTTTCGGGAGTCATTCATGTGTTTTAGCTCAGTGCGCCATATCGTTTATTATTTTAGACGTCTAGTTTTTGCTACAATAGTACCTCGCTAACGCTTGCCTGGATGTTGTTGTGATTGCCGTTTATGATGAGATCTACATATACATATAGCATCGTTTATATGAGGCCGTAATCGATACACCTGGACCTACCGCATACCAATCTCGTCGAGGTGATTCGTCATCAGTAGAGCCCATGCAAGGCTACGCTCTTGGATCCCAAGATCAGCTCATCCCGCCGAGGCTACGCTTTTAGGCTGCAATCGGCCAGCCAACGCCCTCTTCCGGGCCGAGCACTTTCTTTTCTGGCGGCATCTTCGCCCGAGAAGCACGATAAAGCATGGACCACCGCTTTTAACTCGACACATCCATGCATCTACTTTATTTTGCAGCCAGCATCTCTGCGCTTCCAAGTGCAGCAGCTGGGCACGTGACGTTCTGATCGCCGCTAGCGGCTGGCTCGTCGTGGCCACCGTCCGCTGTCAGATCCACTTCTTTTTTTCGAAGCGCGTCAAACTCCTCACAATCTCAGGCTTCACCAGACTTTTCATGATAAGGGGTTGGGAGATTGCTGGTTTGCGACAGTACCCGCCACTCGGAGCGTTGTGATTTCTGGTGCCACGGCTCATTGAGGTCACGCCGGTGACGTGGCCCGCTCTGCTTGTTCCTTCGTCGTGCATTGAGCAATCAAAGTCCTCGGAACTTTTCCACTTCGCAAAGCCTCATGGTGGGCATCCAACGCAGATAGACCTGCTGCCGTCGGCAACATGGCCACGTCCATTACAGAGGCTCAGGCTGAGCTGATCAAGTATGCTCTTTCTCCATCTCATCGTCCCTGTGATGGAAGATACTGACCGGTGACAGCTCCTTGGCTCCCGACGATATCCCACACAAGCTGCGATGCGCCAACTGCAGCAAACTGGCAGTCAACGCCCTCAGGCTGCCCTGCTGCGAACAAGCCATCTGCGAAACATGTGCGTTCATACTCTCGGCTTTGGCGTCGCTGGAAGCCTCCTGTCGAGCCAGCTCTAATTGTTTCATAGGCCATTCAAATCTCCCTCAGTCGTGCCCCGTTTGTGAACACTCTCCGTTATCTGCCGCGGATTGTAGCCCGAACAAGTCTCTGCGAACTACCATTAGAGTATTCTTACGCACGGCGGAGAAGAAGAGAGAGGCGTCCCGAACCAAAGAATCCAACGATACCACGCCCATCACACCGGTTGATGCGCCGAAGCCATCGCTGCCCGACGTGGGCGCTCCCGCAGCAGAAACGGCAGAGAAAACGGCAGAGAAAACGGCAGACGCTAGCGGAGATGTGCCAGTCGAAGATGCGGCGCCGCAGAGCGCTGATGAGCTGGCTTCTGGCCATGAAGAGGACAAGCTGGTATGAGTTGGACCTACAATAAGCGATTGATTCTGTGAACAATATGTTAATTCACTGCGATACCAATAGCAGGAGGTGGCATTAAACGGCATGGAAGAACCGCCAAAAGAACCAACCGACGTTATTGAGGCTCAAGAAGCCAAAGATTGGATTGTCGAAGGCGACGACACAGCCAATAATCAAGAGCAAGATGCTGCTGAAGGAGGCGATGAGAACGTTGAACAAGCTGGCGATGGCCAAGAGCAATTCAACGATGCCGCAAATGGTGGATTTCAGCAAAATATGATGTTTCCTGGGGGCGGCGACTTCAACCAGATGCAAATGATGATGGCTATGCAAAATGGAATGGGACAAAACTCATTTGGCGGGTTTCCTATGATGGGTCAGGCTCCCTCCCCTCTTGGTGAACTTTTACAATCTTGATCTAGTAACTAACTATGCAATAGGCATGCCGGGGATGGGCATGGACCCGATGATGCAAAACATGTACATGAACGGAGGCTTTCAAGGCATGGGCATGAACGGCATGGGGGGCTTTGAAGGGGGATTTGGACAAGGCTCCAATGATAACTGGAACGGTGCACAATCATGGAATTTCGACCAAAATAATTACAATCAAAATGGCCAAGGCATGGGCACTGGTGACTTTGGCAATTTTAACTCAGGAATCCAGACAGGCTACAATCAAGGTAATTATGGCCAATTCAATGACTATCGTCGCAACAACTACGGCCGTGGCCGTGGCCGCGGTCGCGGATTCTATGGGGGTTATGGTCGAGGGGGATACAACCAATATGGCGGTGCCATGACAAATTATCATGACCAAGGCCACTATTCCCAGTACAACCAAGGACAAGGGGCAGCCGCTTTCCAGAGCCAGGGTGACCTTGGACAGCAAGCAACACCCATGGCGGCAGGTACTCACCCCGACGAGAATGCCAACGAAGGTGCAAGCCAAGCCAAGACGTTGGAAGCCGAAGGGGGTGGCAGCGTTGATGACTCCAAACAAGATCTTTCCGAGTCTACATCTCATGAAAACATAGGCAATGAAGCGTCTTCTTCTGGAGGTGCACCGCGCCCAACGATGATGGCTCAAGCAGATGGATCTAGCGTGCAGAATCGGAATGGCGTAGCTGCCATCCGCTCCATTCTGACAGCCCCAGATGCACCAATCAACGCCCCTAAGGGCCCTAAAGCTATGCGTCAAGGCCTTCCTAATACTAGTCTGCTGAATCTGCGAGCCAGGGGTTTCCAGGTTGAGGATAGTGGTTTGCCAGTACAAAAGCCTGTTGCCATTGCATCACAGCCGCCACAGGCACCGCCGCCATCGAATCCAGCTACTCAGCCAGGCTCTAGAAGTAGTACTCCTAATCTTGACAAAGTACGAGATCGTGATGCCCATCGTGACCGCAGCAAGGAGCGGTCCAAGGATCACGATAGGCGTGAGAGAGGAGTGGCGTCTGAAGAGCCCCATAACGCGCAAGAGAGCGAACGAGACAACAGAGACCGAGTAGATCGCGATCGCGGCAAAGAGCCAGAGCGTTTGGGCTCCAGAGCTAGTAGTAGAAGCCGAAGTATAGATCGCAGCAGCCGCAGCCCGAGCCGCAGTCGTGGCCATCGGAGCTCCCACAGGCGGCAACGGCGGCAACGCTCCGAGTCTGTAGACGCAGATGATAAAGATGACTCTTATCGCCGGAAGAAACACCGGAGCAGTAGAAGACATTACTACGACGATGACGGTGACCAGCCGTCTCAGCGGTCCAAGGATGACAAAGCAGCTGAAAGGTCAAGGTCAGGCTCTCCGGATGATGGTAAACGCTCAAGCTATCGCAGTCGTAAAGACAAGGACAAGGATCGAGACTATGAGCGGCGCAAAGACAAATACCGAGCGGAAGAAGAGGACGACCGCCAGAGATCGAGCCATCGCTCTTCCCACCGTGACCGAGGAGATTATGAGCACTCCTCCAGACGGTACGATAAAGAGAGAGAGCGTGACAAGGATAGCAGCAGCAATCGGAAAGAAAAGGACCGCAAGGATCGATACCGAGACCGTGATCGTGAACGAGACCGCGGCCGTGATCGGGACCGCGACCGGGATCGGGATCGAGAGTACAGCAGCAGACACGGCAGTAGCAGTAGAAAGCACTCCTTCGATGGTGCTGCCGCTTCAAGTGGCGGCGATAAGGGATTTGATCCGCCTACGGGTCCGCGTGGATTCGACATCAAAGGAGGCTCTCGCAGCACAGGGGCCGCCTCAGCGCCGCAGAAAGATGCGCACACTCTAGAACGGGAAGCACGAAACCGTGAGCGTCTGCTGAAAGAAGCCCAGCGCATGGCTGGCCTCGCAGGCATAGCGGGCTCAAAGCGCAGCCGGGACGATGCCGATGATGGCGGCCGCAAGGGGCGACGCAGCCGGCGGAACGACGTTGTTGATGGAGACAGCGAAGAACGCATGCGAAGGCTGGAGGCGGAGAGAGAGGGCGGACGATGGGGTTAGACGCCCTCTCGAAAACTCAAGTCATATGCCGATTAAAAAACTCCATCATACCTAGGTTGATGGCAGGTTAGGTACTGTGGCGCAATAACCCTCGCCATTCTGCGACAGTAGCCGGATAAACAAAATAAAAGGACGCTCGACGGAGAGCCGATATCAGAAAGATGACTGTGAAAGACACACTTGACTGGACTTGATTATGATGACTGATATAACCGAAAAGCAAGAAACAAAAGGGGAAAAAGGGATCATGACTCCGTATAAAAATAGGAGCTAAAGAGCGGTCTTGTATTTGTATGGATCAAGCATGTAGTATGTACATATATATATATATATTTATGTGTATACAATTATCAGTCAAGTAACTTTTTTTTGCATTCAACTTTGCTTGCAGCAGGCTGTAGATACCTACATTGTAGCGAGGGGGCGTGACAGTAAAATATTTACTATATTTCCTTCTCACGAGTTCGCCATATTGCTTCGGCAGTATTCATATTGTCTTCTCAAGGGCTGTATTGTTTTTATTTTCCGATTCCCATCAACGCCGATTGCATACAAACCTATGTGCTGGATATACACATGTTTTTTGTGTGTATATGTGTGTATGTAGCTGGAGTATCTCGAAAACAAAAAAAATGTAGCCAAGTATATTCCAAGTTGCGCTTCCAAGGAGAAGAGAGCATCATCTTCATCCCGCGCATATATGTATATATATATATATGTATATATAAAGAGGATCCCCTCCTAATTTGTTGAACATCACTACCATTGGACATCCTGACCTGACAACCCCCCTTTTCCCCTCATTAGCCTGATCATCCCTCCCCTGAGAAAGGGGCAGCATCGGCAACAACTTCGCCTAGTATATACCCTGTGTGCGATATTGGAAGGTATCATAGCTAATTGTCCATATTAGCTTTCGTTATTTCTCGATTTTCTCCTCGCTAAATCGCTGCAATTGAACAAGGCTGAAAAAAAGGGGCTCAATACTTACAGTCGTGTATAATAACTGCCAACCGACTTCGCAATCAAGTCCGTCTCCACGAAATTCTCTGCTTCGTCGGCGCTCAGATGCAGCTGGAAGCGCTGCCGGAGGGACGTTGTCGCATGAGTCACGCCCACGGCAAAGCACGGCATTTTCGAATCCCTGCCCATGATGGCGACCAAGTCAATGATGGAATCTGCCGACCGTCGCAGAGCTACAAATAATCACGTTAGAAAGATTTGTGTCATTGTTTTCCGAAAAAATTGAATCTCCTTACCTTGGAAAGCTTGTTTACACAACTTCTTATAGTCCTCCCAGTCCTGTGAACCAATTCCTCCGAGGACGTCCACATATTCGTTTGTGAGCTTGAAGGGCGCAGCCTCAAAGCCAACTGACCCGGGGGAGTTGGAAAGCATGAACCCAAAGTCGATGTGGATGATGTGTCCTTCGCTGTCGATCAGAACGTTTCCGTTGTGTCTGTCCTTCAGCTGCAGGACGTAGGAAATGATGCTGTATGCTGCTAATGAGCGCTTAAAAGCGTCCAGTCCAGCTCTGTGAGGCTTGCTATCAGGCGGGCCAAAGGCTTTGGCAAAGTGGTCTTTGAGCGTAGCAATTCGATGCCGGGGGTTGTTTCCGGCCTCGATTGACGCAAGCGTGAGACTTCGCTTGAGTGAGTGGAGGGATACACCATTTGCTATTGTTTCGATGAGTCCAGATGACTCCCCAGTTACGAGAATGCGCATCAGCTTCACCCAGACGTCCACCTTTGCGTCCACCCAAATCTTGTGGCAGACACTGATAAGCTGGCAAGCGAAAGCCTCCTGTCGCAAATCAGCGCCCGTCTTTACGATGACACTCATGAGATCCCAGTTCTTCATCCATCCGTAGGGCGAGGATTTCCGGATTCGCTCCTTCTTGGCCTCCCAGGCTTCTCCAAAGACAGCCGCACTAGGGTCGTCGCGATCGCCACGGCGCTGCACGCCTCCTGTCTTGATATCGTTTTCCATCCTTTCCCTGCCTGCGCTGGCGTTGATGTTGGGATCGATTGGTGCCTCTTCCTCGTCTAGATCTGGGTTGATGCCCTGTACGGTGCTGGCAGTGCTGGCTTTGGCTATGATGGTGTCAAACGTGGGGCCATGGTCGTCCGCATCAAAACTTTGCTCCTCGAGGCTTTGCATGCTCGCAATAATCTTGGCTCTGATGGCTGCTACCTCATGCTTTGGTCGCTTGCCACTCGTCGCCTCAAGCTGAGCAAGCATCTGAGAGGCCGTCCTCATATGCGTGGCCAGCGCTGAGAAATCTGGCTGATCGGCGCGAGCCATATTGAGCGTCATTCTCCGTCGAGAACCAGGACTAGGAGATCTTGATGAAAAAGGGCCGTCCGATGTGCGCGGTGTCATTGCATCCAACGTCGTACTCGCGGTTGTGGCTCCGCTGGAGAATCGCTGGTCGGAAGAATGCTTTGGGTGGTAGGTGACTGGTGACGGCACATCGTCATACGGCTTCAAAAGTGGCGAGCTCCCCAAATCGCCCGAAATCGGTTCGAATACGCTGTCTATGACTGGCTCCGGAGCGTGAATGACCTGAGCAGCCCTAGGGGTCTCTGAAGAGAGGTCAAACAGCCTTTTTGAAGGCCCATCGCCACTAAGTAATCCGGTCAATAGCCTTTGGTTATCTGGAGTTTCGGGATCAAACGAAAAGTCGTCTCTTAGCACTTCAATCATTAGCAAGTATGGCACCTTTTCGGCGCTGTTCAACACCGTGGCCTCAGCAGGATTGAGTCGCACAATTCGATGGTGGCGACTCTTCCCAGGTGCCCCATCAATCAGTGTCGGCGGGCAGATGATGGGGATATCGATCTCGGCGGGCAAATCCCTCCCAATCAGCGCCAACTCGGCTCGCAGGGCACTCATACGGGCAGGTTTCGGTACAGCAACCAGTCGGTTGGAGATGACTTCTAGGGCCGATAGGAACTGGGTTTGCGACCTGAAATAGTGTTGCCGTAGGAGCCGTGCTTTCTGGGCTGGTGACAGATTGCTCGTGCCCGTGGGCGATTTGAAATGATGGGAATGTCTTCGATGGACACCATCCGCCGGTCTAGCAGACACAGGAGTAGCTGGTCGGGATGGACCCCTCGGGGACGGAAGAGGTAGGGACGCGGTACTAAGTCTCGCCTCCAGAGACTTCAATTCCAGAGCAGACGGCCTTTTTGACTCTTTTGCTGTAAAGTTGGGATTCAATGGCGAATGGGTGTTATTTCGGCGAGAGAGGCGGGTGTCGATTGCCAAGCGGTCGTCGGATGTGTTTGTATTCCTCGAGTCTTTGGCCCGCCGAGATTTTGAGCCTGGCGCGGCTACGGTATTTGCCCTCGTGGGTGTTTTCGCCGTAGGCTTGGGCGTTTCACTTCCATCTGAATTGTCGTCGGTGATGGGCTGGGGTTTTCGAGCTTGTGCGACAGCGAGGGGTCCAGCCCATCTCGGAAACATTGGCAGGGCGACGCTCGCAAGAACGAAGCTGGACAGGACGGTCACGGGCAAGACGTTTTCCTTGATCTTGTGGTGCCGCACGGTGTCTGCGACGCCAAACACGATATGCTGGACCTTGTTATAGACTCGACGACATGTCTGAAAGGCATTCGATTGCGGATTGGAGGACAAGTCGTGTAGATATGTCTGGAAGAGCCAAAACGTCTATAGCAGAGGGCATTAGTGTTCTGATAGGTATGTATATATATATATATATATATATATATATATATATATATATACACATATATACAAGGACAAGTATCATGATTGTCTTCAGCTACGCACCAACAATGCGGCAGTCACAGACTCTTCGCATAGGTCTAGCAGAAATTCCTCCAGCGCCATTGACTCATTGTCGACGCTGATGATGAGGTGGCACAGCTGCGGCAGGAAGAATTCGATATCCTCGTAGGGAAATTGTCGCAGCTTCGTGCACAGGACATAGTGAATGCCTACATGGTCGGCATAACGGCTGCAAGGCGTTGAAAGACATACAAGTTAGCTACTACCGATCTCTTGCACCAGGTGTGTGCACAAACGAGCTTCCCCCAGCAGGCAACTCAACCTAGGCGATGCTCCATTGCAGCCAAGCAGAAGCTGGCAGCAAGATGCCAAGGGTGTAACACTCACGAGAGGTAGGAGACTGAGAGGAAGGGATTCGCGTTGAAGACGTCGGATTCGAGGAATCGCTGCAGCAGATCCCACGACATTGGGCTATTCGACGCAGTTGCGCGGACGGCGAGGTGTACGGCGAGGTGTGAGGCGAGATGCGATTGCGATTAGGACGGAGGTACCTCATTTAGAGGAAAGTTGAAGGCGTAGCAGGATTCAGCCGGTCTCGCATGGCTTTTCGAAGCGGGGGATTTAGAGACAGATGCACATGCAAAAAGGGCAGAAGCAAGCTGTCTCTTTCCTTTGGGGCGGTGGCGCGCAGCGTGGGAGGGAAAAAAAGAGGGATAAAAATAAAATGACACAAGTAAGGAGTGGATTGATCTGCGAAGCTTGGGCAGAAACTGAAGGTTGAAGGAGGGAGGAAGCGGAAGCTTGTGGCGGCGTCTCTAGTCGACGGGCGAGGCGGAGATGGAGATGGATAGACGCTTTGATGGAACCAAGAGGGTGGAGTGAGTGACCTGTCCACAGCGACCCAATTCGGTACCGCGCTTAGTGCCTAACGTTTCTGGCGGCCATTGGCCTGTGGGCATCGAGCATTAGGGGTCCAAGGGAGCTTACAGCGGGCTACGGTGCAGCCTACAGCGTGCACAGGCGGACACTTTTTGATGCTACGTTGATGTACTCAATCAATATCAAGCAACTGCTGATTTGTCCGTATGGCGGTTTTAAAGCCCGAGATGGTAGGTGGTTCGAGGCCAGCAACATCGAATCTCCGCAGCTGAGTTTTATATGCGTGCAGGTAAGCAAAGAGCCAAGGGTGGGTTTCGAGCTGCAAAAAATGTTTTTAACTCCGTAGTACCAGCAATAAAGTGCTAGGTTCCTGTTTAACCACCAAGAAAAAGCCAATGGGAGGACTCCAAACCGGAACCCGAAGTAAGGGGGCACTGGCCTATTCTCCGGAGTCTTAGCTTAATTCTCCCAGTCTCATAGACAATATTTACACGGGCTCGCACTTCCCTTCAACTCCGTTATAACCGCAGGGAAATCAGAACTAAAATATTGCAACTTCAATTATTACAAGGCTGACGCAAGGCACCGGGCGGGAGGCCTGCAAGTGCCCCGTAGCTGACCTGATTTTGCTGCACGCACTCTGGCACAGTCCCCTGAAGCTTACATGAACCTGCCTGTACGCGCAAAGCATGGATTCAACACTTACGTCGCCTGCGCACAACGGGGATAATCGTGTGCAGCAGCTCATTCTCCGTTCTCTGGATCTGGACTCTGTGTATCCACCTTCTTGTTGCCTGAAAACAGCCTTGAGGGGTTTTGTGCGTCGCAGAATAAATCACGTAGTACCTACGTAGTCGATTCAATGTCCGACTGAGCGTCTTTTGGTAAGCTCCGTGTCGCCCCGATCTTGGCGAAACAACTTGCAAGTTCCCATCACATGTCGCATAGCACATACGTAACAGGCCAAGCCAAGCCAGGGGCAGAGAGAACACATGTGAGTATAGAGTAGGTACATGTAGATATAATAGCATCACAGCTTTGCAAGGGACCCAAGTAGATGAGCGTTTGCGTATCATCTCGAGTTATGGAACATGCATGCGCTATTTGGATTGTTAGAAACTTCAAGCTACCTAATAGTACACAATAAAAAAAAAAGAAAAAATAATCAGTCCCTTTTTACAAGTGCAAGTGTAAAGTTACCACGCTCATCCAGATAGACTGTGCTTTACAGCTACGCAACCATCTAGAAGCAATCCCGTCCTTCAAATGAATCCGCCCTTCCCAACGCCGTTTGTATGATATAATGACTTGAAGGTATATCCCTCCAGTAAACGCCAGTCAAATCCCATCTTCCTCTTCGTAACGACCCCTACTGCACTTTCTTCCTACGACCACCGCCTCTGCCTCGCTTTTTGGGCTCCTCCATCTCTTCGTCGGTTTCGCTATCACCTTTGCCTTTGGACCTGCTGCCCTCCTTCTCGTTCTCTACGCGGCTGACAATGTCTCGCAGAAAGTCCCACTGCTCGTCTGCCTCTACCACGTTTTTCAACATGGAAGCGGTAACCCTCTTTGAGCCCTTGTCCTTGGCAATCTCGGCGCTCTTTGTTACCAGCTGGATCATGAACAGCTCCAGCGCCTTTCCCACGGCAATAGGTGTCTGTTGAGCAACCTTGCCTACTTCCTCATCGGCCTGCATGATCCGCTTGATCCGGGCGGTAGGAAACTTAGTCTTGACGGGAGACGGTTCGATGAACGGTGCAGGCGGCGGAGGCACCGCGGCCTTTCTGGGCGGCATATCTGAAGAGGAGGAGGAAGCTTGGCCCGGAAACGGCTCGTACGAATAAGGGGAGACGTCGAGTGGCGGTGGCTTGAAGTCGTGCTGCGGCGCGAGGGGTGCGGCGGTTTGATGGCCAGAGGCAGCTGAGATTTGCCCTGGATGCCCGACGGCTGGCGGAGAGAATGGCTCGTAGGGCTCGTAGGAATAGTTTGGAAGTGGTACGCTATACGGCTGGCGTGCGGCCTGGGGGTATGCGCCGTATGAGTTGGGGGGCGTATAGAAGGACTCTGCGTTGCCCGGCACGGCGGCAAAACGGCTGGCGGAAGGCTGTATTTTATATCCAGCCTGGCCGTGGCTTGCAGGCGCTGGAAGCTGTTGCGGTGCGGCCTGGGTGGGGCTGTCCGAGTAAAAAGACGACAGGTCCGGCGACCGTGGCGCGTAATTCGACGACTCCTCGGCCGACATTTTTTTCCCACTGCGCCTTTTAGCGCTGTTCTAGTGCATTAACGCACCTGCTCCCAGGGCAGCGGCCGCAAATCAGTGGCCCGAGGAAAAAACAATGGACCGCTGCAGGCTGCTGCAACCACGATTTTCCGTGGACGGGGAGTTTGATTCTGTCGTTTTTACCCTCGATCCTGCACTGCCCTTTTAGCCAAATCCGCGGCTCTTGCAGCGGCTCTTCTTCAACGGCGTGCCTTTTCGGAGGCGCTAAGCTGCAGCTGCTCTTGACGCAGCCAATTCGCACAAACGCACCAGTGTCGATCCTCCTGGGCGCAAGATCGTCGGAGGCTATGGAGTAGCGATGGGTGATGGATGTTTACGGCTGGCTGATATGCGCGCTTGGATAGACGGTCGATCTCTTGCACCTTTGCACGCTCTCTTGAAGTTTTCTCCCGGAATGGGAATGCCCTCACTTGGTATTGAATATCCAGACAAGGGAGCGAATTGACGATGACGGTGTGGGTAGTTGGACGAGGCTAGGTATGAAGCGGCCCTTTTATTCAAAGCTAGAACATCTAGCTATTGTGAGAAAAGAGACAAGAGAGTCTTGTTATCAGCGACCTTGTTAGGATGCGCTGTTCACTTTCACAAAACACCTTCTCCTTTCTTTCTGAATACTTCGGAAACGCCTTCTCGTTTTCTAATCCCAAGCCAGCTGAGTGCGGGGCGGTGGTCAAAGGATGCTACCCAGCAGGTCTTTTGGCGCTCGAATCGCGAAATCGCCAAGACGGGGTTGCGGGCAGGATCCAACAAGAAGGCGAAAAAAAGGGGGCAAGAGGCAGCCAAGTGCTCAGCTTCGGCAAGTTGGCAGCTCACAATATTGATGGCAGTCGAGATGCGGCGCACGAAATGCCACGCATGACAGCTCGGTGACGTGCGCTCACCGTGGGCCAAATCTGGAAATGGGGTGGCTGCGATGCCGCGTGTGGTTCGTCGACCAAGCCTGGCTGCGTCAAGGTTGGGGTCTGAGCTGGAGGGGAGGGGTCGGCCTCTGCTGCTGCGATGCCAGCAAACCCGGCTGGAAGCTTTGGGAACGGCCGGCCGTTTATATGTGCATTTCAGGGCCCTTGGGACTGAAGCCGGCGTCAGCCAACTGGGCGTAGTGCGATGCCCAAGTTACACCAAAATGGGGAGCGAGAGGGGGGCGTGACAAACCCACGAAGGAGGTCCATCGCAAACTGCTCGGGGCCACAGGCGAGGGAGGCTGTTGCACCAACATTGCGACGGGCGCCCACCCTAGCTCTGGCGGAGGACTGACTGCCTTGGACAAGAGACCGGAGCCGTGGCTGGTGGCAGCACCATTTCCATTTGATGGCCGCCGGCTCTGGGAGGGGGCGTGCCGCTATGAACCCATGCCCGCGGTGGATAGTCGTGGGAGAGAGGCTCGAAAAAAAGAGGATGCGTGGTCGATTCGATTTGGCTGGAGCAGCCATGAGCAGCCATGTGGCTGGCTCGACATATGCATTGCGGCTCTTTTTGCGGCTCTTTTTTGCGTGCTTGGCCTGGCTGATTCTCACCTCGACGGAGTCTGAACCGCAACCAGAACCAGGGCCGGCACAAATGCTCTGCCGTCAGGGGAAAATGCTGTCGTTACATCGGGCGTGGATGCGGCTCTTTGCGTGAAGAAATAGGTGCTACGACTCCGACGCTACTCATAATCGTGCAGCCGCTTCAACTGTACCAAATCCTGCACCTCGCTTTCACTTCGATATTGTCCTTCATCCTTCGCTACTTGGTTCTGGCTTGGAACTGCACTCTCGGGAAATATTTACTCCTGGCATGCAAGGGATGTGCGCATTCTCTGTTTCTCGCTGCCAGGATGCCAGCGTTCTTGTGTCCGCTCAGACTCGAATCTGTCTCCCTGAGCCTGTCTTATCGCAGCCTGGTATGCGTCAGGATCTGAGGCAGACATATCCAGTCATCCACGGGCACTGAGCTGCCTGGAGCTGCCTGGGGATGATGCATAAACCCACACCAGGCAACGAACCGTATCACAGGTCAGTGGCATTTCATTGAGCATTTCATTAAATCATTCCGTCAAATCACGTCGATTACCTCTCCTTCACCCCTCCCCCCCTTTCGGCTGTGCGATGATAAACAATAGTGAGCTTTAAAATCTGAGCCCGATCAGGAAAATGACGAAGCCGAGCCTTGGCGCTCTGGTTCCTGACTTTCCACATTGATCTCTCTATGATTACATTGTAGAACTTGATCTAATCTGACAGCCTCTTCTTCTGCCTCATCTTCCCTGCTGGAGCTTTATCGAATCTCTTTCTAATCTCTCCCACTATAGTCTGCAGCCCATAGAGACGCTTCCTCCTGGTGCTTGATAAGAAGAGCGACGCTACAGGCCATGCATGGATTCCGCCGTCGAATCTTCGAGCTTCAATTTCGACCTTGCCGGCGCCCAGGCGCTCCACAAAGCTCTCGATGTCTGGCGCCAGCACCTCGTCGCTGCCATACGTGATAAAGTAGCCACGCTCGGGGCTGGCTGCTTTCCATAGTTTGACATCATCGCACCTCCCAGGCGACGCCACTCCGCCGTGAATCATTGCATCCCCCGCATACTGGTGTGCGTACTTCCAGAGAGTGCCCCTATTCAAGTAGTCAACGCGAGACGGAAAGTGGAGACTCGAGGCCAGAGTGATCCAAGGAGAGATCAACATGGCCATCTGCGGTATAGCAAACTTTGGTCGAATATCTTCCAATTCGTGTTTGCTCATCCCTAGTTTGGCCCCTCTGGCCTGCTGATTCTGAACCTGAATCCCGACCTCGAGCAACATGCTAAGGATGAGTGTACCGCCGGCGGAATCGCCAGCAACGCACACCTTGGAGGCATCCTCTACCTCCTCCAACACATGCTTGTAGCCCTGTAGCGTTTGGAGAATCTGAGTGGGATACACCTCGTCTGGAACCAGACTGTAGTCCAGAGCAAAGATGGCTGGGTTCTCATACCCAGCATCAACCAGTAGGCTGTGCCATGCTAGAAGAAACTCAAAGTAAAAGTAGCTGGTGCCCATGGCGAACCCGCCGCCTGAAATAGTTTACATGAGTTAGCAGCTGCGGCAACTCGCGTGGTGTAACATGTCTTACCATGCGCGTAGTAGATGACAATATCTGGCTCAACCTCGCAATTCTGTTTAATCCAGATCCCCTTGACTTTGGCGTCTCCCTGCATAAAGAAAGTAACACAATGTCGTCAGCTCAACGCCGCCCACCTCCACGTGTATATCTTTAAGAGAGAAAGGGGAGGGGAGGAGGGGTACACAAACCTCTCCAATAGTTTCTTCTTTCCAATACACTGGAAAGTCCTTGAATCCGTGTCTCTTCATGCGCCACTTGAGAAAGGGGAGTGCCACGTCCTTGGAAAAGAAGACTCTCCCGACGTTTGCTGGTATGGTAGCAAATGCATATCGCACGCAGCGGATGACAAAGTCCTCGAATATGGTAGAGTTTTTGAGGTGGGAAGATTTGTGAGAAGAGTAGCTCCTGAAGTAACGGTTCCACACAAATTGAAGTGGTAGAGTAAATACTATAATGTAGTGAAACGCGATTTTGTTAGATTGATTTCTTCAGCCATGTATTGTGTCCAGGGACGCAAATGCAATATACATCTAACTTGCAAGCAGGGGCATTGCGTACATAGAAATGGAATGGCCCTCAGAACGACGAGTGCTGTGGGGAAGAAGCCAGCTTGATGAAGCAGCTGCGGTGCGAGGTAAAAGCAAAAGACGAAGCAGTCGATGAGAGATATGGGACCGAGGATCATGATGCCGGTAGGCGGAGCATGTGGCTCATGGCAAGTTTAAATAGTATTACAAATGAGATAATCCAAGTTTCCTAGTTTGGTTAAGGCATACGAGTGAGTGAAAGAAAGTTGATAGTCAACAAGTGAAAAGGAGGCGGTGGCCTATTGGACAAGTGTGTATAAAGAGATTTGAAAAAGAGGAAAGAAAAGGAAGATGGAGAGAAGAGAAAGAGAAAGAGAGAGAGAGAGTGTGTGTATGTGAAGAAGGAGATATATCAAAAGAGTGAAGCAGCCCAAAAAACAGCTAGTGGAAGGGAAAACAGATGTTAAGAAGCAGGACACATCTGATCAAGTTTAATACTGGGGGGAGAAGCCGCGGCAGATTTAAACGCGTGAAAATCTGGGGTGACGTTCTAATATTAAGGGTCAAAAATGCTCCGAAATGGGCTCAAGCACTAAAAAGGCCCAGGTCCGGGGTCCCGATTCAGAAGGCCGGATCGCTGGCCGATAATCTCAATTTTACTACAGTCAAGTACCACGTAGCAGGTATTTTTATGTGGCGTGGCTTAATGGATTTGGGGCTTTTTCTACGGGGATATAACTATGTGTGGTTAAGTAAGAGGCTTGCAAGGTAAAGCTTTATGGCGAGGTCAACTTGTTTTAATTTTGGGTAATGGGATCTTGTTCTACCATTGGGTGTCATGTTACGAGTACGAGATTGCGAGGTGCCAGAAATTACATAATACGGAGGAGGGGATGCTAAAATGGATACAGGCCGCTGACGACTTTGACTTGGTTGGGCGTGGCGAGCGAATCTGACCCATGTCGGGCCAGACTCAAGGCCTATTTCAGCCCATCGCCGCTTGTGGCTTTTCGATCATTTGAGGCCGTGAATTGCATCTCAATCTGGAAACCATGGGGGATCAGGGTTCCCTGCAGGGCCTTGCGGACGCGCCGTTTCCCTTGACTGAGGTTGATAAATGGGTCCTTTCGCAGTCGGATGAGGATTATAAGCTGCATGATTGGGACGATCTGAGGCACATTATCGGTGAGTGGGCTTGCGCTCTACTGGAGACTTTGGGAATTTACTATGAGAATTGCGGCCATTCTACATATATCTATATCAACAAATCAGAGGGCTGATATGTGTTTGAAGAGACAAACAACCTGAGTGTTTTGAAAAGGAAGCCCTCAGATCTCCGTCGCTATATTGCCTGGACTGCGGAGACCAAAGCACAATATGGCACCATAACGGAGTACATCCTGCAGAATCGTCTGCCTAAAGCCTGGGGACTGCCACCATTCGTGCCCGAATCGCAGGTCCCCTTTGATGCCGCCTCAGACTACAAGGTCCTGCTGAATGATTGGCCGTATGGCCTGACGCCGGAGATCACGCACATTGTTGTGTGGTCCCGCACCCCGATCCCTACTGACCCTGAGACGGGGGACCTGACGACTGAGAGCAGAGCCCAGGTGGAGAATTTTGTCAAGACGCATTTCGTCGATACGCTGGGCGCCGGAGGAGAACAGCAAGTACTGTGGTTTAAGAACTGGGTTGCGCTGCAGAGTGTGCGGACGCTGGAGCACTTCCATGTGTTGGTCCGCAATGTTGACGATGATATGCTGGAGCGCTGGTCAGGGGAGCGGCCTCAAAGGAGCGAGAAGTGAATGGATAGAGACTATGCACTGGGGCCGCTCTTGAGCTTTTTGTGTAACGTTGATTTTGTATAGACCACCATAGTTAGACAGACAGACCACCGTTTATACCACTATTTAAGCAGTCCTCCTTGCTCGACGGTTTCCTTGCGGCGCAGCGTTGTTGTCGGCACTGCCACCACCTTGCATCGAGGCGAGTGCATTCTTGCCCATGCCCAAAAGTCCGTAGGCGAGGTAGGCGCCATATGCGGGAACCACGGCATACAGCATCCAGCCCCATTTGCCAAACAGTATCGCAGAGACGATGGATGCCCACGCCACCCAAATGACATCAAACATGTACTCCGTCAAGCCGGCGGCTGCCAGGTCTTCGCCCGAGCTCTTGAGGGCGCCGGTTGCGGCATCGTACTTGGGTCGGCCAGACGTCTCGAGGATATATTCGCAGATGAAGCTGGGGACCGAGACGAGGCCGTAGACGAGCAGAGATCGAGAGCGGAAGAAGAAATGCGAGAGGAGGAAGAGCACGTGGACGACGAGGGATCCGATGTGCAGGTTGTTGAGGGAGGCCGCATTGGATTTGGCGCGGTCCTTTTTCGCTTTTTGAGCCATGGCTGATTCTTCCGAGTTTGTCTGTTTTCAATTGGCTGCTTGGAGGAGCGGGAATTGCAAAGTGAGGCTTTGGTGAAATCTGGTTTCTTTGATTCGAGGTTAGAGGAGCCGGGCCTTGCAGCTTGGGTGGGGACCTGCTGTCGATAAAACCGAATCGCTGCTAGCCGTGGGCTGCTGGTAGCGTAGTGGCAACGATATACAGCGGGCTGGGCGCTGTCTCTCCAGCGGGCTGCCCGCTGTGTTGTTACCGCTATCCCCTCCGCTGAGGGGTGGATCAGCCCGCTGACCCCCCCTTGTTGCTAGGCAATGGCGGTACGTCGTCGCGCCAATCGAACCGCCGCTACCACAACAAGCCGCTGTCTCTCTCTGTACTGCCTGCGCGCCGCGACTCCAGCCAAAAAGTTTGGAGACTTTCCTCACATCCCGTCACGCCACTCCCTCCCTTCGAAACGGCCCTCGCGAGGTTGCTGCGCCCGCGAAACCGAAACGCAGCTTCTTTGAATATTCGCCTATTCTCTGCTCAAGAGAATCGCGGAAGCAGGCAGTAAATCTACATCTATTCAGGAGACCATCGCCCCTCCTCTCCGCCGGAGCGCAATTCGGCCTTTGATTCACGCTCGCTAAGACCCGCCATTCCATTCACGGGGGACGTCTTTTTCTTTCTATTCCGCAAAAGCCCGCCGGTTGGGAGCGCTCTTGTCTTTGTTGGATCGATAAGGGAAAAGAGGAAGCGTTTTGAGAAGCTGTGGTTGGAATGCTCAGGGCTGTTCATATTCTTTCGTCATCGCCAATAGCTGCTTATCCGAGTCTCTTCATCTTTGCGCCTACCAGCTACTCTTTCACGACTACCGATAATACTTGACGCACGCATATTTGTCGACCCTTTCAACCTTTCCCTTACGACTTTATTTGACAAAGGTGCGGCACGACCTGTCTGGGACTTTGAACGGCCGGCGCTGCCCCTCGTCATCTTGAATTTCTGTGTCGACGAAAGTCTCATGGCCCAGATACATCGGTGACGACACTTCGCAGTCTTCAGCGACTTTTATCTTTTATCTGCCTTGTCGGGGCCCCCACCACTTCCAGGATGGCGCCAAGCCCGACTGCTGTCGGGAGTCTCCTGCGACAAGTGGTCTATTACCATCTCGACAGCGGCTCCTACGACAACGCCCTTTTCTTCGCCGAACGATACGCCGCGCAAGACCCTCGATCGAGCGAAGCCGCCTACCTGTACTCGCTATGTCACCTTCGACTCGGCGACTACCGATCCGCGTATGATGCGAGCAAACCGATGGGATTTCGTGGTGTGCATTTGGGTTGCACCTGGGTCTTTGCTCAAGCGTGTTTGGCTCTGGAACGGTACAAAGACGGCATCGCAGCTTTGGATAAGGCCAAGGGCTCATGGTCGCAAAAGAATACCATGGGCAAACACAGCGCAACGACTCGAGCTGCATACCCCGATACCCCTGCGGTGCTTTGCTTGCTGGGAAAGCTGTACCGCGGTTACGATGACAAGAAGAGGGCTGTGAGCTCCTTTGAGGAGGCATTGAAGCTCAATGCGTTTCAATGGGACGCTTTCAAGGCTCTTTGCGACATGGGCGTCAAAGTTCGTGTGCCAAACATCTTCATGGCCAGCGACAGCTTACTACAGAACCTTGGTCAAGACTTGACAATAGTAAATGCTGAGCTGAGCATGAGCATGAGCACGAGTCAGAGTCAGAGCCAGGGCCAGAGCCAAAGCACCATCTCAAACTCTTTTGAGCAACAGCAACCGCAGCAGCCTCCGAAGAAGTCATCCATGAGACCCGTGGCAGCCGACATGGGGCCCGATCCGTTTGGCGTTAGTTTTTCTGCCGCAGACATGACTCCCATGACCGAAAACATGCTGGCAAATACTGAGAGCGACTTCATGTCCAGGATGCAGAATGCTAGATTCAAGCTTAAGAGCTCATCCAATCACCATCAAAACGACATGGAGGGCCTCGAGACTCCAACAGGGCCGCCAGCGGAAGCAATGATGTCTCGGTCTAACAACCTGCAGGAACCACCCCATGCGCCCGCCAGGAGGACCCGAAATGCCCAGCATGCCGACCAGACACTCGAAGCGCCGCCACGGATGAACCATCGACTTGGATCGAGGAAAAATGCTACTACACGGGAGAAGAACAGCCAAGAGCAGCCTTTGGAACCCATCTCAGATACCCCCAGCGCGCATACCGGAAATTCCAGGTCAAGTGCCATGTCGACAACCGATAGGAAACGAACGCTTGCCGGCCACCCAGTATCACGATCAACAAACATGGAAGAACATGCTACGAGGCGAAGTGCCCGATTGATAAAACCGTCGGGCAAACCGAACTCGACAGCAACAAACCCAGCTGCCGGAGGAGCTCCCGGTGGACGAGAGTTGAAAAAGGCTAGACCCCCAGTCTCTCGAATGATGCGGCCGGGTTCTGGTGGCTCCAACGCCGTAAGGGTTGTTAGTGGAAACCGAAAACCTTTGGAAGACCACAGCGGAGAAGGGGAATACGATGAGATGGTCAAGGTCAGAGAAGCCTCAGTTCCGCCCTCCAAGGTTGCAGAACACAGCTTCGTAAAGTTCGAAGAGGCTTTGCGATGGGTAATGGATTTGATGAAGAAGCTTGGGAGTGGATACTTTTTGCTATCGCAATTCCAGTGCCAGGAAGCAATCCAGACATTGAGTGCGCTGCCTGCAGCTCATCAAAGCTCGCCCTGGGTTTTGGCGCTCATGGGACGTGCCCACTATGAACAGGCTTCATATGCCGAAGCAGACAAGTTTTTCCGCAGGATGCGGGCACAATGCCCCTCACGCCTGGAAGATATGGAAGTGTATTCTACTATTCTCTGGCATTTGAAGCGGGAGACGGACCTCTCCTTTCTGGCCCATGAACTTGTGGACGCCGCATGGCACTCCCCGCAGGCGTGGTGCGCCTTGGGCAACGCATGGTCTCTCGCGCGAGACCCCGAGCAGGCTCTCAAATGCTTCAAGAGGGCCACCCAGCTGGACCCAAAGTTTGCTTACGGCTTCACGCTACAAGGACACGAGCATGTCACCAATGAGGAATACGACAAAGCCCTCACGGCTTACCGGCAAGCGATATCAGCAGACAAGAGGCATTACAACGCCTACTACGGCATTGGAAAAGTTCACCAGCGCTTGGGTGCCTATGACAAGGCCCTCACTCACTTCCAGGCTGCACATGTCATCAATCCTAACAACGCCGTGCTGGTAACGTGCATTGGACTGGCGCTCGAGAAGCAGAAGCAAATTATACCAGCACTGCGTGCTTATTCCAAGGCAGTCGAGCTCGCTCCGCAAGCTGCTTCCGCGAGATACAAGAAAGCGCGAGCTCTCCTCCTTGTTGGACAGATTGAAGAGGCGCAGAGAGAACTTGTCATATTGAAGGATATGGCCCCAGACGAGGGCATGGTACACTATCTCTTGGCGCAGTTGCATAGGAGTATGAATGAGAGGCAAGAGGCAGTCCGCCATTACACTATTGCTTTGGCATTGGATCCAAAGGTAAGTCCTCCATTCAAAATGCTTCTCTCTCTTTTTTTGCATGTGACTGACGAATCCATTATAGGCTGGCCCGCAGATTAAGGAGGCGATAGAGAGTTTTGAGGATGATATACCAATGGACGACTCAATGATTTGATGATGATGCTCATGAGTATCTTTTTTCTAAGAGGCTTGGACGGTTTTCTCCTGAGCAAGTTTTGATAATAGGGGCTCAAAGTAGCACTACGTGTAATATGAACAAAAAAGGGGAGGCTCGGTTTTCTTTTTCTTAACAATCCTGTTTTCAGTACTCATCACGCTTGGGTATGGAATTTGGAAGCTTACTCGCTTACAAAAGGTATAACTTTTTGGGGCTATTCAAAACTTCGGACAAAGGGAGGAGCAAGTGTAGTTGACGGCATGGCAGCCTTTTTTGCATGGCATCGGCGTTTTTTGGAGTACCTAGGAGAGGATCTCGCCTCGAAAAAGCTTCATCTTTGGCTTGGCTTGGCTTGGCTTGGACTGGGCTTGAAGTTGAGAAAGCATTGGTCTTTTTTTTTTCTTTTCTTTCGTTCTTTTTCTTGATTTGCCTTTTTGCTCCATGTATTTGAATACTATAGCACACAGGAAAGGAGGAGTGGTAAGGGGGATCCCTTTATCGGCTGTATACTATTTTTGCACATACCTATTCGTACTCTGCTCGATGTGGTGTTTTTGATTCGGAAGTGATCACTACCTAGATACCTCTGGAATAGGAGGGAGATGGTGAAGTTATCCGTTGGGACCTGGATGCCTCTTATCTACCTATTAAACTAAAGAAGAGTATCATTATTATTAAGCCAGAGCATACTTGGTGGTTAATTGTGGTGATGCGTTGAGGCCTGTCGTGGCTTTTGCACATGTTCGAGTAAACACGGAAGAGTAGGTAGGTACCTTTCGCTGACAGCACCGCATCTGGCTGTTTACAGCGCATTTTACACTGTACTGATGGGCACCTCAGCCTCAGCCACGGCTCAGTTCCAGTGTCCGTTTGGCATTATTCGGCAACGGTGGCGTAGCTCCAAGGGAAGCTGTCAATGGCCCATTTCGGCTACCGTTTTTGTTTACAACGCGCTCGCATGCAGCCGATATTCTTCCGAATAAAAAAACAGAGCCCGCTAAATCAAAAATTAGGTCGCGCATGTTGTGTGTCCCGCGCTTCCGAAAAAAAAAATAGGCGCACCTGAGAAAAAGGGAGCCCGGGAAAAAAATAAAGCAGCCAACCACTCAGGTCGCTCGCACCAAAATAATAACACAAGGTACCTGCACCAGAGGTCGAATCAAGCAGATCAGCAGGTACCATTTCAAAAAAAGGCTCCCGCCACCCCACTCCCAATTAGGAATAGCATTAAAAAAATAATCAACAGAGAACGCGCAGAAAAGCTTAAAGGGCCACTGATCTGGCGCTGATTGCCCGCGCGTATTTATTCCTCGCGCTGTCCGCCCCGCATGCAACGCCTCTTTTCGCTCTTCCACTCCTCGTTCTTTTTCTTCCTTTGAAACGTCATTTGCAAGCAGTGACGCGTTTTTAACGGATTCCACTATATCCCAACACACGTTTTCATCACCACATCTATCAACATGACTGGCCGTAAGTATTCTTCTATCTGCTTCATTGTTCTTGCATGTTGTTTCATACATGTGCGCGGCCGTGGCAGCGATGCCGGCGCGCTGAGTAATTGAATTCCTGGAGTTGGTGATGCTGACTGTCGTGGGTTTTTAGGTGGAAAGGGCGGAAAGGGCCTTGGCAAGGGCGGTGCCAAGCGTCACCGCAAGATTCTTCGTGACAACATCCAGGGCATTACCAAGCCCGCTATCCGACGTCTCGCTCGTCGTGGTGGTGTCAAGCGTATCTCTGCCAGTAAGTTTCCTGCCCACTCCTGATGAGATCATCATCGATGGTGCCTGGATCGAAGACTAACGGGCTGCAACAGTGATCTACGAAGAGACCCGTGGTGTCCTCAAATCCTTCCTCGAGGGTGTCATCCGTGACGCCGTCACCTACACCGAGCACGCCAAGCGCAAGACCGTCACCTCGCTGGACGTCGTCTACGCTCTCAAGCGACAGGGCCGCACCCTGTACGGTTTCGGTGGTTAAGCGTAGGGACACGCGTGTTTTTTGCTCTTCTGCGCTGGGGTTATATGTGCAAATAACGTGGACTCTTCTGTACTTTGTGATCGAAATGGCGTTGGGGGGAATGGGCTTACGAGGAGGCGTCATGGTAGACGACCTTACGTTAAATGAGAATACCACATGAATACAAATACTATAATCATATTATTTCGGCGTGTCTATTCAAGAAACACAAACTCGCAAACTGTCATTATTCTCGTGTTGACATTGTAAAATCCATCCGTTACGCGTTCATCTCTCTCTATATTTACAGGTATTTCCGTCCAGCAGCTGCTACCCTAGCTCTAAAGATGGGACTCCGTACTTCCATATTCACTTTGTAAAACGGATTCATAATCGCTTTAACCCAGTTGTCATAGACTTCTGTAAAGAACATTTTGATTGCCTCTTCGGTAGCTGGACTCGTCGGATTGGCGCCAATAGCGGTCGACGATCTAGAAGTGGCCGTTGAGGTCGGGGTGGTGGGCTGATGCAGCAGCAGGAACTTGACGTTGCCGCCGGTGACGAAGCAGGAGATGTAGTTGTTGAAGAATTTGTCGATGCACTTTAGGTACCTGATTTTGTTGCGCGGACGTGGTAAGCCAAGCTCTATGCTCTCTCAGCCTTGATGTGGCTTCACATGCACGAGTATGTGATATCCAGACAATAGGCCTCTGTAGGCAAGGCAGATGGACATGGAGCGCAACAGAAGTAAAATGAAGGAGAAAAAAAAAAAAAAACCACAAGCATCAGGGACTCACATCTGACCATGCGACCACTGCACTTCCTCAGCAATATCCAGACTCGAGTGCAGGATGAACTGGTTCAGGTGTCGCACTTGTTCGGTGAAGCGGGACTGGCCATCGCCGCCTTGCTTCGAGGTGCCGAACTCGTACTCGAACAGGGGATTGTCCTGGGTGCCGACAATGGCAAAATAGTAGCTCATCGTGCTGCTGCGCCGCCGCACATTGGGCGAGGCTTCTGCGCGCGGAGGGGAAGAGGCGTGGAAGCTTCTTTGATCGTGATGCTGGAGATGTCGATTCGATACAGAATGATTGGCGGCGGGATATGATGCTGGAGAGAAGGGAGGGGCGTGTGCGACTGCTATGGCGCATCGTTGTTCCGACCGGAGCACACGCCCCCCCCCCAAATTCCGGAGGGGCCAATCCGATGCAACTGCGAAAAGCTTCGAAAACTCGCCTGAGCAGCTACCGACTGGTTTTTTTCGCAATTCGCCGGCAGCCCAGCGCAAAAGACGACGACATTATGTTCGGCCCATTCCGCGCTACGAACTCGCTCTCCAGCGGTCTTTTGTGGAAGATCCCCTGGCGGCTGTCGAAATTCCAGAAGAGGCGACACAGGCTGCGACTGCGGGCGGTGGATAGCGTGGTAGCGACGCTGGACACTGCACTGGCGAAGAGGGGACAGACTTTGGAGGCGATTGAGCGGTGGAAGGCGGAGATGCCGACGGAGGAGGAGATGTTGCCAAAGGATAAATATACCATGTTTGATCGGAAGGAGAAGAAGTACCGAAAGGGCATTCACAGTATGGGCTTCCTCCGTTTTTTTTTGTTTCTATGGCTGGGTGAAAGTGCTGACGCTGATTTTTTTTTAATAGAATTGCCAAAGTGGACGAGAGTTTCGCAGAGAGTCAACCCTCCTGGATACTAAGACGCCGGGACGAGAACGGATATATCAATGTACGACAAGCGAGTTACAATGTATTCTGACTGAGGAAGGTCCACGGGACGAGAGAGAAGGAAAATCAACGATGAACATACGCGACGATATATAAGCAGCGACTTATTGTATACTATTTACCACTTTACACTACGATGGAGTATTTTTGGGCTTTACGGGCAGGATAGAGATATAACGGGGGAGAGGAAAGAGGGAAAGAAAAGTATCATCTGGCTGCAGGGCACAGCGGTCAACTGTAGGAATACTCGGATGGTGGGCGTTCAATTTGAACGGCGCGTTGAATTAGATGAGAAAAAGCTAGAAATTTGCGCTGAAAGAACCAAAATGAACCCATATCTAAATCCCCTTACAAGGTATCGTTCCCAAATGCCAAAATTCCAAAAAAAAAAACACGATCCTTTCAAAACGACCTATCTGCTATACCGACTATCGTCGTCATTGTTCCGTGATTTCTCGCCCTGCAGCGCTCTGCCCGTGCCTCCTCGGCCCTCGTCGAAATCCTCGCGGTACTCATCTCGGACTTGGCCACCAGACTTGCCTCGGCCAAACTGTCTTCCCTCTTCGAAGCCTGGGTCCAAGTCTGTACGGATGATGCGCTCGTCTAGCTTCGTGCCGCCAATGTATTTCATGCAGTCTAGGGCGTCCTGGTGGGTGTAGTATTCGACGAAGCAGAAGCCACAGGGGGTCTTGTTGAATCGGTCGAGGCCCATGACGAGGCGCTTGATCTCGCCGCACTTTGAGAAGAGCTCGTGGACCTGCTCTTCAGTGGTGTAAAATGACCTGTAGGTGCCGTGTTAGGCTGTGTTACTGGGGAAAGAGAAGTTCTATTGGAGAGGGTTGAACCGACAGGTTGCCGACATAGAGAGTCGTCGCGTTGGCGAGAGGATCGACGGCGGGTTCCGTGGGCTCCTCTGCGTTGTCGTCTCGATCGCGTCTGCGCTTATTCTGGTAGTTTGTGAGTGTCTGTTGTACGGGATCCGCTGGGGAGAAGACGCAATGGATGCTGGCGATGCTGAACGTACTCTGCTGAGATAGTAGGCACTCGGCCTGTCGAGCCGCTCGACGGTGCTCCCAACTTCGGTGCGCATCGTGAAGTCGAGTTCCAAATGGAAACTTGAATACTATGGTGAAGACTGAAAGATTATCGCAAAAACTCTCAATTTCTAGGAGAGCTAATTGAATTGACGTTTATGCGGACAAGTGAATTGGTTAGACGAAGCTTGAACAAGTGCGTAGCCTGCAAGCTCAAGCAAAAAAACCGGCCAGCCTGATGGAGCATCAACCAGTCGCTGATGCAAGGCACCTGGAGCACTAAAAAGGGATCTCACAGCGATTGCGGGTGGGCCCCCCTGCCACCCAGTTGCCCCAGATAACGCGCTAAAGCTTACCTGGTGCTTTCGCAGTCCAACAGCCGCGCTTTTTACAAAAAAAAAGCTTCTAGCCAGCCTTCAATTGGGATTTTTTTTTCCTTTTTGGCCTGATCCGACAGACGCAGCTCTCGCGGAGCCGCCAGGACGAAACATCAGCTTCCGCCAGCTAGTACTTGACATCGCTAAAGAGAAGGACGGGGAGTTGGGACAAGGAACGGAAAGGGTGCCGAGCTGGAGAGCCAACCTCGCAAACGAGCCCAGCATGCCCAAGGTGAAGCATTATTCGGCAGCTTGGCTGTCCAAGAACGCCCCGGGCAACCAGCTCTTTGAGCCTTCGGCCGACTCCCTGCGATCCAAAGCCCTGTCGTCGCCCTCGAAGAAGAAGCAGACTCCGGGACCCAGGAGAACCATTGCCCGTCGCGGAACGGAGGTGTTTGTTGCCGTGGGGAAGGAAATCCGATGGGGTGATCTGGTCTACCTCAAGGAAGAATGGATGGAGAAACAGTCCAGGAGGAGGAGAAGTTCGAGCGTTCGAGTGAAGCAGGAGGACGATACCTTGCACTCGATTGAGCTTGAGCCGGCTGAGATGGCCGCTGGATGGAGGGTGAGTTTAGAAAAAAAAAACAAGCTGACAACACAATATGATATCATGATCAAAGCATCTCTGCTACACCAATCGCTAACAAATCTGCAGACACTCAAAATACCGGTGGCCGACGACATCCGACAGCTCAGCATCTCCCCGAACACGAACCTGCTGGCCGTTCTCACGACGCATACCGTCCACATCTGTGTGCTGCCCGACTCCTCTCACCTGACGAGCGACGATGCCAGCCCGTTGAAGCCTAAAACGTACACCCTCGGACCGACGACCCACGTCACCTCTCGCGCTCCCATTGCATCCGCTCTATGGCACCCTCTGGGAGTTAACGGCTCTTGCGTGGTGACTGTCACGGTTGACGCAATTGTCCGCGTGTGGGAGCTGTCGACGCAGGACCGCTGGTCGTTTGATTCTCCAACAACGTCAATAGACTTGAAGAAGTTGGCGGATGGTACGAATGTGGACCAGGATTTCTCTGCATCGGTGTCGGCCACCAGCAAGGCCTTTTCTCCCGACTCGTTTGAGATGGAGGTGGCCGCAGCAAGCTTCGCGACTAAGGGATCCGGCGGCTGGAATCCGATGACGTTGTGGGTGGCCATGCGAGAGGGAGATGTGTATGCGCTGAGCCCCCTTCTGCCACAGCGTTGGGCACCTCCGCCGACATTGATACCTTCGCTTTCAGTGTCCATCGTTACCACCGTAGCGGCCATTGAGGACGACCCTAGTGTTGACGACAAGACCAGGCTGTTGGCACAGCAACAGCTGCAGTGGATGGGCGAGATTGATTCTCAGGAACCCCAAATCATCGATTCTGTGATCCCAGGGGAGCCTGCCCTGGAGGTTTACACGAGACCTACACGGCCTGGCGTTACACCTCGTCTTCAAGGACCGTTTGATTTGCAGTCGGATCCAGAAACAGGAGATGACTTGGATAGCTCCATCACGGACATCCTTGTCATAGGAAAGAAGACGGAGACAGAGGATCTCATGCTGGGCGAGGAAGACGAACTGGATTTCGACAATGGAGATCAGGAAGGTCTCTCTCTCACCATCGTTTGTCTGTTGTCAACCAGCGGCCAAGTACGAGTTTACCTGGATACCGATGGAGTCCAAGCCCAGTGGCTCCCCCCCAAGGGCAAGAGCAGGCTCATCCGTGCTCTAGCAGCTGAAACGGAGCCGCCTACTTTGCTGGCGTTCCAGGCCATTGATACCATGACCCCAGTCGAAGTCAACGAGGGCAGCTGGCCGGTCTTCAGCCTGGACGTTACGTCACGATACAGCTTCTTTGTTACACACCACGCAGCCATCACCTTCATTTCGCTCACTCCCTGGATTTTCAGACTAGAGGGAGAGCTACAAGGGGAGTTTGAAGCCGGTACGGATTTCCGTGTCGGTCTCCTGGCCAACTCACAGTCAATCAGAGACAGGGTCTACGCACAACAGGCAGCAGATGTCAATATCCCCCTGGCAGCTTGTGTTACCATTAGGGATCCGGATCTTGAATACTTTTTACTCTCAGCAACCCCCTACGAGCCTATCGCTCTGACGTTTGAGACACCTGATGACGAGCGAGTCATCATAAAACTGGAACAGGAGACCCCCGTCCGCGAACGTGAGGCTAGCATGGCTCCTCTGGACTTTTACGAGCCCCGCCCAGTATACTACCCTCCACACACCTTTAGCGAATCATCTGCTCTATCAGAGCTGCTGGAGCGCTTGCGCACGTCTCGCCACAAGACCATCGTTGGCCAGGAGGTGAGACTCAGTCCACTAACACTGTCCATCTTCACCGACGCGCACAAGGTGCTCAGTGAGGAGACGTACAAGCTGGGTGTAGCCGCGGCCGAGGTGTTTCGCCGATGTGAACTCTTACAAGCGGAATTGCGGCAACAGGTCAGGAAAGCCAATGAGGTCAAGGGCAAGATTGACACCATCAACGGAGTTCATAGGGAGAATAAGGAGCCAGATAATGCCATGTACGAGAGGCGAATCAATGAGGCCAGGGAGCGGCAGGAAAGACTAACGCAACGGATGGAGGACCTGCGGAAGATGGTGAGCAAGGGAACTACGCGGGATCTAAGCACCAAAGAGCGGGCATTTGTGGAGGAAGTCAAGTCTATGGAGGGTAGTGTATGCGGACCGGCTCCAGGGGCTGAGGCCGGGTCTCGAAACCTGGCGAAGCAGGTATGGAAGCGGCTGGAGGAGGTCAAGAGGCTGCAGGCAGAGCTGGTGGCCGAGGCCGAGGCCCAGAAGAACGCCAGCGGGCCCGAGTCCCCAGCATCAACGAGCGTGGATCTCCGAATCCCACAAGACATACGACGCAGCAAGCTGCAGCAGGTGCAAGGTCTGCTGTCCAGAGAGTCTGCGCTAGTTGAAGCGGTGACATCACGGCTGGAGCGACTGCAGGCCAGCATGTAAAACCCCTGACTTACTTGGCATGGCCTCATGGAGGCTGGGAGTTTAGGAGGAGTGCTGTTGCTGATACTGCTGGTACTTGCTTGGGCTGGGAAGAAGGGAGAGCTGCTACTGTTTTATAGGATATGTTTGTAATGAGCTTGCTTGAGGTAATGGATTTTACACGGCGAACAAATGAAGACTGGAACAAATGCATTTTTTTCCCCCCTTTGATTGTATGAATAGGACTTGTTACTTTCTCTTTTGCTTACCCTTTGTCTGTCCGGGTTCATTTTCGCGGGCTCAAATTACGTTGTGTCTCACAAACGAATGCCATTAAGACACAATACTACTGTGTATAGATGATCATGTTCACGGGATGGTATAGCTGGTGCTTCTCAAGGCCAGCCGCCCAGTTCTAGGCTTTCTGGACAGGCTACACAGGACCATGTCCCTGTTAGTACGACCTCATCTGCGACTACCGCCAGCCTTCTCATGCCCGGGTGTCGGAGAGCCAGTAATCTAGACTCCACACCGGAAGCAAACAAATGCTTGACGAGAGGCGGCAGAGCCAATAATTTCAGATTGCCAATCAAATGTGTCTGAGGATCTTTTGTCAAAAGCACTGCCCTTTCTTGTTAATCACATGCCTCTCTTCTCTCTGCTCGGATATGCTATCCAATCTCGGTGAAGCTGGCTATGCCTGAATTGAACAAGACTGCCCCAAGTGCTGCAGCCTTTGAGGTGGGATTGAAAGCAGGGCAATCGAGTCACGCTGGCATCAGGCCTGCGTGGGAGATGTTGATAGGTTGAGATGGGAGATGGGAGAGGGAGGCTGTTTCATTCGAGACCAGGTTATCGGAACTCTGGGAGGGAGACGGGATGGCCATGGGACTGATCAGCTGTGGCTTGAGACTTGTAGGTGATGAGATGGCTGACCTGCATGGGGTACGCCGCTGGTCGAGGTGTGACTGTTGGGGGGGCTATCTCTTGCTGTGAAGCCTCGTAAGGAGAGATGGTAAGTACTGCTTCATGGGTCGAAGGATGGGCATAAAGAGAAGATTGAAGCCAGACATGATTACATGGCATTTTCTTTTTGGAGTATTTCTGAGGGTTTAGGTAATTGAAATTGTTATGAATACTACAAGTATGGTGTAAGCCGGGGTTGTGATTTGTTTGTGACCTGCAGGCGTATAGCCTGATTTTCTGGAGTGAGTACCTGCATGTACTTGATACTTTTGATTTTGAACACGCAAGCATATGACTGCCTTGAGATTGCGGAAATGATGGCGCAAGAAAAAGCAAAGGAGAAGCAATAGTTGAGAGTGCTAGCAATGCAGGTCGTCAGCCCTCGCCGGCTTCGATGCTACCCCTGGTCGAGGCCTTGTCTCAGCCTGAGCTGCTGCTATTACTCGATTTCCTGGTTGGTGGCTCTGCTTTGCGGATAAGACATGGACTTGGTAGTGGTAGTGATGGGAGATAGATGTATGTACGCGCCTTGATGTTTGGGTAATACTAATTTTATATTGTTGTCTAATTTGTGCATCGTATATCCTTGATGCTTTTTTTTCTCGGTGAGTAGGGGACTGAATACAAGGTGACAGCAGTGGACGGAACACTTCCGCCTGGATATTGCTCCTCGTTTCGCTTTCATTTTTTTTTCTTTTCTTTTTGCTTTTGTTTCTGGTCAATCACAAGCCAACTACGCACTATTATGCTGAGACCTTCTCCGCAGTGGCTTGCTGCTGTGATACGACGGCATAGACAGACAAGGATCGTGTTTGTTTGCCAGAAAAAAAAAAAAAGGTGGCGGACTCGGCTGCATGAGAGGCTTCGTGCAAGGGAGGTCGAAAGTGGAAGTGAATGGAAGTCGAGAGATGAGAAGCGCTGAGCACGATAAAGATGTGTGGAGGACATACATATGCAGTGGGAGGTGAAGTGCACAAGGTTGTGCAGTGTCAGTATTTTTTTTGGGTAGGCTTTTCTCGGGTATATATAGTTGATGATGTTTCCCGTCGAGATGTTGAGGGCCTCTTACTTCTCTACCGCTACTGAGAAGGCACAGCTTTACTTGTCGAGTTTTTGTTCAGTCTTTTACATCTCCGACCAACGTCTTCAGCTTTTCGCTCGGATTCTCGCCTTTGTTACTTTTATCTCTCTTTTATTCCTTCTTCTGTCGTTCACGATGCAGCTCGGATCCTCTCTTGAGACCCCTGAGGTAACCGAGCGTATGAACCACGGAGGGACCAACTATGTTGAGTTGATCAAGAGTAAGTTCAATCATGGCTCCCGGACTTGCTTCTTTACCATTCAAAGCGGTCACAAGTGCTGATTCTTTTCATTTCACTTTAGCCAACCTCCAATTCCTCTACGGAAGAGACGTCCCCATCGAGATCCTGTCCCAGGTCACGCCCCCTGACACCTGGCAGGTCACCGTCCTCAAGACCGAAGACGGCATCCGCTCAATTGCCATTACCGAGTCCGGCGAAGGCCTCACCAACGTCCTCAAGCAAGCCCACTACCAGTCCGGCGAGCTGCTCACCGAGTTCGCCTGCGATCCCACGCAGGACAACTCCACGCTGGGCAGGCGTGAGGCGCTCCAGATTGACATTGCGACCTCTGTGGCCGACATGTTGACGGGCAGAAACAAGGAGAGTCTGGACGGCAGGGCTGCTGAGGGCAACGCCTCTGATGATGCAGCCTGGCAGGAGGCCTTTGACAATGCGCGGAAGCTGATGGGCCCCAACGACGGCGACCCTCCGCGCATGCTTGCTGCGGACGTTTGCTGGATCAACGAGCTGAACCGCAAGAAGCTGGATGACTTTTATGCAAAGAATCCGCACAAGATGCCCAGGGGCGGTCCGGGCTATACTCTTTTGCCGGAGCCTGCCGAGTCGGGGGATTCGTACAGTCGGCCACAAGCCAAGCCACCTACCGATATCCAAGTCACCACGACGATTTCATCGACTTCTGCTGACGCCTCCTCTGTCCAGGGCGCTGCCTCTGCCGCCACCGTCGCCATGTCCCCTCGGCGGGAAGCGTCAAAGCCGTACAGGGAGGTTCTCAACTCGAGGCGCACGGCCGCGAACAAGAAGCGCCACAGCATCGTCATGTACATCCACCTCAGCGGCTGCGGCGAGTCCGTCGTCGCCGACGAGTGCCAGCTCAGCGTGAATGTGGTGGAGAGCCGCGTGCGGTACATGCTGCGCGCGCACGGCCGGGCGCTCTTTGGCGAGGCCAACGCGAGCAAGATGCCGGCCGTCATGTTCATGCCGGGCAGCGCAGCAAAATACAATGTGGTTATCAAAGGCATGCGCGTCAACGACGCCGTGGCGCTGCTGGGGCCGCAGTTTGGCGACGACTTGGAGGCCATGGCGGAGAATGTGCAGGCCGAGAGGCCGGTGAAGCTGCAGATTGAGCTGTTGTGGGATGGGGAGTATCTTCCGGGGGTGAATAGGGCTGCGCTGAGTCCGGCTGCGGCGGTGACGGCCAAGGCGTATGAGGCTTCTCAGGCTGCTGCTGCTGCTGCTTCGACTCCTGATACTGCTTCGGTTGATGATGACAACTAGGTGTAGATGGATGTAGATAGGGGGCCTACTATGGCATCTTTGGATCGTGAAAGGGGTGGAGGACTTGTGGTGAGGTTATTGGGAATGGGCATTCTATGGCCTACTTGTTTGCTGTTTAGTGATGTTATAATTGATTGCTGTTAACTTGTTTGTAATTCATCGGAGCCTGTCTGTGAATCTGTGAATTCGTGATTGTATTTCAGTTGGACTATATGAGTGCGGATATTAAAGCTGCCTCGTATACTCTTTATATCCTAACATTCTTATATAAATCAGAAGTGTCTCTTTGTTTAGCTTGTAGCCAAGCTCCTCTCATCGCACACAAGTCAATCTTCCCTATGAGTAGATTTATTTCTTCCATATTCTACAAGAACGACATCACATCGCTCAAAACTGCGGTGAGGAGAGGGAGCAGGCAAACAAAGCACATGCATGCACTAGGATGCAGCCTGCTTATCACGCAGCTGCATGTCGTCCTGCGCATAAATTTACTCTGGTCTAGACTCGGAGCGACCCCAGCCATTTGCATCATGTCCTGGAATAATCGAGTACGAATAGTCACTCTTGCTGCGTGCTAGGCTGGTCAGCTCCATTCGGGACTGTCTTGGACTATCAGAGCCGGGTCAGGAGAGACAGAGCTTGCAGGTGGTGGTGTGCCACGGAAATGCTCTATTTTACTTGAAACACCGATGACCCATGGCATTTTGTCAATCTATTTGATAAGCTGCCTCTTCAGTTCAAACGTTAATACCACACATAGGCAATACTTCTTCGTCAACGGCACATGTATGGTACAAAAGGCGTTGTTTGTGACACAGACAGCATCTAAGAGGCGTCTGTTATAGTCTAATTACGGCCAAACGCCTATGCTCAAGGCGTTTATGCGGATAGGCATCGAGCATGCCAATGTAACCTCAGCTACATGCCGATGCTACACAGGCAGGTCCTAGGTCTGGGTTCGGCAGTGATCAGCGCCACCTTGAAGCTGGGCCATGATGTATGAAGGGCGGCTAGGATGTCCCGAGCCTCGCCTTTCAGCCAGCCTGAATTTTGTATTACTGCCCCCCCCTTCTCTATCATGTATTCCTCCGTTGATAAGCAGAAGCCGTTTATGAAAACAACAGGATCTTTTGTGGAAACTCATGGAATGTTATGTAGTTGGGGAGCAATATCATAAGCGTCTATAGGTGAGATATCGGAAGAGAATGCTACTACATGTGTATCTAAGCGCCGGCACGAAGCGACCCGGCCGATCTAGTTCCTGGCTGGTGGCGGGTCCCTCGTTTTTTTGCAAAGTGACCGCTTGTTGTTTAATTACCACCATGCATGTGTGCCTGGCGTGAATTTGGGAGAGGGGAAGAGACGAATGTGAGGCTGAAGGATGGACGCAAGGGGGGCTAGTTGCTAGGATGGGAAACCGGGATACCCCAATAATGCCATACTGGGTCGTACGATTGCCATGAACTCGGTCAAGGATAGACCAGATAAGTACAAGCAGGGCCTAGGCTAGAAATTTAGGCCCAACAAGTTGCTGTCTCAAGTTGGGCGGATGCTCTACAAGTGAATGCTCCATGAGTGGATGAAGACGGCAGAACAAAACGCCACGGTACAGGGGAGCAAAGGAAATACGAGATGTACGTGACACAAATGACGCTTTGTATGTGATTTGATTCAGAATTAAAACATTGTCAGAGCACACATGTACGAAATATCCACCCAGACAAACGTAGGATATCACATGTAGGTACACAGGAGCTTGCAACGCCGGTGGATCACGCAGCAAATTGTACCGTCACTCTCTCTTCTGCCGCGTTTCTTTTTCATGCAGCGCTTGAAATGCCGTCACTATCCGGCTATAGCTGTCGGCCAGTAGAACTATCGCAACTGAAGCATCAGTTTTTTTAGGCCTTTTGACAAGGGTACATGCAACGTTCAAAGACACGGAAGGCTTCCGCTGGAGCAACTCACAGAAGGGGGCAATGGCCCATGGGGCATTGAAGCCGACGTAGTAGACCCAGAAATAGAGAAATTCAGGCCGCGAGTAGGACACGCCGTGGAAGCGCTGCTCGGCCCAGTTGGTGGCGTAGTAGAGGGCCACTCCGTAGAGATGGGCGACGCAGACGATGATTTGGAAGACGTGCCTTGAGGGGTGGTTGGTGCGGATGCAGAGGACTGTGAGGAGGCTGAGAGGGCCCCAGACGAACTGACGATTGCACATCTACGTTAGCCAGCAGCACTGCAAAAGATGGCTGAAAGGTGATGAAGGGTAAAACGAACAGTGGTGATGGTCTCTACGCAGACGGTGAAGACATCGGAGGTGAGGTAGCGGGAGTCGGAAAGGGCGTATTCTTTCCAGAGCTGAGCAAAGAGGGTGTTCATGCCAGAAATTTCTTTGCGGTGGTAGATGTAGTATCCTGGTATTCGTCGTGAGATTAGATGATATTCCGAATCAGATGTACGCGTAGAGAAGGAGTAATATAGGGCCTATTCATGCTGAGGCCAGAAGTATTACACACCTTCAAAGGCAACATGCAAGAAGCCACCTAGTGTGATAATTAGCATTGCATTATATATAATTTGTTTTGTTCAAGAAAATAGAATCTTGGGCAGCCACGTACATAGAGCAAACCACGAGGCCGCAAATCGGTCGATGGGCCGGACATGGCGCCGGGTGCCGGTAAGAAGGAGCGCCAAAACTATTACAGCGCCGATGAGAGCCCCAAAGGCTGGAAGGGAGTGAATGAGTGGACTGTCATTTGGGATATAATTGGGAATGGAGACACCAAGAGGGTAGTATGGATGCGTGGGTTGCTCCATCTGCGTTTCAATGGATTTTGCGATTCAAGGAGTGAAGTTGGCAAGTTTGGATTTGTGGAGCTTAGGCGCATGATTATACAGTACGGAGCGTAGGAGCTATTTCAAGGGGAGCTATTGAATTGCAGCAAGATGGTGTTTTACGGCAGTGTTTTGTAATTTGAGAATTTCGATTCATATAGTTTTGATTGGTCGATTATTTGTAGAGTTTGTATCACACTCATCGCCAATTGATGTTGTTGGATTTTGAAGATGCGCGTCTCCCGTCTGAGTTGCTGTGATAGCAGCACCAAGGCTTCAATAGGATTACCTAAGTACATTAATAGTATACAAAACTTATAATTTGATCATTTAAAAGCATGATTGTGATGAGATGAGAGAAAAAATTAGAGAAACATGTTCCAAGTGAAAGATACAGAAAACGTCATTGTGTCAGAGCCTGGTACAGGTTAGTCGTGATCACTTCCGGTGGCTGGCTGACCCTCGGTGAGCCGTCGAGAGACACGGCAGGGTCACACCAACTAAAACACTCTTTTCCGATACATGCGATACCACTATTATTGATTCAATATATAATGGACTTTCAAAGATGCCTAAAACGCTCAAGATCCTTTGTGGCTGCTGATTCCATGGCCTTTGTACGACTTCCGAGTGCCTTTGATGGGCAGGATGAACAGAGTTAATAGCGCCTTGCAGGAGAGCTACCGGAAAAAGTGAGATTGTGTCGGTCTAGTAGGATGATTCTTGTTGGCGTCAGAATCTAGAGACTGTGACTGGATGGACTTGACATGTCTCAGACATGTGGCGGGCTGAATCTGGGGAGAGAGTCTGAGGTGGTTGGATGGACTGGAGTCTGGGTTTGTGACGGTCTAAGACAAGCGGCTATCCGTATGTATCTATGGAGTATATATCTCCATCTGCCTGCCTATACCTCTCTCTCATACAGTCTCCATCATTTTCCCATTCTCTTGTCGAATAAAATGAAGGCCCTTGCCGCTGTCGGTGGGCTCGCAGCTTTGCTTCCCATAGCATTGGCTTGTGGTGGCGATGATTCGTGCTATGGCCCGAAAAATACAATTGAACATGTTCGCCATGTCAAACGGATCCAGCCCGGAGCTCCCAATGCCAAACACGGCCCCAAAGGGCCCCTTGAATGGGGGCAGCTGAACATTCTCCATACGGTATGTCATGAAAGTGTTGAGAAACTGAGAGCCTCTCCTCTGCCATCTTTAGAAACGTATATAAATATATATATGTAAATTCATATGCTCGGTTGCTCACACTCACTCATCTTAGACCGATTCTCATGGCTGGCTTGAGGGCCATCTCAAGGAGCAAAACTATGGCGCCGACTGGGGTGACTTTGCCACCTTTTCGCGTCGCATGAAGCAGGCGGCTCGTGATATGAACGTTGACCTGCTGCTGGTTGATACGGGCGATCTCCACGACGGCAACGGCCTTTCAGATGCCACTCAAGTCGATGGCGCCAAGTCGATGCCCATCTTCAACGAGGTTGATTACGACCTGCTAACCATTGGTAACCATGAACTGTACATGTCTGAAGTATCTTATGAAATGTTCAACATCTGGGCAAAGAAATGGGGTGAGCGCTACATCACCTCCAACGTCAAAGTCCTCAACAAGACTTCGGGGAACTATGAGTATGTGGGTGCAACGCACCGTTATTTCAAGACTGGAAAGGGGCTCCGCGCCATGGCCTTTGGCGTTTTGTTTGACTTTACCGGAAACTCCAATGCCTCGCAAGTGATTATGGCCAAAGACTTGGTCAAAGAGCCGTGGTTCACTCAAGCTCTTGCCACTAGTGACCCCATCGACGTTTTCATTCTCCTGGGTCATAACCCTGTTAGTCAAAAGGACCCTGTAAGCACGTTCAGGGTCGTCTTTGATGAGATCCGCAAACATCATCCCGTCACCCCTATCCAGATCCTCGGAGGCCACACTCATATCCGCAACTTTTCTGTCTACGATGATAACTCCGTGGCGCTCGAGTCTGGCCGCTACTGCGAGACGATGGGTTGGCTTTCGATGAGCGGTTTCAATTCCTCCAATAGCGGCTTCACAGGCCCCAAGAATCCCAAAGGAGTGGCTAATCCGAGTCGGCCAGCACGGCCAGGCGCAAAGTCTCCTTTTCTGTATTCGCGCCGATATCTTGATTGGAATCGCCAGACGTTCACTTACCATACCAAGCAGACGGAAAAGACGTTTGACCAAGCCTTTGGTCTGAGCGTCACTGGCGAGATCACAAAAGTGCGAGAAGAGCTCAAGCTGGGGCAAGTATTCGGTTGCGCGCCTCAGACGTGGTGCATCTCCTGTGTTCCCTATGACAACCCGTCGAACATCTATCCCGGCGTCATTGTCCCCGCTGCTTCTGCCATTGTTGTCAACCAGGCGCGCGAGCACAAGTCCCGAGTTATTATCGGCAATACGAGAGGTGTCCGCTTCGATCTTCATAAAGGGCCATTTACATACGACGACAGCATCATCGTTTCATTTTACCGTGACATCTTCCTTTACATTCCTGACGTGCCTTATGCCTTGGCCAAGACTGTTCTCCCAAAGTGAGTTGAACTTTGCTGAAGCTGTTGTCCTCCTCTGTCTATGCTAACCAAGCTTATCACTCACTCAACTTAGACTCAACAAACCTTCACCCACTACGCGTGATGCTCATCTCGCTACCATGCCTATTCCCCACGACTCTTGCACTGACCCCTCTCTGGGTTATCTGACCCGGCGTGAGATGCAACAAGGCCATGGAGTCGTCCGCCGCCAGGAAACCGTCACTCCAGGCTACGTTACTACTGATGACTGGGGCACTGACGGCGATGACACGAAGCACACCAATATCCCAGAGTATACGATACCTAGATACTGGCAGGCTGAGGCAAACTTCCCCAAGGATAAAGATCCTGAACTTGTGGATCTAATCTTTTACGATCAGTAAGTTGTGTACTACTTGCGGCAGAACTGAACACTAACATGTTTTCTGTAGCCTCCAGAAGCCCATCTTGATGGATCTAGGCGCCAATTACACTGCTGCCATGGTAAACTGTTACATTGACTGTAACTTTACCTCACAAGGTGTGTTTCCATTGCAGCGTCTTTTCTTTTGTGGCTGTTATTTACTGATTTCGCGGTAGACCTTCTGCCCCTTTATGCGAAGCTCATGTGGCAAAAAAACATTGATAACTGCCCGCTTGAATCTTAAAGATGGTTTTAGAGCATGGCGAATGAATTATAAATAGTATAATCAGTGGACAGTAGGAAATATTTTACAAACTACCGGCAGCACCGTCTTCACTCCATTTCAAAATTGGAGCCATATTGTGTACCCTCTCCCACAAATCGCCCTTTTCTGCTTCTTTCCGAAACCACTCTTCCGCGGACTTGATCCTATTGGGGTGAATCTCGTCAAGAAGCTTGTAATTTCTGGTAATGACACTCTTGTTCCCTTGGCTTTCTCTCCAGATGTGCCAGAAGCCCGTAAAGTTGCGTTCAAAAGTCATGACGCTTGGATCTGTGGGGTTAGCATTATATGAAGATGGCCTTTGAGTAGAAAATTGGAGGCCAAATCTGAGTTTTGTCCAAAGACTCATGTTGGGGATCCTCATTACCGATCCCATTGCGCCAAGCGACCCGAAGTTCTCGAAATACGTCGAAAAAGGTACGTCGAGGTACTGCGCTGGTCTTCCAGTCACTTTTGTATAGGCAGCAGCCAACTCGTTGTATGAGATGTGAGAAATGGCTACTTCGAGGTCAAGGCCATTGGCACGGTCTGGATTATCGAATAACCACCGAGCGTAGATGCCACAATCCGAGAGGGCTACGTGAGCAACCTCGCCGAGTCCTGTTCGTTTTTTTCTTAGAAACAAAGGGACGTCTATTTTATATCATACTACTTACCTAAAGGAACTGACCATGTTACAACGCCATCGATGACTCTCGGTGTCATGATTGTAAGAGGTGCAAGAACCATGTCAATGTACGGGCTGCAGTCGGCTCACGTTAGAATAGATTGACACTTGATAATGGTGTACTAACATACCCGGTTGTAAAAAGAGCAACACCCATCTTTGGAGTCACATGCTGCAGGATCCATTCTTAGAAAATTGGTTAGCACGAAGTTGGCCTCCTTGATCTGTGCCGTCAACTCACCTCCAACTCTGCCCTTGCCATCGTAGTGTCCACAACGAAACTTGGGATCCCAGTTGGCCTTTTTCAAAGTATAATCAAGATTTCCCCAGACATAGAATTTTATACCAGCATCTAGGGCTATTTCGTAAGCACGTATGCCCCAGAAGATTTCTGCCTTTTCGCCGCAGTTGAAGCCGTCAATGTTAACGTACTATTGGTGGCATGTCAGAGTCTCAAGAGGTTGTAATCAAGATGAGTAGGCCTTTAAGAAGGAGATAAATTATGCAGTAAGCTTACAGCACCATCGCAGCCCTTAAATCCATTCGTAAGATCAACTTCGTTGGCAAATGAGCCTTTGAATAGCTCCACACCAGGCAACGCAGCGAGTTCCTTGGCTCGTCGACTCTCTGGGTCTCGAGTCATGACCCTTACTGTGTACTTTTCATCTTTAACAAGCTCTATGTAATGGTTCACTCTCAATCAGCAAACAGGTTCATTCATTCATATGCATCGAATAGATGCCTAGTTGCACGTCAACTATCTACTAACCCTGGATAATCGGGACGCCTTGGGCACCCGTCCCACCGATGATGAAAATCTTTTTTGTTTGGTATCTCGACATTTTATAGTTCTTGCTTCTGATGTATAGAGGGCGTGATAATTATAAAGAAGGATTCTCGAACTCTATGAACAGAAGGTGACGATCTATATATAGCTTATACTGGGTAACCCTGGATAAAGTTCTTAATAATTCCAGGCTGACAAATTGGACTCGAAATTCTATTCCAAGCAGAGCTACTTGTAAGTATGTAAATATTTGCAAAGGAGATCAGTTGACCAACTACGCTGCACTTCTTACGTTGTAACGCCTACAATCATGGAAAAGCAACATCATGCCCCGAAACTAAAAACAGGGCTAGCGAGGTCGCATTTGAGCTATACTCATTCAAGGCAGCAGACTGCCGTTTTGAGATGGTATTCCCCGCCTATATTGCCAGGTCTTGACCCAGTATCTGGCAGGCAATATACTGTATATGTGATTATTCATCGGCAGATTAGTAGCCATCTTTCGCCCATAGCTGGTAACTTGCTCACTAATCTCTGGTAATGTCTTGAATACAATCAAGTTTGTGTATATCAGGAAGGGTTTCCATATTTCTGATCGCACAAATGGTACTTGCTTGCAATCTCTTAACCTTGATCAAACCCATCATTCCCAATAGCAGCTTCAGAGGCTCGAGCCAGATGGAAGGAACTATTGACAATACAATACATGCTTTTATTCCATATCGTGGAACAAACCAGCCCGATGATTCAAGCCATCGTGCGCTGATCCGACAGAGAGCCATGCGAAATGTAGCAGAAACGAAGAAGAAAAGGGCAACTAAAAGTAAATTTAACTCAGAATCGTATCTCCTAGCCATCGATCTTCTTCATGTCTAATTCTGTTACAGCGCAAAATGATACTAAGCCAAGCAATTGGCCTCAGAAGCGTAGGCCGCGGCCACGAATGTCGAGGACTGAGCACCATCAGATGATTCAGCAGCAACGGCTCCCAATACAGCCGCCATTCTCGTCCCCTTACTCTAATCTGCTTGTAACCGAGTACTTCTCCATACTAGACTTGGCACCTTTCACTGGGCTGCGTCTAGGAGCCACTACACTCTCCTTCTTCACCAAAGACCCTTCAAACATCATTCGAGCATTGTCTTCGTCCGTTCCAGGGAGCCAAAAGTTCTTATCATTTATCTTCCCACGATACGGTCAGGCTCTTACTTTAAGCCTCGCTGTGGACTGTATTGTGGTGAAGGTTCAACAAATGATAATGGATGTTGGGAGCACCTTTGCTCACAATATTGTGTTGCGCCAGCATACCAGAGTTCTTGAGTGCATCCAGCAAGACTTGAACGACAGGAGCCAGTGGATGAGCTCTGAGACATTGTGTGCAATACAGTTGCTAGGGTTATTTGATGTACGTAATGTTATAACTTTAGCTGTTGTGCGTAATCGCTAACTTCTTTATAGCTGATCAATAATGCCAGCCTTCAGTCGTGGTTGTGCCACGTCGCGGGTGCTTCAAGGCTGATTGAACAGCGTGGTGCTCGGAATTTTAAATCCGACTTTGATCTGGCCATTCTCACAGCACAGATTGGCCCTATAGTAAGCATTCATTTCAAGTGCCTGTATTTAATCCTCAAATGGGGCAGAGTCGGACAGATTGATGTTGTTACATATGGTCACTGAACAGGCTACCATCTTTAGATTACGGAAGCGATTCTTGACAACAGACATTGCTTTCTTACAGACGAATCTTGGAAGACGGTCATTTGCGAGTCTATTCTCAGCGATGAGTATTTCTATAATTACCGAGATATCGTAACTTGCTTATGGACGCATCTTGTCTGGGGTCCAAACCATTTCAAATTGGCGACTGATATGATCTCAGCAATGGAGGCTCCAACACCCCAAGAGTACACTGCTCTCATTAAGGATATGATAAGCCACAATGAGAGCTTGCTATGTTTGACGGATCTTTTACAACAACGGCTTGCTGCTGCGGACAACAGAAGCGAGATTGTGCCTGGCTCCAAAGGATCGCAAGTAAATCCGTTAGAGATTGAGGGAACTTTGATCATATGCCGTCTAATGAAGTTGCGACTTCTGTTCGCCTTGGACCCAGCCCGATTTTCTGCCATGGAAGCCGAGAGCCAGAATTTGGCTAGTCAAGTCATGTACTTTGACGAACAATTAGGTCAAGAAAAAGAAGGCAGGATAATGGGGGGATTGTTCATGTCACAAACAACGTGGATAGCGAGGGCCACTATAGAAACGTATGATGTGTGGAAAACTGAGGTGGGGAGTGAAGGGATGATTGCGAAATGGAAGTTTGAGGCGTGGTGTTGTGCTATGGGAAGAAGAATCAATGTCTAGTTTGATCGTTCATTGAAAGTAAATAGCAGTAGTCATTGTTGATTCGTGCTATCTGATAATGCTGCTCCATACATATTGGAGTCATTTTTGATCTGGCACTGCTTGACCATCTACAGACTGCTTGACCATCTACAGAATTTTATTTACCCACTCCTCTTATCGCTTATTGGATTCGCGTCTTTACATACATCTATTTCTCGTTGCAGATGACATTCGCCCCAATGCAAATCCATTTTCCATTCTGGCGCTGGTATTCATCCGTGTATCTTCCGTAGCACACCTTGCCCTCCAGATTGCGGAAGCTCATTCTCGCCCTGACAAGCGCAACGTTGCCGTCACCAAAGATGCCAATGTTGACATCGTGGCTCTTCAGCTCGGTGAACGGCCGAGGCTTTGAGATCATGTCGAGAAATTCCTCTCGGTTGTAGATTTTTGCGTCTTGAAGGCTTGCTGTGAAGCCTGGGTCGAGGAATGTTTCATAAGTTGCAACATCGGAAGTTTGGTCGCTGTTGAGGTATTTCAGGTTTAGCTGCTCGAGCTCTTCAATATCCTTTTGTCGCTGCTGTTGAGCTGCCATTTTGTTCTCTTGCTCTTGTATTCTGTACAAGTGCGTGTAATGAGAATGTTTAATACAAAGTGTGGCTGCGTTTGGCTGTGGATATTGAGCGTTGAAGATGCTGAGTCGGTAATTAATTCAGTTAATCGCCGTGGCTATCTTATACCTAATTTGAGGCACCGTAAATGGCCGAATCTGCCAAAGATCTACGCGTTTGTAATCGGTGAATGAACAGACGGTGAATGTATCGCATTTGGCTGCCTGTCAATGCAAAGCGTAATGCTGCAAGATGGAGTTACTTTTCACGCAATCTCGCGGACCAGTCGGCTCAAGTAAGTGAATGCACTCGCCAGCTTTTTAATATCATCGTGAATACCGCAATTGGATCTTCTCACTCAAGATAGATGTGGCGTCCACCTCGCATCGTACTGAGATCCATCCCTGGCCCTTGTTTCATCTTAACCGTAGCGGGTAACTTGATGAGGAAACAATGTCGCGGTAGGGCGAGCTGTCATTTGCAGTGGGCACTCTAGCTTTGTGTTGCTACTGAATTGGCCAATCCCACGCCGGATTCTAGCATTGGTTTATGCCCCCGGACTGAATGGACAAATGCGGGATGCAGCTTTAATAACCTGGAATGTATTACCCTTTGTATCTGCCGCGTTAAAGAGTCTACTGTTGGCCGACAAATTAGTCCGTAAACTCATACAGGGTTGCGTTGAGATGCAATGGATTCGGAATCAAAGTTTCACTCTCAGAAACATGAGCGAAGAATACTTTTTCCTTCTTTTCAACTCAGAGCAGTCGGTTGGTAGATTGACAGTAGGTCGCATATAAACCGCAGCAGCCCCTTCATTCTGGTGGGCCAACTATGGCCACTAAGATTGGCATGTTCCGTATAGTGGAAATTCTTCAACATAGCCTCCCACTATCACTCAGATAAGCAGATGTGTAGGCTTGTCGTGATATAGTAGATAGAGGCTATATCCTGGTCTGTCAATAACGCTACTCTATGTACACCTGCTGAAGAGATAGAAACAAGAGAGGCTTTTGAGCCCTTTCATACTGCGCTGTCTAATTGATACACGTCAATAGTATGAGTGACATCTTTATCCCTTTGCTCAATAAAATACATCTCCTTTCATCAACACCCGCGCCGTCCGTAGCAGCTTCGCCTCTTCAATCTTGCCATTCCTCACTGCCGTACCCACGTCCACCACGCCGCTCGGATGCCCAATCCTGATAACATCCTTCTTCTCGCCGCCTATGAGCTCTGCAGCAATTGTCCCGCTGAGCTGAGATGCTGCGCCTAGGCACAGCGATAATGTCAGGGGAGCGGCCTTGTGCGCCTGGCCCATGGACATGGCGAGGCACTGGATGTCGATCTGGGAAGTCTTCCTGGCGCTCGGGGGCAGCAGCATGACGACCTTGGGAACACTCTCGATTTTGGGATCGAGGCCCATTGCCAAGGCACCGGCTCGACGGATCTCTTCGAGGCGTGTTTTGAGGGTGATATCTACCTCGACTATGGCGGGAGTGAGATTTGCAGCTGTTGCATCGTCGAGGCCTAGACTTGATGTTGTGACGAAGACTCCGGGGTTACTGACGTCCACCAGCGACACCTGGACGGTGCTTCCGTCTGCAAGCGTTAATTCATCGATGGGATTTCCCGTGGGCAAGGCCCTTCCTGTCTTTGCGCCCGCGGGATCCAAGAAGCTGAGCGTGATGGGGGATTGCGTCCCAGGGACACCGTCCATAGCATAGTTCCCCTGCGGATTGTACATGAGAGGGTCCCCTTCAAGCTTGAAGTGAGAAACGACGATCTTGGACGTATTTGTATTGAGAATCCGCATAGTTGCCCAACGGGAGTGAGTGGCTTCATCGTAGGATACGAGAGAGGGAATACGAGACGGCGGCACGATGCCCATGTCCCAGGCGGCCGGGCCGACGATGGCTGACATGTTGCCGCATGTGCCGGCGAGATCCAGAGAGCCGTCCCGGATGCCGACCTGGACAAACGTGAACTCGGCGTCAACGTTCGGCCCCACCCCGGAGCCATGGCCGGACGTTGAGCCGGAGCCAGACGGCGGAGGTCCGATGACGACGACTTTGGACGTGGAGGAGATGCCGGAGCCCATGCCGTTGAGCTGGCGGCCGTAGATGGGATCAGGGGAGCCCATTGCGGGAGCGAGAATGGGCTGCCATTGGCTGTGGATGGGAGGGAGAGAGGCGCGGTTGAAGAGGAGGCCGGTGGAGGTGCCGCTGCGGACGAACCAGGCAGGGAGACGGCGCATTTTTAGTTAGTGACGACGTTGGAAGGGTAATGAATATTCTTTTGACACTTTTGTATAATTGGGAGAAGATGATGGGTATTGGATCGTGAAGAGCAAAGGCGCGTGGGGTGGTATGATGATGAATGTAACATGGTGGTGTAAAATCTGGGTCTAGTAGATCCAAGACAGCCGAGGAAGACGGGCCGCTATAAAATATGGAGATTGTCGTGTGTAGATTACATGGGCACATGTATACCGAAACAAGCAAACTTGTGGACTAGAAATGTACGTTTAATTTCTGCAATGTCGAAAAAGTTAATATACAAATCTCTTTTGGACAAATCTCATTGTTTTCATAAATGGTTTGCGCATCTTTATTGTCGTTTATTCGTTGCTTTTTGTCTTATCCTCTGTTAATACTAGAGGCACATATAGCCTGATTCATCCTTTAACAATCTAGGCCGGCATCAACCATTTTCATTCGGACTTTGAAGCTCTCATCATTCTTGGAAGGAAAAAAAAGAGGAAAAAAAAAAGAGAGAGAGAAATAGTCATCATATCGTCATTACCAAGCCAACTTTTCGCTCATGCCATTAGAGCAGGCTTCCCCCTCTCCCTGCTCCTTGGTCCAGTCGTATACACCACCCCGTTCCTGGAAAGCATCCTCGTCCCACTTGATCTCCCGCATAGCCGCCTCCACCCCGACATCTAGAATGGACTTTGTGAGCTTATTGCCGTCTTTATCGATGAACCGCATGTACTCATCTACTAGCAGATACGACGATGCCATGAGTCTGTTGGGCTCTGCGACAAACGATTCGTGATGATTATGCTTGTTGCAGAAAACTTCAAACTGCTCGTCTGTAATGGTAAACTTCCGAGCGTCGCGTAGCGTCTTGTCCGAGTCATTCTGCCTCTTGTGTCAGCAGTCATGTTTGATCAGTGAGTATATATGGCGAAATGCGAGGGAAGAAGAAACGACCCAATTTACCTCTCCTTCCACGATCAATACCTGAAAGACTTTCCATCTGAAAGGATTCAGAATGTCAATGTGCTCATTCATATCCTCTTCATAGTTGAGGCGAGTGACCACGGTATTCAGCTTGAACTTTATCTCGCTCTCGCGACACCACTCCGCAATACGATATAGAATCTCAACTTGGTTTCCTGTGCCGCGGCCAATTTGGATGTTCGTATCCTCATCAAAAGAGTCGCATGAGCATGCTAAAATGTCAAGGTTTTTGGCGTGCTGGCGAACCCAGTCCTCTCTAACAAGGCTTCCGTTGGTGATGATGGATACAGACTCCAAGTGCAGGTCTTCTTTACAGTAGTTGACCAGCTCGCCGAGGAATTTTGGATAGAGGAAGGGCTCTCCACCTGCAAAATTAATCTTCTTCATGCCAGCCTTTTGCAATAGCTCAAGACCTCGCTTTGCGCGAGATATGTCCTCCATGTGCGAAGTCTTTGCTGTATGAAAGCAGAAGCCGCCTTTGTAAGTCAAGTTAGTAAATGTTCATCCGAAGCCACATAGAACTGTACGTAGAGCGCCGGGCATTGTCGCATAAGTCGATATCCTGTTCATGTTCATGGCACAAAGGCAATTTAGGACTTCCAAGACGTGGGTTTGCATGGCTTACATGACTTATTACATTGGCGTGTGAAGAAATAGTTCACAGAGACAGGAATTTGACCTTTTCTTTGCTGATGAAAGAGCGAGGCTCGTGCAAAGACAAAGGCCAGTCCAATGGCGACAAAGCTGACAAGTGTTAGAGCCAGCAGCATTGTTCCTTTGGAAAGCCTTTATGTATGAACGACGTCAATGGTGATGGGTAGGATTAGGATTCAAGAAGACAATTGAAAACAATCATTTGACCCGTTAGAAACGCATGTAGAAAGGATACCGCGCAATGGAGGAAACAGGCCTTCTGTTAAAGAACACGCATATTGTGCGGGGTCAGCATTCATGACGCTTTGAAGACAAACAACTCGGCTTCTGTGCGTGGTCAGCTGTTCAGCGTCTGCAGCTGGTGGTTGCACCAAAATAACACCAAGACAAAAGATACGTGTAACTTCAGACCCGAGAGTTCAATGCCAAACATCTTCATGAATGGATTGAACAGTCAAAGGCAGTCATGTTTCAGATCAAATAATATGCTGGAGCAGATATTGATTCTGCCCAGGAGAGGCTTATAAAAGGCTGAGCCAGGACCTATACAGTTGAGAGTTTTTAGATACCATCAAACTTTCTGAAACAAAAACTGCTTTAAACAACATCTACCATTAAGCGATACTTTGACGCAAGAGCTGCCCTCAAACTTGCGAGACGTGAAGATCTTGCTGTTAAACGTGTCGTCAGCCTACGCTAACCACGCTCATCGTCCACATATTGTGCAACCCTACCTGCTAACTTAAGATACAATGGCCGACCCTAATATCGCCCAGCCTTATTTTCATCTCTGCCCCAACCTCAACATCCCCCCGCCACCCAATGGCCAACTCAAGCTGGGCACAATCTTGCGAGACGTCACTATTGGCAACGTCATACTCCCTCTTGACGCCGGCAAAGCTATTGAGGCTCCCGATTCGCAGCTAAGGCCGCTCCAAGAAGCTTCCAAGATTGGTGGCTTTATTCGGAGCCTGGAGGAACTCGGCGAAGGCAATCTGTGGGAAGCGATTGCTGACACTGAGATGCTTTCCAATTTCTCCCACCCGAACTGTCATGTGAATAGACACAAAATCCTATCAGTTGAGAAGCTACTTGTTCGGTACTTTGTTCCGACGCCTGAGTACATTGACAGGGCTCTCGAAATCGAGGGTGTAGCCCAATATATCGAGACCACGAACCATAAGAGGCCTGTATACATGATCACTGGACTGATCTGGACCGAAGGAGCTACTAAGCTTGTGAACAGGTATGGTAAAGACGGTTTCGACAGAGACTCTTCAAGCCCATTCATCCTTGGGATCCGAGTTCGAAAGATATGGTGGCGTAAAAATGGCACGCGATACGAATCTGAAGACGAACTTGAAGCTATATTCGACCCCTCCCGCGCCAAGGAAGAGAAGAATGAGAGCGAGACGAAAGAGGAAGAAAGCGAGAGTCAGAGAAGGGAGTACGGCCGCAAGCACCTCAAGGTTTGGTGGTTGCAATGACCTCAAGGTTGACGTTTACTTGCCTGGTGGCATGGAAAAGGCAGCTAAGTAAGGGCCATTATCCAATGGATTACGCATTTGAGATTAGTCTCTAATATCAGCTAAACGTTTGTTACACCATGGGGGATACAGTAGTGTTATTTTCAGTAGATCAGACTAGGATACAGTTTATGAACGAAATCGATTCTTTTTTCACTTGTAATCTAGGATTCACTGCCTGCCCTTTTTAGTTTCGTGGACTTTCCTAATTAGGGAACATGCCTTTGCTACTTACTTTTTCTACCTTGTGCTTTGACTTTTTTTTTTATCACAGGACCTGTAAAGGCCTGTAAGGCAAGAAGCCTTGTAAGCTGTTGTAAAGGGAATACGAGCATAGGTTGCTAGTATTGCTGATCTTTTTCCTTCTGTTACAATTACAGTATACTACAAAGTGTAGCAACCTATGGGTCTTGCGGAGGTCATGGGTTTAAATCTAGCACGAGTCCCAGCGTAAACCCCGCTGAACCTCCGACGTTGGGCTTACAGGGAGTGCCCCTGGATTGTCAATAAGCCCGCTAGTACAAGGTTCCATTGGCACCAGGGGTGACCCCTGTGTTCATTTGGAAAGACTTTTTTCCGATTGTGTGGGCTTGCTCATTGGTGTATAATCATTGGTGTATAAATTAGAACTTGCCGGAGCCTTTTCGGTGGTCCCCGCGTAAGCGTGGAACGTCGTAGGGGGGAAAGGCTGGAATCAATTCTCCTGTACAAGCTCAATCCGTTGCTACTATAAGTGTATAAAGGTGAATGCCGCCTTCGTGAAAGAGCGGTATCTACAAGTATCTCATCAAACCAACTATTGCTCGGTTCAACCTTCGTTCCACTGTCATAATGCTCGTCCCAAAGTCTATGGCCATTGTTGCCACTACCCTTTTTTTCCCAGCTGCTTCCGCCTTGAACGCATCCTGTGCTCCCGGTGGCAATTTTGACCTTAGCAGATTTGTTCTTCAGTTGCCAAGCGGCAGCACTAACAACCCAGATCAAATCCCTGCCTCACGCCTCGAGGGCTGCGGTGGCTACCAAGATCCTGGCCACCATTACTTCTTCACCGAGTCTGGCGATGGTGCCATGGTCATGAAGGCTCCTGGAGGAGGAAATTGTGCTACCTTCCCAGGTGCACCGCGCTGCCGCTCCGAATTTGGCGAGACTACTCCATGGAGCTCTAGTGCTGCAACCAACCGCCTGACGGCGGACCTCCTCGTCACCGGTGGTAGCAGCATCTGCATTGGCCAGGTGTTCCAGTCAAACTCTAACAACAAGCCTCTCGTAAGTCCTGTAAACAAACCACTATACATCAATTATATTACTAACAAAGTCAGGCTGAGGTTTACTATAATGGCAATGGCCAAATCACGGTCGGTGTTGAGTTTGTTGCAACCGGAGGCCAGGGCCAGGACTTGAACCAGATTGGCACTGTCTCTCCTGGCAGCCGATTTAACTATGAGTTGCGCTTTGAGAGTGGCACGCTCCAGTTCTCTCTCAACGGTGGAGCATTCAAGACCCTGAAGCAATACTTCACTACAGATAAGGCCTTTTTCAAGATGGGCAACTATAATCAAGGTGGTGACGACTCTGATATTCATGTCTTCGGCCTTACTGTTCAGCACTAGATATGTCCTGCCCGTTCAATAAAAGAACTAGAGCTCAACTGGGTGGGGAAAAAGCTGAGAGGGAAAGAAAACGAGCCTAAGCTCTCTATCTAATTTGAACTTCATAAATGACAAGCAATTACCATCTTCTCTTTATTCATTATAGCTCAAATTAACCATCTAATCACAATCATTGCTGATATCCCTCAGTCATAGTAACCCAAAGCCATTCAAAACATGAATACATCAACTGTCAACATGATGAGTGATCTGAGTTTTCTGAGCCTGGGCTACGTGTAGTCCAGCTAGCATCCTTATCAATCTCAGATCCTGGCCTTGTCTTGGACTCGTCATCTGGTTTCGAAATCTACATATTTGAATAAATCATATAGACGCATTGAATCATGAGGCCAAGAATAAGAAGCATCACGCGCACTGCTGAGAACATCACTGTGTGGGGTTAGTTCATCTTCTCTGAATGATATGTTCTAATATTTAGGGGCTATACCACATCAGCTCTTATTTATGAAGTATCTTTGATAGAGCCTAGTACGCATTCGATAGAGAGAACAGCAACAAGTCGTACAGCACCAGGGCTGAATACATATATATGAATGCGCTTAGCTCCTACTGGCCTTATAGAAGCTCAAATGTCCACTACATCTTCAGCTTGGCCAATAAAGAGTTGGGAGAGCAGCTTGTTTCACTGAATAAGTGAATCTAATAGGGCTTTACTAGCACCTCCGAGTATTTTGAGAATACGAGACGTTTGCGCTGCACTCTTTTGACATCTTTACATGTAGTGAGCAAGTTACCCCTCACATCCTTGTGCGACGTGATGAAGCTGCCACCAGCCCCTCTGGCCTCAATTCTCAGGTGCAGATATTGCGTCCCGACCGAGTCCTCCCTTGTATGCACAATTTGCAAATATCACGACTTGTTTATTTACCGACCCTGTTTAGTATTTCAAAGTCACAATGGCCACTTCTATTAGCCCCCAGCCTGCTTTTCATCTATGTCCGGACTTCAGCATCGCTCCGCCGCCCAACGGCCACCTACAGCTGGGCTCTATGCTGCGAGGTCTTGATTTTGACAGCATCTTTTCCCCCCTCGATTATGGAGACACTGCTGAGATTCCCAACTCTCAATTGTGGCCGCTTGACAAACCTGCTGAAAAAGACGGCTTTAGTCGCAGTCTGAGAGAGCTCCGAGTCATCGAAGGTAGCATTTGGGCCAAGATCTTCGGCGGCGATAGCATGGGCGCCATGTTCTCTTTCTTGCGTAACCGCGAGAACGACGAAACCTTGACAGTAAAGAAAATCTTTGTCCGATACTTCATTCCAACACCCGAATACATGAAGAACGCCCTCGAAATCGACAACGTGGCTTTTCACATTAACAATACGAAGCGCAAGAAGCCCGTATACATAATTACTGGACTGATGTGGACTGAAGGAGCCAAGCTCTCCAAGGTTCAGTCCAAGAAGAGCAAAGCCAGCGGCCAGGTCGCTGCGACTGATCCGCACTCGGGCACTACAGTCGGTGGGGGTGCAGCATTCGAGATTGACGACAATGTTTCTACGAGTTTTGACGGCTCGACGCCATTCATTCTCGGAATCCGAGTCCGCAAGATTTGGTGGGACAAGGACGGTACGAGACGGGGTGCTGAAGACATTGTCGGAGCAACGCTGGGAAACCCCAAGGCGAAGGATGAGGACGTTCTGGACGGGCTCAAGTTCGTTGACGATGAAGTCGACAATGCAGCGGGACAGATTACCATAGATGAGGGCCATACAGGCGAAGAAGACGCTGTGACTTGGATTCTGGTTTGACTTGTCCTTCAAGACGGTTGACCGTATTGGATCTAGAGTCAGATTCATCGTACAACTGGGTCCTGTCTCTAAATTTGTTGACTCTATTGAGTCCAATTATTGAATCAATGAGCTTGTTTCCGAAAACATTGATGATGCTCCGACATCCTATTAAACAATGATTTGATCTATAACAATGTATTGTTAATTGTGTCCCAGACCAATCGGCATTTAGTCTCATCTATCTCCCACCCATTCTCCCAGTGAAGCCACGGAGCCATGTAGTGCAGCCGGCCGCGGACATCCTCCTTACCCTTAGCTGTCGACATAAGCCGCAGAATCTTTTCCATCTCTTCATGCCTTTTGATTTTCCTTTTCGCTCGGCTGTTAATCTCTTTCACACGCGCTGCAAGGTCCAGCACTATCGCAGCGATACCAGCGGCGACGGGTGTTGCAAACGACGTGCCTGACTTGATCACCGTCTTGTATTTGTGAATCGTCGTTTTTCCATTTTTGATGACACACTCTCTCTCCATCAATTCTATACCCATTCCGAGAGTCATAAGGTTAAATCCATTTCCCAGCTCGGGATTAATGCCGCCGTCTTCGCCATTCCCTTCTGAAGCGTGAACGCAGATTACCCAGGGCTGATAACTTGCTGGGAATGCTCGTGGTTCATTCTTACCACTATTAGAGGCTGCTGCAAAGAAGATCCGAGATAAATTAGCCGAATTTCGAATCGCGATTTCAATGTCGTCGACGATCTGATTGAATCTTTCCATGGCTAGGCGTTCTTCATCTTTATTTCCATCGCCCCGAGCTTTTGGACGCATCAGTCCGAAAGACATGGAAATAATATCCACGTCCCACACGTTTGTCGCGTATTCAATAGCCTATTGTATACATTGATTTAGTATATATCGACGGAATCCTGCACCTCTATACCCAGCGTAGTTTTAACAGCTCTTGGTCATAGTATTACTTACTTTGGCTATGTTTTCAGCTTCATAGAGTCTCACAGTGTTTCGTTCGAACACTTTCCCAATATATATATCGGCTTCCGGAGCTACTTTATGTAGGAGGTAGGCGCAGTTCGTTCCATGTAAATCATTGTCATCGTCTTGTGCGTTAGATTTATCGCCAACCCAGCTGTAGCACCATTCAGGACTCATGCGCCCCTTTTCTTTAGCTTCTAAGATAGCTGAGTGATGAAAGTCGATGCCAGTATCAAGGACTGCTATGCGGATTCGCCGAGGCAAATCTACTTCTGATAATGTGCTATGCTCAGAGATATAGCGCGAGGATGAACTGTGGAATCTCTCCAGGAGTTGCCAGAATTCATTAGCCCTGTGAAATGAACAATAAGTTAGCTTTTGAAGGAAAATAACAAGCTGTATCTTATGCAGAGAGGCTTACGCTGAAGGGTTCGACGTCTGCTTTGTGTCGAATAGTTTGACGTGAGTTTGATCCGAAACATATGGAACCGATAAACTCATTTTCGTGGCCCCCTCCGTGATGATGGCAAGAGAATTGTTGCTTGTGGCGGAGTCTGAGCTGGATTTACTGAGGCCTTTTGAAACCAGATTGGCGTCGATCTTGAGAAGAATTTTATCAAAGATCACTTGCCACGCAATTTCAATCTCCTGACTTGGCATAGCACCTCTCAAGCGGACCTGATAATCTTTGTGGAAGTTCAAGCAACCCAGGGCAGCCTCCAGAAAGGGCAATGATTCCCGACTACCTTCTGAATCACATTTCATCTTCTGGTAGTATGAGCTGACTCCGCCCCGAAGTTCTTTCCATGGATCCATAAAAGCACTTTGAGAGCCTTCCGGTACCTTGATCGACCGAAGACAGTCTCCCCACGCAATTTGCATTAAAGCTTTCGCTAACAACATGAACTGGGGCATTGGTCTCAAATTCTCCTCATCTTCATCGATGGTATAACGAGAGTGCAATCCGGCAATCGAAAGCCGATTTCGAACGCTTGCGCTGTTATTTCCATGGATAGAGATAAACGGGGTGTAATCTTTGTCTATAGGCTTTAAGAAATGGATATTCTTTGGGTCCCATACGTCGAGATTGTGGCTGCAGTCGATAGACAACATCAAACCAAGAACGAGGCTGATTGCCAGCGTCTTACGCTGGTTTGTGTTAATGATGGTGCTGCTGTCGTCATCGATCCATAAGTCTATGCCGGGTTGCTTTGCGAAGTAGCCTCGTTCGATCAAAGACCAAAGGCTATCATCTTGACTCGGAACACTCTTGCCATATCTCCGCGCTCCGTTTAATCTTACGGGAACATGGAACCGTATGTCGGTGTGCTCTGCGTCATTGTAATCATCTGGAATGTAGAATTCTAGATCCATCTCATCATCGTAGGAATCACTCAGAGCTTTGTAAAGCGTTCGCTTTCTGAACGACCTGCTATGCTCCGGCCTGTCGTCTATCAGTGTGTGTCTCAAAATCTTAGATCGGAGATATTGAAGATGATTTACAGAAGAAATGACATTCTTGCAAGCTGCCATTTGTTTGAGCATATTGTGAAGAATAAATGAGTTGGCGAATTGCCTTTCATGTTTTGAGATTCGTCATTTGAGATATCTTCCCATCTCGGCAGCTGGAGTAGAACATTGTGCTCTGTAGGCTTGCTATCGGTGCAATATTCAACGTGGGACAGGATTGCGCGGTAAGCTATCGTTGTTTGCTGGCGAAACTTTTGGATCAAAGCAAACATTGGAAATGGCTGGATGGATACAGAAGCTTCCCTCGATTGAGTTTCAGTGCTGCCTGGTGGAGTTTTAGAAGGCTGCAGTCCATTGAAGTTGTAAATGCTGTGTTGCGAGGGTACGGAAGATTGCAGTCCATCAATAAAGTCGCTTCCTAGTAGGGGTTCAAAAGGCTGCGGTCCATTGGAGTTGCAAATGCTGTATTGTGGGAGTACAGAAGACTGCAGTCCATCAACAAAGTTTCTAAAGGAACGGAGACCATGTATCATTGTCTCAGCAGATGCTATCATTCGCTTCATAGTATTTATGTCAGGTAAACCCTGTCCTGGGACAATGGAGGCAATAAAAGCATCTGCAGTTACTGTATCCTCTGCGATGTTGAAGAGGAACTGAATTGGGGTAGGTCTAATAGATCCATTAGATTCCATAGATCTACAACGTGGAATGAGTTGCAGGGGAATAAGCGGAGACAAGCTAGCTGTACGAAGGTACTGCATGAGTTGCGTCAGTCGTGGGTAGTCTCCAGGCCGGCTGTTGTCGCCGGGCTCAAAAGGGGTCAAATAGCGGTTGACTCGTGCTTCAAGCAGAGAACATAGCTGCCGTAAATTAAACAAGATTTCAGCAGATAGAGACATCGACTTTGAACATGATGAGTCGTCTGAGCTCCCTGAGCTCTCTGGGCCCTCTGAATTCTCATACTCGTCATTTTTTTGGACATTGATATAATGTAATAAATCAGCCCGTGAATGGCAGAGTATTGTGCTAAGCAGCTGCTCAATTTTGTAGAGAGCGAATCGGAGATTTAACGCTGTTCTGTTTTGGTCACTATCATTAGCCGCAATACTTGCTCCCATAAAGTAATAGCTGTTCTCTTCCAGCCCAGATATCAGCCTCCACTCGGTAGAATTCAGAATGTTGCCAAGAGTCGGGTATCTTAATGGCATAGCGGCGTTCAGCTTGCTGAGTTTTAGCCGAGTTAGTCTCTCCAGTATAAATGAAGATATATACACAAATCGTCATAGGAGATATAGAAGGGATAAGAGAAATATAGGCTTTGGTATAACAGATTAGGCGATAGTTCTGCCCTAGACTTGACACTGTGACCAAGCCGTGGCCAAGATTGAGCGTAAATTCTAGGGAGAAGTAGGGGACAAGATAAAGCTTCTGATAGATAGTATGACCAGCAAGAAGAAGACACAACTCTGGGATTCAGTTCCTGTGACTATCAAAGGGTGTATTCCTGGGTGTAAGGCCGAATGCTAGTATCGGGGTACGATCGACTTCCGTTGTTTTCTCCGTTAGGTTCGTGAAGGCTTGGAACGGTAAAGACAATCCGAGCACAATACAGTCTTTGAACACTGAGTTTGTCCGCGTAACAACAATGCGCTTCGCTGAAAGCTCGAAGTTCAGAGCCTTTGAAAATTTTTCTTTGTGTAACCCGTAGGTGTGCGGGGAACTGAAATTACAAATACGCACGCATATTTGCTCCGCTCAATCAATTTCCATCGTACCACAACAGATAGGCAGCCGAGAGTAGTCGTTCTATACCTACAGAGCAATGCTGACCGCTCATTACCTCGTATATATCAACCAGAAAAGTGCATTCAACATCCAGATCAGCAATGCCGGCTTTTCGAGATGAAACACCTCCCCAGCCTGATGGCTTTGGCCTGGCCGAGGCAGCAAAGGGGCCTATCTCAGCCAAAGCTAGTGGCTGCGAGACCCTCTTCGTAAATATTCTTCAGATTTGGAAATCAAATGGAGAAGATAGATACGAGTTCGTTTTACGGAAGCTTGAAAAGAGATTCCTCGATTGGGCGGCTTATCTCGGTGTCTTCGCGGGGGGAAATGGAAGGCTTGATCAGCGCCTAGAGCGTCATCCACAGTACCGCCACCTTATTCTCATGTGCTTAGAAATGCTACATACGAGCCTTCTTCAGGGTAAGATAGCGGCGCAAATCTCAATAGAACTGCGAGCTGACTGAATAGTAGTAACGGCCGACCCCAGTGAACGAGATTCGGACGATTCTTCAGACGAAGGAGTAGATATACGCAGAATCGAGCTTGAGGATATTCAGCAGTCATTAAACGAACTTGACAGAATTGCAATACGTATATGGCATTCTCCTGCTTCAGCTCTCGATAGCCGGGTCAGAATATTTGAAACAAAAAAGCCCGCAGAGGCTTATTCTTTCAGCTTCAAGGCGATGTTGGCAGTCGATTGTCTCTACCCCAAAGCCCCCGAAAGCCTCCGAAGGTATTTGAGTCAATTAATGACGCAAACGCATATGAAGTTTCTATACTGGCAATCCAACGACCAAAAACTGCGCAAAAACCGCCGCTTCGACAGAAAGTCCCAAGATGGGTCTACACAGATACGGCAAAACTCATCGCACTTGCTTGCCAAGAAATTTTCACCGCAACCCTCAATCATAGATCAAAAGCAATCTCTACCAGATTTCAAGGCAAACAAAATCCCCGTTGTTACTTCAACACTATCTGAGACTCTGCCATCGGACTTGGATTCCAGATACACTGTACCGACAGTAGACGCCGAGATGCCTTCTCCACGACGAGCGGGAGCATCAACTATCCTCGGAAGCAGAGCAAAATTCCCTGACCCTCCAAAATTCGAGGATGGAGAGACCCTGAAACCTTGTCCTCTTTGTCGAAAGAATTTCAGCGAAGCTGAGTTCAACGATAGCACGTGGTGGAAGTAAGTTGATTCTCCGGAGAATCTTCATAATAGATGCTAAGAATCATATTCTAGATGCCATGTTAATGAAGACTTGTTACCTTTTGTGTGTATTTCAAGTTTATGTATACAGCCTCCAGCTTTTGCTCGCCGGTCTGACTGGAGAGCCCATATGCAGAAGTACCATGGTATGTTCTGGCGAAGAGGTACAGCCACCCCGATTAGCAACAATATCCATTATCTTCGCACTAACGTCAAGAAGTATCAGATGCTGGCCCCTCCAAAGATGTTTGCCCCTTATGCTGCCTGCCACTTGTCGAGCCTAAAGAATCAACAATCGGTATGTGTGTATCCCGGATGTCTTCTACATCGCAAACCGCTGCCGAACTGCTAACATTACCTCTAGATCCTAATGATATCATCGAGAGCCGTAAAAGTGGCAAAGAACCATTGCGATGCAATGTTCTAAAGCACAAAGGAAAGCCAAGTGGAGAGCGAACAGCCCAGGATGAGCTTGACTCGGACGAGGAGCCCGCCGCCCACGCTGAAAAGCCTGGGGTAGACCATATGATAAATCCAATGATGGATCACATCGCCGACCATCTGCAATTCTTAGGATTACTCACCATACGACTATCAGCAAAAAAGATCACAGACGGCCATGTGAATAGCTTCTCCAGCTCTCAAGCTCTCAGCAGCGATCAGGGCTCTGAGAAAGGAAGCACTTTGGATGACGAAATTGAATTCGATAGGGAAGATGTATCCAAAGAAAAAGGCGAGCATGAGCTCCAATTTGAGGCCCCTCCAGATGTAGAATGGCCACAAGGAGAATGGATGGAACCGCGCCTCAAAAGTCTCGGCCAGGAAGTAGAGGCTCCAGACACACTCCTATTGCATCTCTATGAATACCAGCTTCTCCAAGAGCTTTGGAGTCAAGCTTACCATGGCCTTAGATGCGATAACCCCGAATTAGTTGAGACATATGAAAATATTCTATCAAGCAAACTTATCCTCCACAGGTCGAATCATGTTGAACAAACCATATGCTTCATGGAAAAAGCACAGGAGAGAGAATTACACCAACCGAATCAGCTTATTCTGGAGGCTTTGAATTTTATGCTAGAGGCATTACCCAATAGCAGCGAAGTCAACAAAGGCAAAAAGGCAATCAACCTCATACGAGAAATAATGAAAAAGGCCATACAAGCGGCCCCGGGAGTCATAAGTGCCTGCGAAGGCGATTTAATTTTGGCAGAGGTATGCATAATTGATATTACTAACTAAAGAAAAGAGAGTGTATCATGCTTTACTAACAATGGATAGGTCGTTCATAGAATTATCACCAATACAGGGGATACTGGCAAGGGCATCGCCTACATCTTGTCAAGAATAGAGTGGTATCGGGAGCTGGCATCTTTGCTTCTTGATGTGAATAAAGCAGACGATTCCCCCCCACAACTACGAGATCAGCTACAGACACATATTGTCCAGCTCTACAACAAAGCTCTCACTTATTTGATGAGAAACATCTGCCTTTTTCACGAGAAGTTGGACGCCACTTCGTCGAAAAGTATTCTCAAAACAGATAGCTGGGCCAGCCAATTCAGTGCGATTCAAAACGTCGAACGCGCCGTACAAAGAGACATGGAACAATACAATGTGGAAGAGACCAAGACAAAATTTCTGAAACTCGCCGACGCTGCAAGCGCTCTAGAGATGGATCTCCAAAACATGCGGCCGCCAATCGGTAGTCAGCCCAAGGACCTCACCGAGATTCGTAAAGCAAACATGGATAAATATTGTCTCAGGGCTCTATACGTCGCTGATCCCAGGATGGACAAGATACGCATTGAGGATACAGCAGGCGGTCTACTCAGAGATTCGTATTGCTGGATATTGGAGAATGAGATTTTCAGAAACTGGCGTGATTGTGAATCTAGCCGGTTACTCTGGATAAAAGGTGACCAAGGAAAGGGTAAGACAATGCTGCTGTGCGGCATTATCGACGAACTGAAGGTGACGACACAATTGGCAGACCCGGCTGCCAACACGTTGCTGTCATATTTTTTTTGTCAAGGCACTGACTCGCGCCTCAACAGCGCAGTAGCAGTATTGCGCGGGCTTGTTTATCTTCTAATCGAACAGCAGCCCTTTCTCATCTCAAACGTGCGGGAGAAATTTGAGAATGCAAGAGAAAGCTTTTTCAAAGATGTCAATACTTGGACGACTATCTCTGAGATAATGACTGCAATACTGAGCGATCATAGGCTCAAAGATGCGGTAATAGTTGTTGATGCTCTCGACGAGTGTACAGAGGGCCTTGAGCAGCTTCTCAATTTCATTTCCCAGGCGTCATCATCTTTCGATGTTAAGTGGATAGTATCAAGTCGCAATTGGCCCCTCATCGAACAAACATTCCAAAAATGTGCGCAGAAGGCCGATCTACATCTCGAATTGAACACGGATTCCATCTCAGCCGCCATTCAAACCTATATCAGTCACAAAGTACAGGCCTTGGCGCGAAAGAAGCGCTGTAAAGAGGAGATGGAGCAAACACTCAAGGCCTACTTGCTTTCAAATGCCAAAGATACGTTTCTTTGGGTTGCCCTGGTTTGTCGAAATCTTGATGATGATGGAATCGAAAGTCGGCACATCATTCAAAAGCTTTCATCATATCCATCCAATGTTTATGATTTGTATCAGTGGATGTTAACAGAGATGAGTAAAGTTCCTAAAGATGTATCTAATTGGAAACAGATCCTTGGTTTCGTGTTGACTGTGTATCGGCCAGTTACTTTGCCTGAGCTTTGCTCTCTTTTGCCTGGGGATTCTCCACATGACATTGATACAGTTACGGAGTCGGTAAAGCGATGCAACTCTTTCATTACCATTTATAATGATACAGTCTACTTTCTCCACCAGTCGGCGAAAGACTTCCTATGTCAGACCCAGAACACGAGCCCTCTTTTCAAAAAAGACGGCATTCATTTTTTGATCATTACGCAATCGCTGCTATCTATGAAGAGGACTTTAAAGCGTGATATGTACAGCTTGGGGGCCCCCGGGCCTGAGATTGACGAAATTGAACCACCCAACCCAGACCCTCTAAGCGCGGTACGATACTCATGCGTCTATTGGATTGACCACCTCTGCGATTATAAAGATCGAGATAAAGAAAAGAGAGATTTCATAAAACATGGCGTAGTCAATGGCTTCTTTCGCAAGTACTTTTACAACTGGCTTGAGGCGCTAAGCCTTCTACGAAGCATGTCAGCAGGCGCTATCGCAATTACAAAGCTCAACGAATTGGTCAAAGTGAGTTTTATCATTTTCAAATATGTTTGGATATATACTTAATTAGAATAGGACCTAGCACCCGACAGTTCCGCATTCGCCCTAGTACGAGATTCCATGGAATTCACTCTTCGAAATAGATGGATGGTTGAGTCTGTGCCACTTCAAGTATACGTATCTGCAATTCTCTTCAGTCCAGTGGAGAGGCGTCAAGCCCAGATGATTTACAGGGCTGAGGAACCATCTTGGAACGATTTAAAGCCATACAGGAAAGGAGACTGGTATCGCTCCAGACCTCCTCCAGAGGCCCATAGTGACGGGATAAACTCGGTCGTCTTCTCATCTGATGGCCAGCGGCTTGCCTCGGGTTCTAGCGATAAGACAATTCGGATATGGGATGCAACGTCAGGCGTCTGTTTGCAGGCTCTGAAGAGCCATAAAAACTGGATAATCTCAGTCATATTTTCACCTGATGGCCAGCTACTTGCTTCAGGTTCGAGCGACAATACAATTAAGCTGTGGGATGTAAAATCAGGCGCCTGTTTGCAGACATTTGATGGTCATAGGAACTGGATAATCTCGGTCAGCTTCTCGCCTAATAGTCGGTTGGTTGCTTCAGGTTCGAGGGATCAAACAGTCAAGGTATGGGATGTGAATTCCGGCGACTGTTTGCAGACCCTCGAGGGCCATAAGGATTGGATAACCCTACTTGCTTTCTCGCATGATGCCCAGTCTCTTGCTTCAGGCTCAAAGGATCAGACAATCAGGGTATGGGATCTAAAATCAGGTGGCTGTCGCAAAATTCATCATATCAGTCGGCCTATACGAGGCCTAGCATTCGAGGCGGCGAATGGCTCGCAATTTCCGAAATTAACAGTCCAAGTGATTCCTACAGCAGTGTCATCAGAGGTCTCGTCACAAGATGCAGACTCCCAAGACTATCGCATCAGCCCTGATACAAACTGGGTTACAAAGGGCAGTACACGTATGGTTTGGCTACCGCCAAGGTATCGACCAAATGCATCAGCTGTATTTGGACGTTCAATTGCTGTTGGATGCACATCAGGTCAGGTATACATTATGCATTTTTCTGAAAATTGCGTAGTGCGGGTATAAACTTTTTAAATTGAATTTTTTTTTTTTGGGGGGGGGGGGGGGGGAGGAGTTCTTGTTTTTAATATGGTAGTAGCCCACAAATGATTACATATGAGTTGAACTGCAGGATAGGAAGATACAAGTACAGAGCATATTTGACGACATGCGTGTGTCGTTTCGTGATAGTGATCGTGATCGTGATCGTGATCGTATGGGCAACCATTTCCATGTACGGTGTTTCGCGTTTGTCAAGAGACAGGCCGGCGTTCTTCGTGCGAGCACGAGGAGATCCCCTGAGGGATAAAAGTAGTTTAATATTCTCCGCAGAATTAAGATATGTGAGCTACTGTATATTGTCAGTACAAGCGATAGTCTTCCGATCTATGCTACATTGTGATAATATAACATTATGAAACACTTGAATGCGAAGGAGACTTCAAATATAACTTTACAAGATCCAGTTACGTACTGTTATGGAGCCAAGACGATATTTTAAGCCAACATCTCGTTACTTTACAGCTTATATACAGTTATACGCGGCGTCTGCATCTCAACGTGATAGAAATCATGACTCCATATCTAATCTAACTCCATGTGTGAAAAGCAATTACCATCTCCTCTTCATTGATCACGACCCATCTCAACCATCACAACCATCACTAATATTCCCCAATGATAACGACCCAAAAAATACAACAGCAACATCACCAACCTCATCATCCCCCATCCACCCAAAACCTCCTCATCACCCTCTCCGCATACTCCTCACTCATCCCCCAATTCTCCACCGCATCCCGAATCCCCCTCTCCATCCTCCCCACGTACTCCTCTTTCGGCCTCCCATCCCTGACGCGCTTCCGGTCAACATAAACCAACACCTTGACCGGCGTCAATTCCTCCCTGACATACGTCCCGCCGCTTGTGCTGACGGCCTCTGTGTGGCTCACCCAGTCCGCCTCGAGGTAGGCCTTTTCGTAGGCCCAGGGCACGCCCTCGTAGCGGTCGAGGCGCTCTTCGTCTTCTGTCGGTAGGAGGTAGAGCATGCCGTATACTGTGCTTGTTTCTTCGCCGTCGTCTTCCAATACACCTTTGCCCTTTTGTTCTTTGATTGCTTCTCCCTCTTCCTCTTCACTGTCTCCATATTCTTCCCTCATTTCAGCGTCTTCGTCTTCTTTCCCCAGTTCCACAATGTTTGCATATCCCCTCCTGTTGATGATCCACTTCCATCCCGTCATCTTCCCCAACCCAACTGCCGTTGAGAAAGGGCATCTCTCCCGCATCTGATCCGTCGACAAGTTGCTTCCATACGCAAAATACAGAATCTCTCTTCTGTTCTCGTCCGTAATAGTAAGGGTGCTGTCCTGCGAGTCCTGGCTGCTATTGCTGCTCTGAGACTCCATCGCGATTATTTTCCCCTCTTTCTGTGTTTGTATGTGTGTTTGTTGTACAAGTAGTGATGAGTTTTGATGTTGGTGGAACCTCTTAGTGTAAGTCGATCCCTTAGAATGCAGGATAATGCAGAGTAATGCACATCCGCAGCGCTGACTCAAGTAAATAAATAAATAAATACCCGTAGTAAACAGAAAAGCAAAAAACGCCCGATTGATCGGAAAAGAGATGGTGTGATTGTCAACTGCCTAGCGCCACCCAAATCTGCCCTGTACCTTTTTTTTTTTGCCAATAAAGATTTGGTGATCAATTAAAGTCAATCAAGACCCTGCCACCACCACCACGCGATTGCGCCCACGGGAGGCCGTTAGTCCTGTTTCCCAAAGAAGCAATTCGGGATCGGGGTCGCGTAGAATTATGCAAGGCTGAGCGCGCACACGGCCACTCCGAGCAAGGCAAACCCACGAGTGTAAAAATAAATCGTGAGAATCAATGAGAGCATCAGGAAAAAAACAAGAGTCTTTTCTTTCTCTACATCACAGCTATACTTCCTATTTTTACACTTTGTATTAACCGAGGGAGGGGGAACTATGACACACAAGGCCTTGGTATTGGGTACATTGGTCAGCCGACTTTGGTCTCCAGGCAGCAAAGCAGAATGTCACCGTGGCCGGATACCTCCATGGACAATTGACAGTTAGGCCGCCAGTCGTGGAATGACAACCCACAGCCCAGCGATTTCTTGGGAATTCTCTCTTCTTCTCTGCGGGGTTGCGGCTCTATTAAACTGTTGGACTTGTGTTTGGGTGGTCCGTATCTGACTACCAAGGTACAGGGACATGGAATACATTAGGGACCTATTCACTCATCATCTTATAGACTCACACAAGTTACTGCCAACACGCAGCACAATGGCAAAATAGTCTCTTCAGGTATCAAATGATCATAATTCATTCATGCCAAGTCTCATATAATACACTCTTCAAATGCTTCCCCTCCATCTCATATCCCATCCTTCGCCATTACCACCGCAGTCCTTGCCCCCACAGGCTGCCTCCGACTCTCGTGAGGCTTACTAGGTACTCTGCAAAAGAGATCCCTGCACAATATTCCCTCTTACAAGCAGCGTTGTAAAAGGTGTCCGTAACACATTTTCTTTTTTACCATGGCTGTTCAAAGCGAATCCAAATATCCTGTCTCTGCAAATGATGTATTGAAAAAAATCCCACCCTCCAAAGAAAAGCAAAAAGAACGAAGGACAAAAAAAAAAAAAAATAACCACCGCAATTGCGTCTATTGGTAACTTGTTCATCTGGAATGGGTGCCTGCCTTGCTGGGTCCACAGAAAATGCGACGCAAAATTAAAACTCAAAAATTCAAGAGACAAAATCAAAAAAGAATAGATATCAAAGTAGAAAAGCTGTCTTTCCTTTCAAGTAATCTGAGCGAGGAAAGGACTCAGCATCAAGTCGTCAGCACTGGGGCGCAGGTTGTGATCCAGCTCAAAGGTCTGATTCAGGAACGTCTTCGCATCGTCACTAGCATGCTCTGGAATGGTAGGAGTTGCTTTCCCGCCACCGATCCTGAAAATGGCTTGGAGCTGGCTGCAGTCCGGGAATGGATGTGACCCTGTCATCATCTCGACGACGAGGCATCCAAGAGACCAAATGTCAGCCTTGCGCGTGTACGAGGTCTGCTTGACGACCTCGGGCGCCATCCAAAACACTGATCCCTGCAGGGATGGCCGGTGCTTGTTGTTAGCAGCGCCGTTGAGAATGTTGGATGCCTCCAGTTTCTTGGAGATGCCAAAGTCGGAAATCTTGATTGTGCCCTTGTTGTCGACCAGGATGTTGGCGCCCTTGATGTCGCGGTGAATAATGTCCATGTTGTGCAGGTAGGACAGGCCCGTCAAAATCTGCCTCACAAAACTGCGAACCAGGGGCTCTGGCAGGGCGCCATACGAGTTGAGCATGGTCTGCACCGAGCCACCAGGGACGTACTCGAGGAAAATGTTGAGGTTATCGGTAGAAGAGCTGCAACCCAGATACTGCACAATGTTGGGGTGGCGTAGTTCTCGCAAAAGGCTGATTTCGCGCTTCAAAGCATCAATCATGCTCTTCTTCCGGCTATCGGCTGGGCCATTCTCGCCAGGAGCAGGCATATCAACTTGCTTGACGGCCAAGAGTTCACCCGTCACGGCATGTAGCGCCAGGAAGACACTACCAAATGATCCCTGGCCGATAAGTGCTCCCTTCATCCACTTGTTGTCGTCCCACGAGTCTCCAGCCAAAAAGCTCTCTAGTTCTTCATCAGCTTCGTCGCCGTCGTCGTTGAGCGCTTGCTGCAGCTCCTGGAAAGAGCCAGAGCCTGTGGACCCATCTGCGTCGTAATAGCTCGTACTCGTCGTGTTGCCTTCAGGGTCCGTAACGCTGAGGCCAGTAGTATCGCTTGCGTCCGAAAACGACACATAGGACTTGCGGTTCGGCTCCGTAGGTGATGACGGCTCCTCTTGCAGAGGTCCGAGCATCGATGAGGCAATCGAATCCCTGCTATAGATGGTGGGAGCTCGCCCTTGAGAGCGAAGCTTGGCCACATGGGCGTTTCCGCCCAGCCAGGAGTCGGCAATGGTAGGAATGGGAGGAGCATCCTGGATGCTCGAGGCAAAACTCAAGTTGCTCGCCACGCTGAGCCGGCTATTGATCTTGCTCAAGCGGGTCGATCTCCTCATGGATAGCCTGGCGGTTCGATCAATGTCCTCGCGGGCATGATCAGGGAAATAAGAGGTAAGATCCGAAGCAATGAGTTCGCTCGGTGGACGGAGGCCGCCGAATTGACGGAGTCCCACCTTTCTCAGCGGGTTGCGATCGGGCGACAAAGGCCGGTCGAGCTCTCTGTATGCGTTGGCCGTGTTTCGCTCTCGGGCAGCAAAAGAAATAGGTGACAGGGGATTCTGAAGCTTCTCATTCCAGCTCTCGCCCAGCACCTTTTGTACTTTTAGCTGACTCCTCTTGTCTACGGCTTCCAGCGCCCGCGCGTGCTTCTGCTGCTCTTCCTCCATGGCAATCTGGGCGGCGCGTTGCAGCTCTTGCTCACCCGGTTCTCCAGCCGGCACCCTTCTGAGAATCAAGCGGTTACGCTCCGGCCTCCGTTGGTTCTGGATGATGCGCCATAGCTCTGTGTCGCCCAGGCGGCGACACTGCTTGGGGTCGGCATCTATACCGGCCAAAACCCAGAAACAGTAGTTTCGCTCATGGTCTTCGCGGAGGCCAAACTTGCGCAGAGTGACACGCATGACATCTTCACACGTGTTGCACTCGGCAATCTTGACGACCTTTGTGACGCCACCAGTGGAAATGACACGAATGATATGCTGTCCCTGAGGCAAAGTAGCCATGAGCGAACCATCCACGCTGGACTGGTTCCTCGTGTGAGCGGTGACCAATCGGCCACTGGAAGAACTAGGGGACGGGTTGCTCGGATTCCCGTGGGCCACATATCCTCTCCCGGGGAGATATTGCTGAGGTTGTTGAGGCTGCTGTCTCGTTCGTACATCCGGTACTTGAGGAGAGCCGGGCCGAGATGTAGGTCTCCCGTGGTCGGAGGCGCCGGCGCCAGACATGTCGACCTGTCTCGAGTAGCGCTTGTTCCCGGGCGCGGATCGTGCGTTTGAAACCTTGGGAGAGCTACCATAGGCCTGCACGGGGAGAACATCTAGGGCAGCAAAGGAATCCTGAGACAGCCAACGTTAGCTATTGTTCTCTCGCTGCTTTTAACCCAAAGGCATATTCGATGAGAGGAGGATAGAAGAAGAAAAGAAAAGAAAAGAAACCTCACCCTATGTCGCTTCTTCTGATTGGCATACGCCTTTGTTCGCAGCTTCTTGATGCTGAGGAAGAGGCGCACGCGGTCGCCAACCTTGTCGATTCCCATCTCCTTGAGGACCTCCTTGTCCATCTCCAGCAAGTTCTCGCCGTTGATGTGATTTTTGCGAAACAGCTTCTCGTATTCCCCACACTTGACGCTGGCGAGATAGTCGCAGACTCTGTCTTCGTCCCAGTTCTTGACCGAGTCCGGGCCCTCAGAGTCGGAGTAGTCTGATTCCGTCGGGCTCGTATAGCCGCCGCCGTGCGAGCTGCCAGTCACGGCGGGAACTCTTCTCGAAGTCGGGAGGCCAGACGAATAGTCGGTGGTGACCATGGTGGGAGCGCCGCCCATGGGAAACGTGGTTTTCGCGAGCATTGCCATTTTGTCTGTGTCTTTTTATGTGTGTGTCTGTCTTATATAAAAATTTGCGTTTGTAATTATTAATACTGAAGGGCTCGTCGGAATCCTGGTGCGAACGGGAGGTGAATTATGCTGTTTTGTTGGTTGCAAACGCGGCCTGCTGCGTCTACAGATGTCGTTAATGTAAATGGGACCCTTGGGTGATTGTAGGTCCAGTGTTGTGGTGTCTCTTGTTCGCCGCCAGCTTCTTTCAACTTCGTCTTCGTCGCCGCCCGTCTTCGTGTATTTCTCGTCCGCCTTCGAATCAACGCCCAGAACTGCAAGCCACCTCGTGCGCGGGGTGCTGCGGCGGTTCGTCACGACAGAGGCTCCCGGCTGCTGAAGTTTCGCTCGACGATACGGAGAAGAGAGAAGAAAAAAAAAACAAAGAGCGGGAAAGGGGAGCCAGCTGGAGCAGTTTAAAGCAAGCCACGATGACCGGCACGAAGTGTAGGAGAAAAATAGCGGCGCAGGGAGGCGAGGCGGGGGCGCTTCTCCTCGTACGGTAGGCAGATGGGCGATTGGTGGCGATTGGCCGCTACGCTACGGGCGGGCCTCCCCCCTGTAACCTCGTGGAAATCAGCAGCGATGCGCTAAAAAGGTGCGCTGAAGAAGCGCGGGTCTTGGGAGCTGCGGGCAGTGCACGAAGAGTCGCCCGGGCCCGGCAGAGTTTGACGTGAAACCTGCGACAGAGTGCGACGAGCGTCGGGCTGGAGCTGCGCGTTTCCAATGCGCTGGTTGGCGGCTTGTTAATGAAAGGAGCGGCCACCAAGTGCCGGCTGGCGGTATCTCAGCGTGCGGTCGATGTTTCTGGGGCCCTGGCGCTAAGAGCAGGTGGCTCAGGTACGAGTACAGAATTAGTGGTTTTCAGGTACAACAAGTCAGTGACAGCGCGTTTGTCGTGGAGAGCAGCCACCGCACGGCCGGGCCTGACACAGAGCTGGTGGAAAAGTCGATGTTTGCACGGCAGAGCGAGCATATGCATCAGGGTTGCGTTGTGATATTAACAGCAAGCCGCTTCCGCTGATGGACAGGGTATCGAATTGTGCCGAGGTGACCACACCGAGTCAGTATACTACGAGTAAGGGCGACATGGGAATTTAGAGAGTAGGATTACAATGATGCCGTCTTTCCTTATCTGGCCAGCTTACAATGCACCGGAACAGATGTAGAGATGGAGTGACAGCTACAACGAGCGCATCCGCTTTGATTTGGCAGCAGCTTACAGCCGGCTCTTTTGAGTCGATGGATCGGCGTCCATGCTCTGTGAGAGATCCTTGAATCCCATCTCCATCCATCACATCACATCTACAGAAGCCGTGCGATGCATCCAGATATGGACGACAGCAGTACCACTACAACTCGCACAAGGACCTAATTATGGAATTGAATCCCATCGCGCCGCAACAAACATCCATCCTTGCTGGCATCAGCATCATCATCACCATCGCCAGCATCAAGCTGTACGCTCTTCCGCGTTCCGCGAGCCATTTTCAGGGTTCGCCCAATACGGGGCCCTTTTCGCGGCGGTAGCCCCACGACCCCTGTGGAGATTGGCGCCGGTGATAGGCCCGTCACCTGCAAAACGTGAAACCAGCGGCGTTTCGAAGTCTCATCGCACCCACCGCATTTTGATGGCCCGTTCCCTCGTAGTGTGGCCGCCACAGCTGCGCAGTAATACGGGAAGCTGATTGTGTTTGCGCCCAAAGCATTCGTGCCGTATACGCAGCGAAACAAATCGGAGTACAGGAAGCGTCAGATTGGCGGATGGAGGCGGTATGCTAGTTTTGATGCAAGGAAGATGCTGGCAGTGGGAACTTGTAAGCAGCAAGCACATGTAAGAAGAAACATTACTGACAAGCAAAATGTACCTAGACAAAGACCCTAGCGGGAGCTTGGACGTCGATGACGAACTTTGCTAGCGACCCGCTTGATTTCCCGATCTCATCTCCAAGGTATTCTTCCACTGCGGATGCTAGTATGAGTACTCCAGCGCTTCTAGCCATGACAAGCATTTGTATTTTATTTTTACGTTTTTACTTTTTCTTTCTTTTTCAAGATCATCTTATGCGGGCCTGTTGATCGGCTGTTGGCGTACAAGCGTACTACAAGCAAGGGATACCCAAGCTTTGCTAGGCTTCTAGAACTCGTCAAGGTTCTTTTTTTTTTCTGGCCCACGCAATCAATCAAAAATAGAATCAGCCAGCTGCTAGGCAACACACCAAAGCTGCTGGAATTATAGAAATGCAGAAATGCTTCTTTATTTTATTAAAAAAAAAAAAAATTACGGCAGCCACTCCCAGCGTGTTTCCACCCGAGAGAGCGGCCGTCCAGTCAGATCAGCACAAGTGTACGAGTGCCAAATAGCGCTGCACGCGTTTCACGTCGTGGTGACAGGCTCTGGCGCTTGAAACGGCTCACCAATCATGCAGTGGCAGACGGCTGGGGCGATGCGAATCACGGCAGGCCCCTGCCCAGATGCGTGATGCGATGCGATGCACCAAAGGCCCAGACTGCCTACTCCGGTAAGGCAGAGACGAGATTCGGAATATGCTCCGCAAGCACGGCGAGGCGGGTTTGCGTAGCATCCATTCAACAAGATGAAATCAATCTATTTGCATGCAGCAGCAGCAGCTCCCGCCGACCTTCATTTCACTGCAATCAACCCCAAACGGCCGACGCCCTCATTTTGCGCCGCCATGGCTGCGTGTCTCGTATCGCCCGTGTCTTTGTTCATCACATCCTTTAATCACATCACAGCGGAACAATCACCTGTGATTACGGACTACTGTGCCCGGTTCACTTATTGATTAATTCCACATTACATTACATTACATTGCACAGCAGCAGGGACGATACGCGACAAGATTAAGTAGGCGCTGCTGCACCTATTAATGGAAGTGGGACACAGATCTGCTGTGCGCACGAAAGAAATGGCGGCCTTGCCTTGCACGACAAGATTCGTTGAATTCGGCAGCATGTAAAAATAGCAGCATCCAGTCTTCTCTGAGATCCCGTGACTAGTTCCGCGAGAACCGAGATTTGCTCAGGCTCCGCAATTGTCGATTTTTATCCAGACGTCTCCAAGCTTTCCGCGATATCGCAGCCAGCTGAATGATGGCCTGCTCCAGCGTTCGTAGATGGCGCCCTTTTCTAGACCCCGCGATGGCCCTTAGTCGCGCACTAGCAGTAACTGCCGACCACATCATGCTATTCCCGTTAAGACGATACTTTCTTTTCCAAGGCGCCCTGTTTTCGGACGTCACAGTCATCCTTATGTCAGGCACCACTAAAGAAGCTTGAGATGGCTCTTGAGCTGTCACGTTTTTATCGTCTCTTCTTTTTTTTCCACGTTCTTGTAGAATTCTGGAAAGCGGCAGTAGCCAATACGAGATACAGTGACAAGATTCTTCTGCGATTCAGCAGATACTGTCAAATTCTTTCTCTCCACTTTCCTAGGAGCAGTATCCGATCTTCGGCTAACGTCGACGGAGGGACGAGCTAGGAGCTTGCTTGGAGCTTGGAGCTTGGAGCTCGCAGGTTACAAAACCGTGCCTTGTCTATATATCAACGCCAATACCCACAGCAGGGCTTCAATTGGCTTTTCAGTTTGCTCCTACGTAATCAGCTAGCTCTGTATATTCGGCATGGCTTCATCTGGGAAGCCAGTGGTTAGCTTTCTGGGCCCCATCGCCTCATATTCGCATCAGGTAATGCTTGTCTGTCCTGGTCACCATGAAGAAACAGAGAGGAGGGCTAATGCAACTCCGCAGGCAGTTCGACAGGTCTTCCCAGAATCCTCTTGGGAGCTAAGACCTGCAGCTACGATAGATGGCACGTCAATCCGCAAAAGTGCATCCTGTCGATCAGCTAATAACGTTGCGTGTTAGACGTCTTCGACCAGGTCCAATTCGGAGAGGTCAAGGCCGGCGTGGTCCCCATTGAGAATTCCACGAATGGCTCTGTCGTCTTCACGCTGGATAATCTAGCCGACCGCAATGGCCGGTACAAAGACATCACCGTGGATGGAGAAATCTTTGTCGACGTTCATCACTGCTTGGTCGGACACAAGAATCTGTCGCCGTTGCTGGACATTGACGACCACGGCGACGGATCGGGAACGTGCACGCCCACTCTTTCAGATCCTCGCCCATCAAAGCCCAAGTCGAAGCCCTTTACAAACCTGAGGCACATCAAGAGGCTCTATTCTCACCCCCAGGCTTTCGGCCAGTGCAACGCCTTCATCTCGACATATCTCAAGGGCGTCGAGATATTCGATGTCAGCTCGACCAGTAAAGCCGCTGAGATTGTGAGCCAAGACACAACCGGTACATGGGCCGCCATCTCCAGCGAGCTCGCCGCCAACCTCATGGAGGGCTTGGATATGCTGGCCAAATCCATTGAGGATCGTGACGACAACACCACGCGCTTCCTCATCATCGGAAAGAACACTCCAGTCCCCAAAGACTGGGGTCTGGTGAACCAGTCGGTGGGAAAGGCCAGCACCAGGACTTTGATATCGTTTACCGTGCCGCACACATCCCCGGGTGCTCTCGCAGAAGTTTTGGGCGGCTTCAAGGCGTACGACCTGAACCTGACAAGCATAAACAGCAGACCGAGCCTACTGGCTCCCTTCCAGTACATCTTCTTCATCGAGTTCGAGGGCAATAAATACGATGACCCCGACGGGAGAGTAAACGGCGCGCTGAATACCATTGAACGGGTTGCAGAGAACTGGAGGCTGTTGGGGAGCTGGGAACGATACAGGTAAATGCTGCATCAACTTGAAGGAAATGAAAAGGGAAAAAGAGGAGAGAAAGAAAAAATAAAAAGAATTTTGTATACGTGCGGAAAGCGAATTTCACCAAGTAGGTACCTACAAGCAAGATACCTTACTTTCCCAATTGAGACATTGCGAGGCGACTGCTGCATCTGCTCTCTGCGAGGCCCTGTCCCGCCTCTTTGGTGAGTCTCCTTTGCCAGGATTCAGCTGACGGCTGCTTGACCGCCTCACCCGAATCTTGGCATCTGTAGCAAATGCGTCTGTCTTGGCTGTTTTCTTTGTTTGTGTTGGGATGTGTAAAGCGCATGTATGATTTGACCACGGCGCATGAAAACGAGAGAAATGCATTGTATTTACACCAAAAAGACACGATCTACAATGCACATGCACATCTATGCGAACCGTTGATTGCAACACTCACGTTACATTGCAATAGGTACGTAGCAGCACCGCCCAGATCAACTGACAGGTTAGTCTACAAGCCGCTTTCAGCCGCTCAAAACGGTGACGTGTAGCATGTCCTCGAAATCCCACGGCTTCTCGGCGTTCTTGGGTCCTAGTCTTTTACGTCTCTGGTACCAACACGGCCAATAAGAGGCTTCGGTGGCGACCAGCTTCTCGCCGGGCTGTCGGGGTGGGGTCGCCGTTGCGATAATGAAGCCTGGGATCCACGAAAACATGGCCGTTTCTGTCCAGCGAAATGTTATTTCTTTTGGGGATAAAAAACGCTGCCCGCTTTTGCGGAGAGGGACGGGCATTCCGTTGGGAGAAATCCGGCTATTTTTTTTTTTTTTACAAACATTGGAGCTGGATACTCTGCTCCGGTCTGGACGGCATGCTATCTCGGCTCTCCTCTTCTCAGACACCACCTATCACATCCGTCAGCTCGGCCACGTCCGTCCAAGCTCTGCAGTCCAGTCCATCCCGTCCCAGCCATCACCAGGAATTGTTATAATCAGTCTTTTGAGTCTTTTTCTCCAACTCTGCTAACCCTCATTGAGATTCGCCTAGAATGACATGCAGCAGCAAAAGATAGCGCCGTCTTATCTGTCCTATGGGCTTTGCTCGATTCGATCCCCCCCCCCCCTTTGGCCCTTGACAAACGACCAACTGATGAAGACAGCATGACGTCGAGAAAAGCAAGGCTGGCTCAGCGGGAAGCCCAAGGGGTGAATGGCAACAGGCCTTGTAGGGCTTGGTCGGCAAGGTACATGTGGAGACGGGTCCATAGAAGTCGCTCCAGGGCGAGGAACTAGAGGCAGCGGCTGCGAGCGAGGCGTCCCATGGGCGACGTTCCGGAGCTGGGCTGGGTCTGGGTTGGCAGCCCTTCTGAGACATGTGAGTGGTGATCTGAGGGCCGCTTGGCAACGCCGCCTGGGGAATCGATCCAGAAAAAGAAGCGACATGGCTTCGGTCCCTCGGCGGTGGGAGGGTACCTGACAGGTGGTCTGTATCATCTTGGTTTTACTTGTAACAAGAGGTAGAGCCGATGGCAAGGTTCAGGTACCTGGAGGGCTCCCATCTGTCTGTCCTCGCGCGATGGCCCGAAATCTAGTTTCTATTTAACGTGCTCTCTCCCGTCCCGTGCCCCCCTGTGAGATTCTTAAGTCCCGCTGATCTCCTTTGTATTTATTTTCTTTTTATTTCTCCTCTCCTCTATCTATCGTCACTCGAAACAGTAAAACTTGAGATTTTCCAATTTTGCTAGAATTCACCATGGCTCCTCGACCTATTTTTGCTGCCACTCATCCCAGAGCTTGCTCTACAGCTTTTGAAAGGGTACGTGAAAAGCTTCGGAATGAACACACTTCTCTTTTCTTTTTTTTTTCTTTTTTTCATCTTCTTACTGACATGCGGAATCAGGTGTTCATGGCCCGCCGTGATATTCTAGAGTGTGCTCACGAGCCGTTTGGCGATGCCTTTTACTTTGGCCCAGAGTTTATGAGCGACCGGTTCAGGCATGATGCTGCCACTCGCCAGAGCTCAGAGTATCGTGATACTACTTACAAGAGTGTCTTGGAGAGACTTGAGGATGCGGAAAAAGAGGTTAGAACTTCTCCCAGTGTTGAAGAAAAAAAAGAGGAATTATGTGGTGTGAATCCCAAGTGGGAGAGACGTCACGAGGAGGCTTATATGCAAGCCGCCTCACTATCAATTTGGCTTCCAGTCTTTTTTTTTTTCTCCCGCGTAAATCTGCACATTGAATCTCCGTTTCAATTGCACTAGCAACACGGGATTGGATGTCAACGCTGAATTGGAACGATGCTTACACTTACTAGGGCAAACGTCTCTTCATCAAGGACATGGCATACTACCTGATGCAACCCGATGACAAGCCATCACAAATCGCACCGTCTCTCGGAGGCGGCGAAGAAGCCGGAAACCCAACAGTTCTGCCCGTCAGCATCCTGAAGCGCTTCCACTTTACCTTTCTCATCCGCCACCCCAAGCGCTCAATCCCTTCCTACTACCGCTGCACCATCCCTCCGCTGAGCGAAATCACCGGATTCGACTACCTCATGCCCAACGAGGCGGGCTACGTGGAGCTTGTTCGACTGCTAGACTTCTTGATTGAGCGTGGAATCGTCGACAAGGACCACATCACGGCCATTGACGCGGATGATTTGCTTGACAAGCCGGAGCAGGTTATCCGGGAGTACTGCGCGAGGATCGGCGTCGATTACAAGCCGCAGATGTTGAATTGGACCGAGGAGGATAAGGAGCATGCGGCGGACATGTTTGCCAAGTGGAATGGCTTCCATGATGATGTGCTCAAGACGAATTGTTTCCAGGCACGATCTCATGCTCAGGTATGTTGACAAACTCGAGGCACAGTAGCATTCTCTTCTTTTTCGACATGTCACTGATACGTGAATTTTTACACAGAAAACCTCAACTGTTGAATCTGAGGACAAGGAATGGTTGGACAAGTATGGTCCTGAGGCGCAAAAGCTGATTCGCCAGACCGTTGATGAGAATATCCCCCACTACGAATATTTGAAACAATTTTGCATTTCTGTTTAACGAATAATGACATTTGGGTACACGGTACATGTATGGGAGAAGGTGAAATCTTTTCTTTTAGAGAACTCTTCTTTTTGTGTTATTGGTCTATGATACAGTATATCGGTCTGGCTCCAAGGGCCCACCGAATATCTTTCTTTTTATATATCCATAATCAACATCGCCTTTAGTAACAAGACTTTGTGTAACGTAAACAACCACCTTGCCGTTAATGTACATCCATCCAAAAATATCCTTTTACAGCTAACACCTGTCGCGAGCTTTCCCCCCTCCAGTAGTCGCCATGTCATTTCACATTCCCCGGTTTAATTTGAAATTTTTCCAATTGCTTCCCTTATGCGGTTGCTGGCTTCGCAACCTGCTTTTCGGCCTCTCCTCCGATATATGTCGGCACCTCGAAAACAGTGTGTGTGACATTTTTTGACCACGACTCGGCAAATTTCTTATCTTGGTCGTTGGCCCAGCTGACTGTGACATCCACCAGCTCCTTGTCTCCTCCCTCGGTCTCTGCAGCCACGATCTTGTTGCCGCGGCCCTGGCCTGCTAGAACAGCCGCAATGTCGGCAATTGCATTTTTCTTCTGCGCATTGAGGGCGATGCCACGCTCCTGCTTGCTTCGGATGGGCTGGTAGTCGATTCCCTTGTCCTTCTCGGCGGCAATCTTCTTCTTGTCTTGGCTACTAAACTCTTCCGGCCGCTTGTGTCGCAATTCGTCTGTCCACGCAACCTCGTGGAGGTGCTTCAACTCTCGCAGTTTCTGGAGTACTGAGCGGCCAACGGAGCCCTGGCCGGGCTGGAATCGGATGTGAGCGAGGGGTGACCAGTAATCCTTGCGAAGCTTTGCTGGCTTGGTCTTTTTGCCATTGAACGGCAGCTGCTTCAGGCCTTGGAATCCCTATGAAACCCGGTAAGTAAGCATTGCAGTTTGACAGAGGCGCACCCGGAAAGAGAACTACTGACATCCAAGACCTTGCTGAAGCTGTAAATCACCTGGTCCGACCTCCTATGGGCGAAAACCCAAATGTCCTCGCCATGGCTCTCCGCGCTCTGTGACCCCGTTGCAGCTCCTCGCGGCCGACCCGAGTGCGCGTACCGCACTCCGGCTCTCAGGAGGCCCAGCAATTGGCCTTGCCCAAGTCTCGAGTGGTTCATGGCTGCCGTCATCGATTTAGCCGCTCAAAGTTTCTGCTCGCAGAGAATCGCATCCAAACAATGAAAGACTGCATGGGAATCATGTGACATTGAGTTTTTCGATTAGATTGGCTTTGCATCCACCAATCAGACTGCGCGCTCCCCACTTCGCGCGGCGTGCCCAGGCTTGGAGGCTTCTAGTGACATCAGGATGAATCTTCCGGGTTCCAGTGACTTCTGGGCAGCTCAAGCAGCTCCTCGGGCTCGCGCGCAGCTTCATGGAGGTGCCAGCTGTCTGCCCACTTGTCGGGCTGAAACTCCACCCAACGCTAGATAAATTGCTGACGCCGGTCCTCGTTTCTTGAACGCTCTTTTTTGAATCCCCATCCTTTACTCTCTACAACTCGCAGAGGCTCAAGCCCAAGACTTGCAACGCTGTTTGCTCGCTTGATTGCTAATCCGCTTTGCTGTGCAAAACGACGAACACAAACAAACAAACTGAACAAACTACAACGCATACACCGTTTGTTCCTTCTCACCTACACACACTAATATCCCGCTTTTGCATTCCATTCACGACTTTTACTGCCACTTGACCACTTCATTTACGCTACAACTGCTACTCTTACAGAGTTCAGTACATCAAATCATACCATTCATACACGTTTCAACTGATTTCCACACGACTTCACCATGACTTCACGAATGGAATTCACAGACCGTGCTCAAAAGGCCATCGAGGACGCCATGTCCATGGCCGAGCAGTACGGCCACTCACAGCTTCTGCCAGTGCATCTGGCTGTCTCCCTACTCGAGCCCTCCATCGACCAGTCCAAGGACCAGCAGAATGGACCTCCGCAGAACACAATCACCCTCTTCCGACAAGCCATCGAACGAGCTCACGGAGACCCTCAGCTGCTCGACCGAGCCCTGAAGAAGAGTCTGGTACGGCTACCAAGCCAAGACCCTCCTCCAGACCAAGTCTCCCTGTCACCTTCGTTCCATGCTGTTCTGCGAAAGGCCCAAGAACTGCAAAAGGTCCAAAAAGATACCTACATCGCTGTCGATCACTTGATTACGGCCCTGACGGAAGATGCCAGCATCCAGGCTGCATTGAAAGAGGGCAACATTCCCAAGCCCAAGCTCGTTCAAGAGGCTGTCCAGGGTATTCGAGGAACCCGCCGGGTCGACAGCAAAAACGCAGATACCGAGCAGGAGAACGAGAACTTGGCCAAATTCACCATCGACATGACTGCCCTGGCCAGAGACAAGAAGATCGATCCCGTCATTGGCAGAGAAGAAGAAATCCGACGAGTCGTGCGAATTCTGTCTCGCAGAACAAAGAACAACCCGGTTCTTATTGGTGAGCCCGGTGTTGGAAAGACCACCGTCGCCGAAGGCCTGGCACAGCGAATCGTCAACCGAGATGTTCCTGACAACCTAAAGGCATGCAAGCTGCTTTCACTCGACGTCGGTGCACTTGTTGCCGGCAGCAAATTCCGAGGTGAATTCGAAGAGCGAATGAAGGGTGTCTTGAAGGAGATTACCGAGTCAAAGGATATGATTGTTCTCTTTGTTGACGAAATCCACCTTCTCATGGGAGCCGGCTCGTCTGGTGAGGGCGGTATGGACGCCGCCAACTTGCTGAAACCGATGTTGGCTCGTGGTCAACTTCACTGTATTGGTGCCACGACATTGGCAGAGTACCGCAAGTATGTGGAAAAGGACGCCGCCTTTGAGCGTCGTTTCCAGCAAGTTCTTGTCAAGGAGCCTTCCATCGGTGAAACCATCTCCATCTTGCGTGGCTTGAAGAGCAAATATGACAGCCACCACAAGGTTAGCATCCTTGACAGCGCTTTGGTGGCTGCTGCCAACCTTGCCGCTCGCTACCTTACCTCTCGGCGCATGCCCGACTCTGCAATCGACCTTATCGACGAAGCCGCAGCAGCGGTTCGAGTTGCTCGAGAGTCTCAGCCCGAAATCATTGACTCTCTAGAGCGCAAACTGAGGCAGTTGAAGATTGAAATTGCGGCCTTGGAAAAAGAGCACGACGAGGCATCAAAGATCCGCTTGCAGCAGGCCAAGAAAGATGCCCAGAATGTGGAGGAGGAGCTTCAGCCCCTCCGTGAAAAGTACCAAAACGACATCAAACGAAATGATGAAATCCACCAGGCCAAAGACAAGCTTGAAGACTTGAAGAAGCGTCTCGAGGATGCCATCAACGCAGGAAACCATCAGCGAGCCGCCGATCTCAAATACGGCGCCATTCTGGAACAAGAGGCTTTGATCGCGAAGCTTGAGGATAAGAAGAATGCTGCAGATGTGGCCCTCAACGCTGCTAGCGGTGGCGATACCAGTGTCATGGTCACCGACATTGTGACTGCAGACAACATCAATGAGATTGTGGCTCGATGGACTGGCATCCCAGTTACCCGGTTGAGGACGTCAGAGAAGGAGAAGCTCATCCAGATGGAAAAGGTCTTGAGCAAAGTCGTGGTTGGACAAAAGGAAGCTGTCACATCAGTCGCCAATGCCATCCGGCTTCAGCGCTCAGGCCTTGCCAACCCCAACCAGCCACCTAGCTTCTTGTTCTGCGGTCCATCCGGTACCGGTAAGACGCTTCTCACCAAGGCCCTGGCTGAGTTCCTGTTCGACGATCCAAAGTCCATGATCCGTTTCGACATGTCAGAATACCAAGAACGACATGCACTGAGTCGTATGATTGGTGCTCCCCCAGGATACGTTGGACACGATGCTGGCGGCCAGTTGACTGAAGCACTTCGGCGCAAGCCCTTCTCAATCCTGCTATTCGACGAAGTCGAGAAGGCGGCCAAGGAAGTCTTGACGGTGCTTCTCCAGCTTATGGATGACGGCCGCATCACTGATGGCCAAGGCAGAATTATTGACGCCAAGAACTGTATTGTCGTCATGACATCCAACCTTGGAGCTGAGTATCTCGTCCGCCCGGGCGTGAAAGAGGGCAGGGTTGACCACAATACTCGAGAACTGGTCATGGGCGCTCTTCGCAACTACTTCCTGCCCGAGTTCTTGAACCGTATCAACTCTGTTGTCATCTTCAACAGGCTTACACGCAAGGAAATTCGCAAGATTGTCGATTTGCGCATTTCCGAGATCCAGAAGCGTTTGGAAGACAATGGCCGCAAGGTCTTTATATCAGTCTCGGAAGAAGCCAAAGATTATCTAGGCAATGCAGGATACTCACCTGCTTACGGTGCTCGACCACTGGCTCGTCTGATTGAAAAAGAGGTGCTGAACAGACTAGCTATTCTTATCCTACGAAACAGTATCCGCGATGGCGAGACTGCTCGGGTGGAGCTCGATGACAACAAGATTGTTGTGCTGTCGAACCACCCTGACAGCGGAACAGATGATGATGACGATGACATGTTTGATTCGGATGATGTTGAGGACGTTGTTGGAGAAGACATGGACGAGGACATTTATGATTAAGCGCATTGTTTATTGAATTAGGTTGACAAAGGGAGTCATCATTCCTTGCATATAGGACATATCCGGCGTTTATGGTGGAACAGGCAAGCAGTGTTTTGGTTGTTAAAAAGTTGTCTATCTGCTTTAATGCTTCATAGGTAGAAATATATGAAAAATATTCTAATAAAGTTTGTGGATCTATCCAATGTGACTGTGACTTGTGATAATTAATGGTATAACGCAAAAAAGAGGGAAAAAAAGAAGAAAGGTTAAGATGCTTGAGCTGTATCCATTCTAAATGAGCCCAATCAGTACACCGTCTTCTCCCGTGGTCCAGCCGAAATCATCCATGAACATGGACCAGTCTACATCTTGGAATGGATCGGTGACGGCTGCGTTATTTGTCATTTGTTGGTCTTGCGCGGCGGTGTTTGCGCCTGAAGATGGATCTGTACGGAATTCTGGAGATTGTTAGAAAACAAGGAGGATTACTGGTTTAAAAGGCTGCAAAATAGAACTTACGAATAATCTCGAGGCACTTATTCACGCCATCTGTGCTCTTCTGCGCCGTGAGCAGGCCGTTTTTGAACTTCTCCAGACAGGCAAACGTGATGCCCGCCCCGCCGCGGCTGACCCATGAAGGAGGCACGGTGTCGAACCGGGGCACGTATCTCCTAAAGGACCAAAAGGTTTCCATGATGACGCTGCCGCGGTACCAAATGTCCTGTTCCTTGACGGAGCAGCGCATGATGGAGGTGTAGGCCTGCTGGGCGAGGAGATCGGCCTCCTCGGCGGAGAGAGAGTCCGGGCTAGGACACCAGGTGGAGTGCAGGAGGTAGACGATTGTGTTTGCGGCGTCGGTGAGGGCGCGGCAGAGGACGCCGGGGCAGTGGGCGATGAATTTGGAGCGGGAGTCGATGTCGAGGACGGTGTGGATGAGGGAGCGGGCGGTGGTGAAGGTCTTGAGGGCGTTGAGCTGGAGAGTTGGGTTTGACGATGGGGTGGGCGCTGGGACGGAGGCGAGGGGGGCGGGTTGGGGCGGGGAGGTGCTGTAGTTTGTGCTGATGGCGAAGTTGTTGTTGTTTGCGGTGATGGTGCAGGGGGACATGAAGTAGAAGAGCTGGATTTCGAGCTGGGCGGCGAGTTTGAAGACGCGGAGTACTTCTATCGGGTGCGAATGTCAGTTTTTTCATACACCGGATATACCAAAGGGAGGAGTCTTTACCCGTGTCGAAGCGGACAAGCAGCGGTTTGAGCGTCTCCAGCTCGTTTTCCCATATTGCAATGGCGCTCTCCGGGACGCTGCCCACGTTGGAGGTCTGCGCGTGCATGGCCATGTGGAAGCGGTTGAGGAAGCGCTGGAGCTCGTACGTGGCGAGAAGATCGGCCCAGTAGTTGGATTCGAGGGCGGCTTTGCAACGCACATCGCTGTGCTGCATGAAAGGGGGAGGAAGGCCTGCGCTTGCTGATATCCTGGTGGGTTTAAGAAGCGTTAGAACATGTCTCTTACTATACCAAAAGTATGGAGCGAAATGGAAAATAGATGATCGAACCTTTGCGCCAGTAGGCAGCACGCTATCCATGTTGATGAAGCCTCCTCATCGGTAGACGTATAGCAGTGTCGACTTCCAACGCAGAACTGAGGGTGCGATCCCCGGCCGGTGTGAAGACCAAGCGACATGCACGCGTTCATGGCGATATTCACCAGCATGGATGACGGATCCGTGACGAAGCGAATGGTCGGGTAGGGCCATGCGCAGACGAGCAGGATGGCGTGGATCTCGTCAACGCCCAGCACGGCACTGGACATCATGGGCCAGAGGTTCTTGGTCATGTGCTCGACCAGGGCGGAGAAGAGCTGGGTGTCCTTTGCGTACCGGCGACATGTCACGTACAGGACGGCCCAGAAGAGCACGGGCTGTGCGTCGTAGCATTCATCGGGTTCTTTTTTGCGTAGGATGGGGAGAAAGGGGTGAAAGTGCTGAAGATATCTAGTGTTTATCATGTTAGATGTCTGTTTCACTACGGAGTAGCATGAGAGGTGAGTGTAACAGTTCTGAACATACTTGCTAAAGTAGTAGTCGATGTCTTCCCCAGAGATTATTATGGCGTTTAGGACGCGAGCTTCTGTAGGTCCAGTCTTCTTCTGTCTCTTATCAGGAGGGCGCGGCGACGGTCCAAGCTGAATGGAGAGGGGAGTTCGTGCTGGTTTCAGTATGGCTGAGAGCGGTGCCTGGCCTGAAGATGCGGAGAAGGGTGCCAAGGGGCTAGGTGGTGACCAGGTAGATTCACTATTGGCCTTTTTGTTGTTGACGACTTGTTGGATGCTTCTTAGCTCTTGTTCGAGCTGTTCCAACTTGCTTTAAGAGGGGGGGGGGATGTTAGCATGATGAAGCTCATTATGAAGGCAGAGATCATTAAGATTTGTTAATAGAAGAGGAAATATTTTCTCCAAGTGTATGATATAAGAGAGAGTTGAATATACCTTCGTTTTGTTACCCTCTTGTGAGACTTGTCGACCACGCATGAGATTTGCAGCTTGGCACACCTCTGGCATGGCTGGCCAGGGATGGTACTCGACTTGCATCGGACCTAGGGGTATATCATGATTAGTTATAAACTCCGCCCAAGACTTTGATGAATGAATCACAAGTAAAACCTGTACAAACAACAAAACAGCTACAGCAGAATGATTCTCAGTCTATAAGAAGCCTTCTTACTCGCCTTTGAATTCCGGCAGTTCACGCACGCCACATTCCGCCTCGTCTTCTCATCGTGACTCGGCGAATCTGCTGACGGGGGCGTCGGCGCCATTGGAGCAAGTCCCGTTTCCTCCTGCTGATTCACCTCCCTTTACAGAACGTCTGAGACATTCCCCTCCAATGCCCGGCAGTATCTCCCAAGTCCGAAGAAAATGAAGTCGTTTGCTGTCTCTCTCTGTTTGCCAACTCGGGAGTGGAGCCTCGCTGTAGCGGATGTACCTCCGATTGACGTAGCGTGAGTGCCGGGGCTCCAAGTACCACGTCGGAGAATTAGACAGTAGCAATAGCTGGAAAATACGTCAGCTAAATCACTTTCGGCTTTCTTCTAATTTTTCCTCTTCCTTGTGCCGGGCAGATGTCGGTGGCTTCGTTGCATCATTGAATCCGATCGGGGGGTCTGGCCATAAACAAGAAAGAACCGGGGGCCGGAGTCGTTAACCCCGATTGCCGGGTCACGTGCTGCGGTTGCATGAACGGAATTGGGATCACGACCTGATATCGAACACCACGAGACGAATACGGAGCAGGGACATGGAGGAAGCAAATACCGGGATCGGGATTAAGCATGATTGTATGCATGCCTGGCGAATTGCAAAGAGGTACGCTGAAATTGAGAAAATGAAATTGATCCTCTATAGTAAACACCTGCAACAACCTGCTGCCCTGCACATGCATATCGTGCCTCTCCCAAGATCCAACCTAATCCAATCCCGCCATAACCGTACCATCTCTTGACGCGTTCTACCCAATCTATTGCTTCTTTTTGTCATCTTCCGCCTTTTCCGTTACTGTCGAATGCCCAGATTTGGCATATCCTCCCACCAGCTTCAACAAGACCCACAGGAAGCCCACTGCCACTACTGCTGCTGTTCCAACTCCCACCCATTGAGATGCTCCCTCCGTCACCACAGGGACCTTGATGTTGTTGATGAGACGGCCGCCAGCCTCAGATTCGGGGCTCACGTGCCAGAATTTTGTGCTTGGGCTAAATAAGCCGTCGTAGCCCAGACTGACACGGTCAAATGGACTGACTGAGTAGGGAACCTCTTCGCCGCTATCACACGCCCAAAACACCACGGGATACGGGATTCCGGCCTCTTCCTTGCCTGTCGGGGTTGGCTTGAGATAACGTAGGTGAAGGGGAACCTCGACTGTCCAAGCCGTTTCTGCAGCGCCATCTTTGGGAGGTGCCAGCTCCAGAAGCACATTCGACCCCCAGGGCTTGGTCGTATATGCAGGTGCTTCGAGATCCACCGGCTCGCTGACGTATTTTGTGGCTGTGAGATTTTTGGACGCAAGGAACAGATCGCCTGCTAGCTGGTATCTGTCTGCAAAGATCACCTTGGGGAAAGTAAAGTACGCGTACGGGGCGCACTCAGCCTCGCCATCGGTCGGGGGAGATGCGCCGCTTAGACTCAGCTGCAAAGTCGGATGTAGGCCTGTTGGTTGCTGGAATTTGGACGTGAAAGAGCCAGGCGCCGCTCTGTGGCGGGCTTCAAAGGCGAATATCACCGGCGATGGCTCCTTGTTCTCGCCGATGACGGTCAAAACGCCCGATGCGCCAATTTGATGAGCTTCCATGTTTGGCGGCGCATCTATGCCTAGGATGCCGACTTCTGTCCGGCCCTTGGGTGATGCCGGGACGGATATCTCGCGTTGCTGCAGCGGCCATAGGGCTTGGAGCTTGACGGAATCAGAGGTGGAATCGTAAGAAATGTCTAGGCTGACGGCGTCTTTGAGGTCTTGCAGCTGCTTCCTGCACTCGCCGGCAGTTGGCCCTGAGCAGACTACCGTGCTGAGCCTCTTTGCAAAGCCGTCTAATTTTTCGAGTTCATTGTAGAAAAATGAAGTAGAAGGTGCCTTTTCCTCCTCGTTTGGAAGGCTGATGTATACCTATAAGCATGGTTAGGCATATAATTTCAGAGGTCATGCCTGGACCGGTGATGATATTACCTCTTCTGATGAGCAGTCCAAACGTCCAAACGCTTGTAAAGCTGTGCACAGTTTTTCTCTACATCTATTGTTAGTCACAAAAGAGTCTCGTATTCTGACATTTCCATAGGGTGAGACTCACGGATCGTAGTCCTTCTTCAGAGGCGTATATGAGACGTGGAGACCAGGAGAGACGCGGGAGCTAAACGGCTCCAGAGTCTCATAGCTCGCTGAGGTCGCCCATCGCAGATGCAGGTCTTGAAGATCACGAAGAAGGCTGGCCAGCTCGGAGGGGAGCTCCGGCAGCGTCAGAGTGATCTTGTGCTCGCGTACCGCCTCTGTGGCTGGGCCTTTGACTATTGTGTCCCTAATCTCCAGCTGCTTCGGGTCGATGGCTGCACCGGGCGGGTGAAAGTAGGTGATTCTTTCTCTCATGATGCTGGCAGTATGAGATGAGGCTCCTCGTCAATGTTTACTCTATGTGAGAGGCTGGTTGCACGGCAATGAGTGGCGACTTGGCTTCACGGGGGGGATGAAGGCTTAATGTTTGTTTCAATGTCCATGTTGCTGTGACATGACGATCGGGCTGAGGTGTCCACTACGTACGCCACAGCGGCGCCTTGGGCTGCCGAGTTAGCGGCATCAGCCGCGTGTCAGGGTTCCTCCACGGGCGTTATAGGGGAATCTACCCCGCTGCGTATAGGGGTCTCATTAGCTGGGCGGTTGAAATTGTATCCAGGGCGTCGTGGATTGTACACCATCCCTTTTTTACGAGTCGCCGGATTACATAAAAAGAGCAGAACCATTGAAACATTCCAAAGCCGTGCTTTGGGGTACATGAAGATGGCCAAATCGGAATACGCAGTAGCATACGCAATACGCAACACGCTGTACGGATCTAGCAGACTGCGAGACCGAAATGCCTTGCGCTGTATCAAGCTTTAAGCATTGAGAGGATGAATTGAGCAACTTCAAACAACGAACATTGTTGCTAAAAAGGTCAGCGTAAACGGCTCGTCGCGTGTACATGTAACCAACATTTTTTTACCCCCTTTTACCCAGGTACACATGCGCTGCTCCAGCCCCCTTGTGGAAGACGCCAAAAATAGTCTCCTATTCGTATTTTGGTACCCTGGATTGTTGCTCTTTGGTTCCAAGCTTCCCTTTGTTCAATACCGCTTTTCTGCCTCGTAAAGCGCAATCGGCACTCCTTGTCCAGGGCATCCCACAATGTCTGCCTTGAGATACTGCGCCGCCCAATCTCCCCTATACTCTAGCCTCTCATACTTTTGCAACAGACGGATCACTGCAGGAAAAGAAACATCAGCCCATGCTCATCAACACAACTCATCAACACAACATGCATATAACCCTGGCAAAATATCTTCTCTTGAGTTTATTTCGAGTCTCATGATATCACTTACTCATAAATGCCATCTCCGTCATGGCAAAGTTCTGCCCAATGCAGATCCGGGGCCCGCCATTAAAGGGCACAAACTGCCACGGCTTGGGCGTCCAATGCTCCCATCGCTCGGGACTAAAGATTGCTGGATCGGCGAACGTCTCTGATACTGGAGGGTAAAGCTCCTTGCGGCGCTGCATAGCTAGAGTGCTGTAGATGATGTGATCACCTCTGAGAGTGGCAATGTCGGGTTGGCCTGGCCTGCCCGGCAGCGTTGAGTTTTCGACTTTTTTATGAACGCGTCAGCTTATATCTCATTTCATTACGAGATATCTTTCCAGGTGATACTACTCACGGCATGTTCTAATGTTAAACGGAACTGCCGGGTATAGTCTCATCGTCTCGTACAGCGTATGAGTGAGGTACGTCAAGTCTTTGATATCATCATACGAAGGCGCTGCATCCGGCCCGACTTTCTGTAAAATGTGACTCCGCAGCTTTTGCCAAGTCGCGGGATAATTGGACAGCTCGTAAAGCGCCCAGGATAGAGTCGCCGCAGTGGTGTCTCTTCCCGCTAGCAGCACTGCCATGATCTGATCTCGGATGACTTTGGGGTCTCGCGAAAAGAGGGCGATCTGATGCAGAAATGTGAACTCTTTGTCTGACTTGGATATCTTCTCCAGTTCTTCGGGAATAAGAGCCAGAGTTGCTTCGATAAAGGGCTGGATGAATGTTTCGAGGACCTTGATACCCCTATTATATTCGCCTTTGGGGATGAAGCGGCGTACGGGTCTGTTAGATAGCGGTGTTAGTACTCATCGATGTCGTATAGACGGAATATAGGAGCATCCACATACGCAAGGAGAGTGAGAGTCATCTGTTTTCGCTGGACGTATGTGAACGCTTTCGAAAATTCACCCTTTGGGCTGGCAGCGAGTTAGTCAGCTTCCCATGACACACATGATGTCTCTTTTAAAAACAATGAAACGTGATGCATATCTCTTACTTCTCAAGACTCTCAACGCTGTGACCAAGTAGATAGTCCGTTGTAGCGTCAAGCGTCATGCGATAAAACAAGTCGCTAATGTCGACCGTGTGTCCAGACGGAGGGATTTTCGAAACCATCACATCGCTCCATCTTTCGATAATGTCCATGTCTCGAATCTTCTGCTTCAGAAACATGGGCCGGATCAAGGTCCTGCTCTGCTGCCACAGCTGTCCATCTGTTGTAAAGATGCTATCCCCGAGAAAAGGTTCCCAGGTCGAGTGAAAGCGATCGCCCTTACCAAAATGCGCGAAATTTGTGGCGAGAACTGCTTTAATATGTTCTGGGTCAATAGTTATGATGGATCGACGGCCGATGATGCTGATTTCGACGGCATTGGGACAGGAAGGGTCAGCGTTCTCGAACATGCTGAAATAGTACTCCAACAGTCGGTTCTGTGAGTGCATGTAGGCGCCCTTGAAGAAGAAGAAGAATGCTAATACATCGGTCAGTATCATAAACCAGGCAAAAATAATTGGCAATGCAAAGTCTTCATACAAGTGATTGGATTGCCGGCGAGAATAGAGGCTCGAACTCCATCAACTTTGCTCAGCCGGTAATCCGTTACCAATCGTTCAATGATCCAAAATGAAGCAAGGACGCATGACGTAGCAATGGCCAGCGACCCTGCCGATGCTGGGATTAGCCATGATAGACTTAGCAACATGACCAATGACAAATAGAAGGAAAGTCAGTGAGTTGAAGCCTGGGCAACAAGTAGCAACGCCAGAATAACAGCACAAGGCTATATGATCCCAGAACAAGGGTATGAGTTATACATGGGCCTTGACGAGTGGAACTCGGGAATTATTATAAAGATCGTGCCTATTATACCGTGACTATAGTCATCAGGTTGGAGCCCCGCACGAGGCTAAATCTCAGCTGCTGCAGACTCGAGCTTTAAGTCACTCAATTTAGCCTGTGTGTGTGAAGATCCTTCGTTTCCCGAGGGTTGATCCTTCACTCAATAACATTCAGCATTTTTGACATCTGATTGTCCTCAGGATTTTCGACTCTACCTTTGTATAGCCAAGCTTGCCGCCTAGTGTGCTGTAGTGAAGACGAATTATTCCGCTTTAGAAATGGTACTGTGGATATCGAAAAGTATACTGGACAACATTCGTCCAATCGATGGATTGAACGGAGAGATAGAATAGCATCATATGTGCCTCTGCTGCATGACTTCTGGGGAAGCCAAAGGACGTGCTTGGACGTATTAATAGAAAAGAATCGGAGGAGGCCGCTTTCCGCGGAATCCGCGGGGGCCGATCTCTTAATATCTATAACTATTAATGGTATTATTCAAGTAGATCAAGAAACACATTTTCTGTTATGTACACTCTGAGTCAACTCAAATTATCATCTTCGTCTTGAAGGGTTTTAGCTAATCAGGTCCCTAGCAATATTCGCGACTAAAAGTACCTATGTAGCATTCCGGTCAAGTTCCCAATCGCCGCAGTGCATCATTAAGGTCTTACGATTAAGGTCTGGCGGACTTGGAAACAGGTACTTGCTAAATTCCTAAACTTTTATATTGTAGCAATTATTCAGTGTCAGTGTACATCTTCATTGACGTGTAATCTGTTCGTCCTAGAGATTGCGCCGGCTTTCAAAATAGCTGCGCTTACTAGCTTTGACAGTTCAGTTATAAGTTGGTGCGCTTGTCCAGTTTCCGTCAATTCGCAATCTGAAGTGGCTGATGGTCGCATCTTGGTAATGACATCCAGCGCCAAAGCGAGTGATTTCGCATCAGCTGCAGCTTGAGAGCCAACGGGATGTATCAGAATGTTGACAAATAATGGCATGGCGGCTACGAGCGGGTAGATGATGCTATACCTGTAGTTCGGTGAGTATTTGCCTATACTAGGCCATGATAGAGAATAGCACACATCAGTACATACCAGAAAGTATCTTGCTTTAATATGGCGATTGGTTCATTCAACAAACGCAATGTTGAGCGGCTGGCTTCTAGAGATAAGTCAATGCTTGAATGCATGACGCTATGAAGTTCCTCGGGTGGACTGGTTTCTGCATCTTGGGCAGCTCCGAATCTCCTAACTGGTGTGTGGATAACTGTCAAAAGGTAATGATATTCTAGCTGTAGTTGCACCGATCTCAAATAGCTTGGGAATGTACCAGTAGGTGACAAGCATTGGCTCTGGGAAATTGATAGCTTGGGACGAATTTCATGAGGAACAGACAAGCGCCAACCCTCAAGTTCATCATCCAAATGGCGGATTCGAGTGAGGAGTTCACTATCGATAATCTTCAGAGCTAAAGGCGAGTAAAGTAGCCGAAATATTTTCTCTTTTAATACTCCAAGAGGCGGGTCACCAGGAAGGAATGGGATAGCTCTATCCCAAGCAATGGTGTCGATGTCGCTGGCATCAGCGCCTTCACTAAACTGATGTAGAAAAATATCATGGCTTAAATACTCTTCGGGTCCACCAACATCGCAATACTCATTGGCGAGAGTAGGGGGCAGTCCAGATAATAGAGCAACGTCTTTGTCGGTATGATAGCATAGCCAGAACAGTCTCCGAGTATGATCTTTTCGGCGCTCGAAGAGGGAGCTTTCAACCTCGTTGCGTTTCACTGGCTGATAAGAATGGCCATTGAGCTCGCAAACCATGCGGCAAGCTGCTGAATGCAACGCTACAGCGCGGCTATGCTCTCCAATTGCAGTTTGGTATTTGTACTAACAACTAATGGGTTATTCTTGGTGTTTACAGAGGACACATATGCATAAACTTACCAGTAGTACTAATGCTTGTAAAAAATCACAGTTTGCAGGACCATTGGAGAGCTCCAGAAACCGCTCTGCTCTGGCTGCACATGTGCTACTGTTGAAGCTTGAGATCACATGTCCAGAGACCTTCAAATGTGACATGATAGCGCATACAGCCCAGAAGCATGCTCTCGCCGACGTATGTAAATAAGAAGCATGCATTCCTTCAAAAGTCCGATAGGCCATGTCTACAGTCTCTTCGAAGAGCACCGTATCGAGAGAAGGGAACAGCATTTGGAGAGACGAATGCGAGAGAGCACTGAACCATTTGTGTACCAGGCTCTTATCCGGCAAATCCCATAGTTCTCCGGCGGAAGCATACCCTTGAAGACTTGAGGTCTTACAATCCGGCTGGCTGTAACGGCCTGGAGACAAAAATGACCGTAAAGTTGCAGTGCTCTGGTCAGTTCTGGAAGCAATCCATTCTAAGCCATTCTTGGAAATAATTGGCGCTCCTTTATGATACCAATTCTTCTCAAAGAGTCGAGTCGCGAAAACAATATGTGCGTGGATGCCATTTTCGAATATTTGGCTAGTCTCTTGCCTGGCGTGCAATAAGTTTTGGGTAGCTCTCTCATTTTGTGGCCCTGCACTGTTGAATGTTCCACGATTGTCTTTATCAGCAATGGATGGCCTGAAACATGTGCTTCCGATTGGTTGTTCAGCAACAGACGGGTAATGAGAAGAACTAGCTTGAGAAAGAGCACTTTCAAGCCGCTTGATTTGTTCCAAGAGTCTCTCTACGTCTTTCGCTTTCGGCCTATCTCTTCAGTCAACAAACAGGCAGCAGTTGGGCTATATTTACACCCATCGGTTTACCTTTTTGTAGAAGTTGTCTTCTTTTCTCGACTAAATGTGCATGCTAACTTTTGATGGCTACACCAATTGCAGGGTACGTTGGGACCTGGCCGGCAACACTCTATCTACGGAGGAGTCAGCATAAGTGCGCATACATGTATCTCCTGTTGAGGATACAACGTGCCTTTCTTTTGAAGCACACATCGCAAGCCCGTATTGGTGTCATAATAGCCACAGAGTGGAACAAGCAAAGGCATAAAATGAGCTCCTGGAGCCAGCCTGTGTTCCGCGATGAATAGGAGAGACAAGCCCAGGTGATTGACTAATCGACTAAAATATTCCTATTGTCCGATTATGTAATCCCACCCTCTACCAATCAATTCACATCACCACGAAAACGTTCAAAGCCTGGTAATTCATTGCTCAAGAACTGAATAAAATAGGTACTCATGGCTGAAGTAGTTCTGTACTTGAGCCTTGTCGGACTTTCAATCTAGCTGAAACATATTTGTATGAATGAAACTCACATCGCTCTACCTTCATCGCTCTTCGCATCTTTTGTGATTCAACGCCTCTAATACTTGGATTTTAAGCAGAGAACTTCTAAGTCACCAGCAGGTGCATCTTCAACCCCCTCTTGGCTCAGCCATTTTAACGGCGACTTGCAGCATTGGCTTTCCTCTGGGTGTGGGGGCTAAGCATAAATGCAATTGAAGAGAACGGAAACCTCTGACAATACAATCTTGCCACCAACGAATGGTAGCAAGGCACTACTAAATCGTCAACTTATTCCACGTCACATGGTAATCACGTAATGGCATTTGATTTATGTACATGCGGGGATGTCCATCTTAGAATATATTTCTAACATGTGGGCATTTGATACTAGCAATACGATGACCTGGATATATGTAGGCTTACTTCAACTTGTTCGTCGCTTAGACATGCAGGAGCTGGAAACATGTTAGATATCAGTTCTTCAAACTTCAGCAGAGTTGAGGCCTCAGAACAAAGCACTGCCTTTGCAGCCTAAGGATGGTTTGGTGCAAATGTATCAGAGCAGCCAGGCGGAGATGCGTCAGTTGGCCATGGGGCATTTGCAGAAGACACCACGAGGTTGGGAAGTGTATGGACGACTGGACCTTCTCGTAACGTAACAAATACTACGCTTTTCGTTGTTTCCGCACAACCTTAACAGCGATTGAGTTGCTGCAGAGCATGCAACTGTCAGGCCATGTTTGAAAGCCCCAGATCAGAGCTCCTCATTGGCAGGTCGACCTTAGATAAGCGGAGTAGATGCTGTCCGTGGCGTTTTTAGCGTTTGTTTTCGACAAGGGATATTCACGTCAGTGCCGAGAAGTCGCATTCATTGCCGTTGACTGAGTCGTTTCATGGGTCCTAAAACTGTTGGCAAATAGCGCTTAATATGAGAAGAAGAAGGGAGGGAAAAAAAGAGGATAAAAATTCTCATACCTCTAGAAAATTAAAATGTAGTCTTTTAATTATCTTTTACCTGATTGTTTTGCTTAATCTGCATTATGGCATCCAATGATGAGCGCACAGCTCTGCTTGAGCCCGCTCGTCGCCATGTCTCGCCTACAGTCTCTCGACGGCTATACGTGTCGCACTTTTTGTCAACTTGGAACTCCAGAGTCTTTGAGTTTGGCGCAGTGCTTTACTTGGCAGCGGTTTTTCCTGGAACTCTGCTGCCAATGTCCTTGTACGCCCTAGTTCGCGGCGTATCTGCAATCATCTTTGCGCCGGCGGTTGGGTGGTACATTGACACGGGCAACCGTCTTCAGGTTGTCCGAGTCTCCATTGGTGAGTTAAGCAACTGTGTATACATTTATCTACATCACTGCTCTATACATTTGGGATTTTTATGTCTTGTTCGCTCTCTGATAACATGTAGTGTTCCAGAGACTGGTAGTTGCAGCATCCTGTGCAGTCTTCTATATCCTCGCCATTGATACACCACTCCCCTCTGGCGTGCGAGCGGGACTTGTCGCTGTCGTGACGTTATTTGCCTGTGTGGAGAAGCCATGCTCGATATTGAATCTGGTGTCTGTAGAAAAAGATTGGGTGAGCCATTGTCTATCAACAGCAACAGGCCTACTGCCATGTTTTCATGCCTTTGGATTATATGCTAACAATGGCAACTTGATAGGTCATTGTGGTCTCGCAAGGCAATCCGGAAGTTCTTCAAGTCATGAATGCACAAATGCGACGAATCGACCTGCTCTGCAAATTGTTTGGGCCGTTGTTCATCGCCATGATGGACGCTTATTCGTCGCGGGTAGCCATCATCGTCAACTTTGCAATGAACGCGGCATCTATTGCAGTGGAGTACTTCGCTATCGCTCGAGTCTATTACGAAGTCCCAGAGCTACAAGAGACAAAGGCCAAACCACGACGTGAAATATCTGAGGAACCAGAAGCCCAGTCGTCTCATAACTCAAGACCCATCGTTAGCGCCATCTGGCAGCGACTGATTGATGTCATTCACAAATCCGCGCAGGATATCTCTTTGTATCTGAAGCATCAGGCGTTTCTCCCATCCATTGCCGGCGCAATCTTGTATCTTACGGTCCTCAGCTTTGGAGGCCAGATGGTTACATACTTACTCTCTGCAGGCTATAGTTCCTTGCAAGTCGGCATTGCGAGGACGGTTGGCGTGGTATTTGAGGTTCTGGCAACGTGGGTGGCACCGTGGCTCATACGACGAATCGGGGCGATTAGAGCCGGCCTCTGGATGAGCAGCTGGCAGGTCACGATGCTGGCTGCGGGAGTATCTGTATTTTGGATATTTGATATGACGAGCAACTCGCTCATCGCAGCAAGCGGCCTTGTGGGAGGCACCGTGTTGAGTCGCTTAGGCCTTCGGGGATTCGACCTGTGCGTCCAGCTAATTGTCCAAGAGGTATGATGAAGAATCTTACATGTCCGGTATTCCACTATCATGGTCGCTAACAGCGCTGTCATCATTAGGAAGTCGAAGCCGAGAATCGCGGCGTCTTCTCTTCCGTCGAGGCCGCCTGGCAAAGCGCCTTTGAGCTGCTCGCCTATACGTCCACCATCGTCTTTTCTCGCCCTGAGCAGTTCAAATGGCCATCGCTCATCTCATCCATCGCCGTTGCGTCAGCCAGCAGTGCTTATGCAGTGTTTGTTTACCTGCGCCGAGGCCATCTGCTGCATCTCGAGGCTCTCACATGCTTTCTGCGGACCGAGAAGGGGAAACAGCGCGACCGAGAAAGAGACGTTGAGCAAATCTCTGTTGGATCTGAGATGTAGGGAGATGTGCGTGTTGGATGCATTTTGGGTATCGGCTCCGTCAGCGTCAATGCCACCGTATTGTATAAGGGATACTACGCCTAGTGGTACTCGTAATGCCTAGTCCTTCTACCGTTTCTTAAGAAAGGGTCTTCCTTGCAAGTGAGACATAATCGGTCGCTCGTTTTGGCAGTTGGTGATGCGGAGGTTATAAGCCGTAGCTCCATCGCTCGCTGCCTGGATCTTTTGCGGCTCGGGCAATTAAAACGAACTTAGAGCGAGAGGCACAAGCAGAATTTCCTCATAGGGCACCGAGCCTGAATCGTGCCTTGCGTCAATATGTGGCTGATGCACCGCTCGTCGGCTACTATTGGGTGCCCTGGAGCAGTCAATGGTTGCTGATCCAGCACGCCTGTAGCAGCAGCTGTGGCGCTGCGAGGGCGCTGAAGCCTGAAACCACGCTGAGGACCTGCAAGGCGACTGCGGCCGCTAAGCCGCTTTGGGGACCGAGTGGCTTGCCCACAGCCAGCACCTCGACTGACACTTCACCGAAGGCCGCCAGATTTGGGCGGCCGATCCACGTGCAACCGCCTCTCCACTTGGCCTCGATCATCAAAGTCTCTCTGCCGGCCTCTCAATGCCGCAACTTCCACCACCGCACGGCCGCCATGATTCTTCTCCTGCTCTCTGCGCGTCCGTGCTAGTAGCTCGCCAGATTCTGTAACATTGTCGGAGTACGCGATAGCCTCTAGCCAGGCCAGATGCATGTGGGGTGACTTGGGGAACGCCCACTTACTACCACTCTTAGCCGCCGAACTGCTTGGCCAGGCGATTCCACCGGCAAGCAAACAATGAGCGATCAGCAGTCGTATGTCACCATCCGCGCACGGCAGCCGGCCGACGGAGCTGGTATATCTAATGGCGCCTCACCCGTATGTTGGAGCCCCTGCCATTTCTTTCCCCGTCTCTGTGTGTCATTTGGCGCATACAGTATAGACGAGAGAAAGACACGAGAGCGCGAGAATGAGAGAAGCAATTGGCTCACTGGGTGTGCAACAGGGAATGGGTCCGCGGGATGCCTACGCACGATCTGCAACTCATGACATTAGCCGGGCGAGCTTCCATGTGAAGCACATCGGGCAGTTTGCCCAGAGGCTCGAAGATGTGCGTTTGGACCACCTTGTCCTTGAAATGAGGGACCTGCAATCTAACTGATGGCGTGTGATAGTCGGCGGCGAGAGCGTTCCCAAACCGTGGACGGCCATCTCAGCGGTACAAGAATGTCCAGTCACTGCTGATGCACTGGGGTTCTGACGACTTATTCGTTCTTCCCGAGCTCGAGGACTTGGGCAAGTGCTTGCAAGATGACTATGCGTTTGGCACTGAAATCTACTCAATTCCATCAGAAAACTCTCATCTGGAGCTCATGATGAGAATTGGACAGCTGATACGCGATCACGAATCACCCGATACGCTTTTTATTGTCTACTACGGTGGCCATGCCCGGATTGACGAGTCGAGGCAGAGCACGTGGTGTGCGTAAGTATAGCCTTGACATTACTCATTCACTCAGAAAGTGTTTCCAGTATGGAGAGAGCAGCTCTAACTTGGCTAATAGTACGCGAGATCCTGGCTCTCCTTGGCTACAGTGAGTATTTCCATTATAATCAAAGTCTTGAAAGGTGATCAATCAGAGCATCTTCCTAACGTTTTCTAGGTGGTCTGCGATTCAGACGCTCTTGGAACGATCAAAATCCGACGTTCTGATATTGTTAGACTGTTGTGCCGGGGCTGCCAGTGCCACGTTTCCCACCGGCAACAGCGTCACGGAGACGATATCTGCTTCCAGCTGGGATGCCATTGCCCCTGATCCTGGAAGCTATTCATTCACCAACGCTCTCATCGAGGTCTTGCAGGAATGGCGCCATAGAGCCTTCTCTGCCGCTATGCTGCACGCCGAGGTCCTTGCGCGGTTGAAGCATCCGAGACCCATTACCATCAACGGCAAGCACTTTGAGGCTCGGTCGACGCCAGTTCACTTTATGATGACAGCCAATCACAGAGCGCCAAGTATCGAGCTGTCCAGGACGCAACCAGTGGAGAAGAGATCCATGTCAGCTCCTACAATCCCTCACATGGACGTAGAGCCTGTTGGAGGCCATGTTGGAGGACCTGTGGGTGGTGTTGCAGCCATGGAGCTCGCTGGACGAGCAGGAAATCCTGCGGATGCTCTCATCGGAAACCCCTTTCCGAGCGAGCCCACCGAGGATACTCCTCATGTGATGATATCTCTGGCTTTGGAAGATGATCAGAGACTAGATATCAATGCGTGGGAGCAGTGGCTCAATGCCTTTCCCGCCATGGCCAAGTACGTCAAGATTCAAGGTGTTTTCAAGAGCCACTCTACCTTGGTCTTGGTTTCGATGCCCGTCATGGTCTGGGACCTTTTGCCAGAGGACCCGGCAACTTCATTCATCGCCTTCATTCGATCCAATAATATAGCAGCTCAGAAAACACAACCGACACCAATTGCCACTCCTGTACCAGCATCGCAACACCAGTCTGAAGCGTTAGCACCGGACACGGCCTCTTTTATATCTGGTGTTTCGGGCACCACTTTTGCACCGACAGAGGCAAGCCGCTTTGGCGACCAATTTAGACAATTCAACTTTGACTCTCCTAGAGGCACGAGATCAACTCGGAATGCGGCTTCTTATAGTCAATCTGCGTCATCACAGCCAGGCCCAGCTTCATCTTCATCCCATCAGCCACCATTTTCCAGATCCATGAGCGCTGCCGTCTCTCTTCCTCCTGTGTACTCGGGTTCATCGTCGTCGAGTACAAGCCCAGTGATTTCCAGGCAAATGATTCTCAATCAACAGCAGTCCCAAAGACGTACTACATTCGACGGTAGCGACGTTCCTGAGCCTCAGAGCTTCTCTGCTCATGTTGAGAAACGGCTGGAAGAATATTACCAGAGCCATCCTCTTCCCAATGATGGCGAGAGCGCTTTCCTCGCCTCGAATCTTGGAATAGAACCTCTTCACCTTGGCCTATGGTTCCATCACCGTCGCGAACGAGACTTGGTCACTAGCCGACTCGCTACCATGAAAGTCGGCGACATCCCATTCAACGAGGGCGGCGGCTCGCTCCTGATACTGCCGGCAGACCTTAGCCAGCTGCTCGATATATCTCAGCCTGGGCAGATTCTACTATTTGATATCCGCCCACGGTCAGAATACCAGAGATCTCATATCCGTGGCGCCATAAACCTTCGAGTGCCACAAAACTTCATCAAATATGCCTCTCTTGAGATGATTGGGCGCACCATTTCCGAGGAGCATGGCCATGATGCCTTCTCAAAGTGGAAAGAGGCAAGGTGCATGGTGTTTTACTCTCGTGGGCTTGAGAGTGCATGGGAATGTCCCTCTGCAGCATCGTTATTATACAAGCTAGTAGAGTCGGGGTGGACAGGAAGAAGCTTTGTTCTTAAAGGTCACTATCGCGAGTTTAGTGTATCCTTTGGTCAGCATATTCTAGGCAGCAAAAAGGCTCTTGGAGCTGAAGGCGCCGAGCATAGCGAAGAGGTGACGACCGAAGCTGCTGCCGATCCCACTCTAAACTATGAGCGGTATACCCAGTGGCTAACTCACGTAGAAGAGGAGGACCGATCACGAATAAATGCATCCTCTTCTACGCGAACAATAGAGAGGACAGAATTTGTGGAAAACCAAGAGCAAGAGTTGGAAGCAGAATTGATGGCTCGATGCGGTGATCTCTATCGGAAAATCCGAGACGTCCAGGCGGACAGAGATCCATCTCGGAACGATAACTTTGACATCAAGGCTCCAATGGTCGAATATCTCGACCGTGGCCTGAGAAAAGTGCGTGCTCACCAGCCATCGCCGCCACAAATGCCACCCAGCTCCAAGCTGGCTGCTGAGTATTTCGACCAGCCCCCTCATGAGCAGGACGACGTCGAAGGTTATGTTGAAGTTGGCAAGGATGGCGATTCTACCGGGGCCATGAGATATGGATCTCTGGCTTCGGCAGATAAAGCCAGTCCTAGCGAAGAGCCTCTGCGCAGGGGTCGCGGAGGTGGGTTATTGAATAAGGTGTTTCGGCGGACATAGGGCGATTTGAGTGAGTTTTACAAAGGGGGTCATGATTTCTGGCATAGAACGTGCTCGGGCAGCACTACGGGTGTTTTGGATATCATGATACCATGGATATATATCAGCGTGAGATACAATCTCTGGCGTTAGTGCCTTTAGGAATTTACATTTATCATCTCAAATTGTCTTGAACGGTGTCTTTTTTTCTTATAGATCTAGTTTTGCTATTTTTCGAGTTAAAGCTCATAAGTGTACTGTTGGCCGAGCATTCATCCATTATGCCAATTCCTGGATTGAGTTACTGAGACTCGTGATGATAGAGCCAAGCCAGCAAACTGTAGCAACATCTCGAACGTGCAGTCAGAACATACATTTCGAGGCAGATGATAATTCCAAAGGGCAAATTATGTGCTCATCTATACAAATATGACGAACAGCGTTGGCTTATACTTTGTGCATCTCTCCACGAATATGGACAAGCTACGATGACGCCCCATCTTCAAAATGTTCTCTGTAGAAGAAACAGTTTCTCTCCGAGTAATATTTATTATCTGAGATCATCTGCCAGCTTTTGAATCATGATTATAAATACTCTGAAAAGAAACTGCAACGTGATATGTATCATCAGAGCGTCTTAGCCACGGCGATTGTTTTCCAGCGTGATCTACTCGCTCTGTCGCTTACCTGTCGCTCATCCAGAATTATAAACTCTAAATCTACTATACATATTTCATAAATATACTATAATATGCAAAAAGTCTATTACAAAAATACGAGGAGAAAAAAATCTTACGATTGACAAACCCTTTTTTTTTTTCGCATCCCGTGCAGCAGTCAGCCATACAAACAGAATCCAAATCCGGACCGTAATTCTTCTTACGTCCTTTTTTTTTTTGAACGAACCAGGCCACCCCCCCTCCCCCTGTCAAATGTCAAAACCCCTTCTCACGGGCTGAAGAAAAATGTCAGGATTCTTCAAGCGCCGGCCTAAAAGAACAAGGAATAAAAAAAAAAAGGACTAAGACCAAAGAGTATGGCAGCTCCGGGTATGTATGTAAGATTTCCGGGATTCATCAAGATCTGTCTTGTTGCAAAGGGGAACAAAACCGGGTTAATGATTTAAAAACTACCTAATAATAAGCAAAAAAAAGGATGATGCGACCTCTTCTGTTTCTTTTTTTTGGCCTCTTTTTTTTTTTTTTTTTTTGCCATGTTAAGCGAATGCTACAGTACCTCTTGTTCCAGTTTTTCCCGCCCTTTTTTTTTTCTTGTGTTTTATTTTCAGTTTGCGGTTTTATTTCTATAAATATACACAACGTAGATATATACTACTTGCTTTTCAAACACGGTGACCCAGTTAGTCTTGCTAACATCTGACGAGTATTCGTATGAACATGCCAAGAGTCTCCCCTAAACGATCTACTTGAAACGTTTAAAACAAACGACTTTGGGCATTGTGTTTGGCAGTATGGCTCAAACGGGAACTCACAATGCATTTGCCGCCGCCAGTTTCTTTTTTTGGCCATTTTCTTTTTTCCTTTTTTAAACGTGCTCGGGCCCCCTGAGAATCTACACAATACTGTAGCATAGCACATTCGGGTAGTTTTGCCCAACGGAGGAGGATTGGGAGCACCCACAACCCGATACTATCATCAGAGGCCGTTGCCACTAGCTCATCTCCGTCTCCATCTCTTCCTCTTCCCTAAAGTGATACGGATAGCCGTCTCTTGCGCAAAGCAAAGGCTCGCGCTCCTCAAGCCATATGTACCCGCCACCCACTTATGCAAGCAAGCAAGGTTGCTGAGCACATCTCATCCCAGTGGACGGGCGAAGCACATGGTGGAAAACAGGAAACATCACTTTTCCGCCCCCTCCAACTTCTCCTCCTCCTCTTTCTCACCCTCCAACCACTCAATCTCATTGCACGCACAAAAGACGGAGCACGAAGCAGAACCCCCTCCTTTCCGACGAGGCATTACTCTCGTGGCTCTCACATGTCCAGTGCAGGCTGTCTCCGATAGGCTCAGTACCCCTGTCTTTCCTGTACCTGTACTGCACAACAATGTGTCTTTCTCACCGGCTGACCTCGCAGAGCCAATGATTTTGGTTCCGTAAATGAAATGCTTGCGGGCGCTAGGCAGGGTCAGAAAGTGTGCGTGGTGTGGCTATCGGCCACCCTGGTAAGGCAGCCCTACCACCAGGATCAGTCGTGTCAGTTGTACTTGTAGGCTGCGAATACCTATTCAAGCGACGGCCCTTGCATGCAGGAGCAAGGTGATGAGACAATAAGGCTACTGGCAGTCTAGGCAGTATGTACCCCCCCTTTCAGCATGCAGAGAGGTTGTACTGTAGCGTTTGTTGCTTTGTGTACTGTCCAAATTTCAGGTACAGTGTCGGGTTCGAATGCGTGCCGCATGTGTGACTTGTGAATGGATGTCGGGTGCAGAAGATAACTGCATGATATTACACCAAACACTCAACGAGATACGAGCATCGCGGACGGCAAGATAATCATAATGACGACAAAGGTGGTACGCCACAAACTGTCCACAAAGACAACAAGATCTTGATGCACCAACTGGTCACACCGAAAGGAACAGGATACCGATGCCCATGGAAAAAAAACCTGCGCAGCTACCCGGCACCACCACGTTGTTGAATGAGCACATCTCGAGATACACGAATCCAGGTGCAACACGTTGGTCCAACAACACAGCCAGGCAGGAAAGGAAAGGATCAGGCACGGCCTTTTTGCCATTCAAAGCAGGAAAGCGGCGATTTTGATGTGCAGATTGCCATGGCGGAGTAAATTCGCAAAAGCCCAATCACAACGTGCAGTCGGAAGCAATGAGAGAAATGGTCTGATCCTACACACTCGAAGGAATCGCCATTCATTTCCGGATGGGACCTTTGCCAAGCAAAGCAAGTTGGGCTGGCAATATGACTGTGATACGGACTCCGGGACAACTATTCGTTCCTCTCTCTCCTTGTAATACTTGTTATATTCTGTACACAAAGGCAATATCGGATATTAATGCCATGTACGCAGGTGGTCTCTGGGAGACTTTATCTCTTGAGTAACATGACGACGCACGCGAGCTCGTGTAGGTCGATGCCGTGCCATGCGTTATCCGAGACAAACGCACATCAAACCCCATCTTTGGGAACTATCGCCCATTTGCGTGGATACTGCAGTACTCTGAAACGACATGGCTGGTCGATGTTTCGGTTACCCGCTTCAATGTGCATTTCTCCCACACCTACTGAACAAGACTTTGTTGCGATTCGCAACAAGCACGTCGGCGCCTGTCTGTACATTCGCCGAGAGGATCTGATGGTTGTTGCTATACAATATGCTTCTGCCCTGCCGGCTTCGCACTTATCAATATACTCAGCCATGATGACACCTCCTCATTATCCTTGAAAGCGGGCGCACTTGCTGATACATAACACCCATAGCCAAAGGTGCTCATTGCTGACACAAGGACAAGTGTGCCCGCTGGATAACGAAAAAGTAAGAAGAAGAAAGGGAGCTATTTGGTTATAAGATTCTGGTCTCGCAGTGCCCTAAAGAGACGGATTGGTGATCAGACTTTGTCCCGCGTACATGGCTTACAGCACCTCCTACACATATTGGCTTGCTACGATAACATTATGCATGTCGTGCCCAGGGCCGTAGCCGATCGTCTCTCACCAGATTCCGAACCCGCTTCCGGAGGACATGATCGTGGAGATGACGGTTGCTCAGAGGCGGTGAAAATGCGACTGTCGCGAGGCACTGCTGGTTTGATTTAGATCAAAAAAGGCGCTAACGCTTGGCCATGTCGCTATCCGGCGTGGCATTCAGTTTTCTTGTCGAAGATCCGGAGACCGGCTACTGGCTGATCTTCGAAATGTGGCACTGGATCTTGGCGCAGCACCGGCTCCCTACCGCCACTCCAGACACGCGGAACCAAGTGTCAGCACCATAAAGCAGACGGCGGGACATGGCAGCTAGGCGCTCGGAATAGAAACCAAGGAGTGTATGAGTGAGCCCACGATGTTGGCAGGCATCATGGAGATCCTACGGCTAGCGGCAGTGAATGCTTCGCAGAGCTACTGTAGTAGTGGCTCGCAGCAGCCTTGTCAAAGTATCAAGTCTTGTAAATCCTGGCTTCTGCAACATGATGGGTTCTCCGGTTTGCTACCTGTCAGCGAATCCTTCTTGTTTCTTCTTTTGTTCTTTGCTCTTGGTAAAAGGGGTAAAAACGTTGCTGGAGCAAGCGTCTCCGGTGCAGTCTATGCAGTATCACCATTGCCAGCTGCAAGTCGAAATGAGTCGTTCGCCCATAGGGGGCTGAGGAATACAGGTGCTTTGAGCATCATCGTACATCTGGAGTGGCACTATGCATTTGTATGGACGTCGAGTGATGACAGCTGAGGCTTAAGCGTGTGTCAGGTCAGCCTGTAGTTCTGCTTCGTGGGGTGGCGTGCTGGGACAAGTACAGCGAATCCCAGCAGCCGCGTTGCCAGTCCTGCTCCCAGGAGCTGGTACCTTGCTCGATGGCCAGAAGGTCTTTTGCCAAGTTGAGTTGGGCTTGCGAATGCACGGTCCCCTGCTTCGGGAGTGTGGGTAGGGGATGCTTGCCCTTGCTGTCACCAGACCTGTTGTTGCCAGTTCAAGGCCGGCACTGCGCCCGATTCTTGACTTTGTGCGTCCTCGCACAGAGCACCCCATACGTCCAAGTATGGTCAAATCAAGGGCAGCGTGATTTGGCGGGAGGTGTTGCTGAGAAGCGACGAGCCAAATGGGAAATGGCTGATGGGGCAGAGCAAGGGCTTCGGCGTCCAGTGGTAATGCAAGTATGCACCAGTTGAGTAATTTCCGTCGCATTAGCCCATCTCGCCCTGCTATTATACGGCAGGATTCGGACTGCCCAGCATGTCGACCTGCCAGACTCGACGTCTTTCGATGGGACGTGCCGCAAGACGGGGTATTTTGGCAGCGGCATTGGCTGCCGACAAGCCTGTGTGTCCACCATGCGATGTTAGGAGATCTCTGGGGTGTGCTGATACTAGGCGCATCACGTCAATCTGCAACGTCCGGGCCAATTCGGCCCACTGACTCTGTCCCTTCCACTGCTAGCACAATGACACGCCCGCAGGCCAGTCATGAACTGGCATACTAGAGCGATAGCAACTGGCCTAGCGTAGAGCGAAGCGCGAGCAAATCAGAATGCCATGCTCAGCGTGCTGGCCTTGTTTCAGGAAATCATCTCCGATAGCGTAGAAATTGATGTGGGCAGCTGAGATCCAGGTTAGGTGAAGTGAAACGCAACTTGGCCTTGTTAAGCCAGCAGACGACTCGTACGAGTCGCGAGGCAGCCTTGGCCGCGCCGCTATCAATACCGGGTAGTAGGTGCCTCGTTCCTTGTGCTGTAAGGGGAGAATGGCATATCGCCGGCATCTTGGGCGGCAACCTCGTATCTGCACACAATCGTCAATGTACAACCAAGTACGCGCCAAGGATGCTGCTGTTTCTGCCATCGACAAGTACGCCCGATGTAGGTGCATGTCAAGCTTGTGCTGTGCGAAACTTTATTGTTTCACGGCGTCAATGCTAGTTTCGAAGCTTTATTGCTTTGTTTATGTTTAGCCGAAAACAAAATTGCTATTTTAGGTGTGTGATCTGGCGATGAAGTCTGTTTTTGAGAACGCCAAACTCGATGGCACGTGTATTTCGTAACCATATTTGTTCCACCATGGCACAATGAGGAAAGGGGGGATGTTGTTGTGGTTGAGCAAAGACAGCTCCACACTCATGTTATAGTAGATAACACCTACTGTAGCACCTAGTAGGCGGTAGGTACCAGCATCGAGGCATAGAAATAGAGGGTTTTTGTGACGATGCTTGAACCTGCGCTACTCTTCGGCTCCATATGAAGCTTGACTCGGCCTGATATCCACGATGCGAACTAACAATTCACGGGGAAAGCACCCTGAATTCTCCAGCTGTTTCTGAGTACGACCAAGAGATCTGGCGTGCGGCACAATACGCATGGCAGCCGTGTATGCCAAGGAGCTGCCCCTTCTCCTTCTCCGAACAGATATGGTGCGTCCACATTGCAACACTTGGTACCGTATTTGACAATCCCCGTAGAGCATTACAGTACTGCCGCACCGGCTGCGGAGGGGCTCCAGTCCCACAAATTATAGTGAATATTGAACCCCAGTCCCTTTAGTTAAGCGATGCAAGTTGTGGGACGTTTGCAGTAAATCGTGCTTGGGAAACTTTGCGCCTATGAAAGTGCACGAGTAATGCCATGTAGGTACGGATACTGTACGAGCAGAGGAGCATGTTCGCCTAGCCGTGACCCTGGTTCCAGAACTCGTTGTGGCATGAAGCTCATCCATCCATCCATCACCTGCAACTCGCCTGGATCCCAGCCCGCATGCCGTCGGATCAAGGTGGAGCAATATTCATCGACGTCTCTCTAGGCCAGCGGGATGAGCCTGGTCGAATGCAGGTGTCTCACCAACAAGCTCACCATTCAGCCGGAAATACCTGGGAGAAAGGACTTATTTACGTAGCCCCCACATGCCAGAGCACGGAGCACATTGTGCCAGCGTACGACGACAAGCTCATGGAGCTTGGACTGCAAAGAAAAAAGAGCTGCCTGGCCGTCTCCATTATGCACATGTATTGATTGGCATTTTGCTGTGATGGCACAGGGCATGCTACGTAGCACTCACACGGGGTGATTTGATAGGTACGGCGTGCATACGGACCTGAACCTAGACGTACGAATCATGTCAGAGAGAGGCCCTAGTCTGTCCGCCTTGGAAATCCCAAACCTGTCATATAATAGATTGGGAGAGGGGTTGAGGAGCACGCCCAACTGTAAGCTCCGTGGTCAACAGCACAGCGAGCTAGCACTCATAGCGTTCTAGCAGAGCAGATAGTAACAAGTAGTGGCGAGTCTGAGAAAACCTTGGTAGCAGCCAGTGCCCGAGATAGGGCTGGGAGTTGTGCCCGCAGCGCTGCTCATCAGTTATCGCCCTGCTTTGTCTGCGGCTTGGGGTTTTGGAGACGTTGGAGATGGAGGGGCTGAAGCTTTGGCAGCCACAGACGTCCGGGGCTGCGGCAAGCGACACTGTGCTCGTGGCATCGGCAGTACCAGCGCAAGCGCGCTAGGCGGGGCGGACCCCAAGTACACGTGAGAAATCCCGTACTGTGCGATCTGGGCCGTAGGAAAAGGCCCTCCGCACTGGCTCCGTACATTGACCAATCGCATCGCGCCAACTTTAATTCACAACCGCCCAGGGCTCGGAAAATTGATCTTCTGCCAGCTGCCGTCTTGTCGGCTGTTCGCCTCGGCCAGGCCAGGCCGTCAACAGGCCTCCCTGCGTGCCAAATGACGAGCACGTCGTCAGCCCATTGCAGCCCATTGCTGGAGTGCCTTCTGACAAGATCCCCACCCGCCTAGGCCTCGTTCTGTCACGCTCGCCGAGCGATCTGGCCCCTACATTGAGAGATCGCCAGGTCCCCATCGTCGCGCTCCTTGTCCCAGTATATGAGCGACCAGGAGCCTCGCTGGAGCCGTCCCGCTAAAGATCCAGTCTAGCGCTGTCAACGCTGCGAGCGAGGGGGTCAGACGGGGGGCATTTGGGGGCATGGCCCTCGGAGCAGGTCGTCGCAGAGGCTCTTCGCATGGCGCCCTCAAATTACCTCGTACGAGCGACCACGCGGCTGGCCCAGGGCTGGCTGGGACACAGAGAGATGGCAGAGATGGCCGAGATGGATTGGGCTGGCGCTGCGGTACAGTCCACGCCGAGCGGGTACCCCTGGGGACTGTCACCGTGTTTGCAGGCACAAGGTGCTTACAGGGTGTGTCCAACGTGCGAGCAGGCCAAAGCTGGAGTGCACAAGATTTTGATTTTGACAGCTCCTTGTGGTGGACCCAGAATTCCAATCAATTGCGAGACAAGCCTTACACAAGAGCGTGCATTGTGTCGTGACACCACGATGGCCTCTCCTTGTCCTGTGTCTGATAGCCCCAGCAGGGGGCACAAGCGTACCACTAGCAGGAATACCTACCTACTACCAACCTGTGGACGGGGCTGGCTGAATACGATAAACGCCAGCCTGATTGTCTACAGTGTAGGAGGTCTGCAGGTGGCAAGGGAACGAATCAAGACCTGTGGTCTGCTCTGGAGTTGGCTGCCAAGCTAAGCAGAGAGAGCGAATGAACGACAGCTATCCAGCCCCAGGAATGCAACATGGGGATGGGATATGATATCGGCAACTGGCAGCTCTGCAAATTTGCCGCCGACTGTGCCGCCCGCTTTCCCTCTCTTTGTGGCGCCGACGGCGCGCCTTGCATCCAAGCACAGCGGAGCTGGAGCAGAAGAGACATGACTCTCTCGCCCCGTTGCGCCAGAAGTCACCCAAAAGTTATTGGAACGCTAACCCACTGATATGGAGGAGGACGGGCAATAGACTGACTGAATCGAACAATCTCTGGTCTTCGCTAGAGCTGGCACTGATACAAGTACAAGGGTATAGAATGAAAGCCTGGTCTATTAATCGTTTACAGGCAAGGCTTTCGCATGCCAATTACGCAGATGGGCAGAGAATTGTCTGCTTCCCTTTACCGGCACTGCATCTACTTGTACATGCCCGATACGGAGTATTTCATACGGCATATCGTCGCTCCAAGCTGCGCACTTCGCACCCACCCCACTGTCTGTGATGGTGAATTCGGCTGCTAGTGTCCACAACCACAGCCGCTATAGATTCAGCGGTTCCCCTTGGGGCAGCCTTGATGCTGGACGATCGGGTATTATAATATGGAGACTGTTTTTTTTTTGCTTTTTGCCTGGGATGCCCTGACAGGGCCACCGAAACAGCTACACCGCTCGCATGCCGGTCCATCGCTTACGGAATTCGCATTTCTATTATTGATTCCAGAGGGAGACATGCTAGCGAAAAGCCGCAAATGGCCGGGACGCTACTCGCTATCATCGTTTTCAATTAAGCACAGCGTCACACAAGCTTTGCATTCTCTTCGTACTGAGACTTGTATCCACTTGGCCCCTGGCAAAACGTTGATACCTTGTACTCTCAGTGCCTTGTTCTACCCTCCTGGCTAGTCGGCGCCTCTTCATTACACTTACACGGAGCACGTGTACGAGTACATGGCATGCACCGACGTCAGCATACGAGTGTGAGTAGATGATCAAGGAGAAACGAATGGTTGCACACCTGCATCCCGGGTAAATTTCACCTGCAGTTATCAAGGCAACTGGAATTGCTTGTAGTAGTACGGACCAGCTCTTTCATCTGCTGGTACAGTACAAGGACGTGGGCAGATTAGTGCTTGCTGCACGTCGACGGAGCATTGATCTGACTAGTATGATAGCTGCGTATCCTAATGATAACAGATCTAATGCTCCGTATGTGCAATCGGATCAGAGCCGTATGGCAGCTCGACGGCTCGGATGTGACTCTCCTCTTCTCTCACCCACTGGTCATCTCACGTACTGTGTATTGAGGCATTCTGCGCCTGCATCTCGACAATTGCGAAATCGTGGTTACAACTTCAGGCTTTGGGAGATGGGCCAGGCCGACCGCCAAAGCCTACGGCCACCTTCAGACGCCTCTACGGACGCCTCACCTTAAAGATCTCTGTTGCTAGGATCTTGTGCCTTACCCGCGCAGAGATTTCTCTGCTATACGAAAAAGGCTTCAGCCAGCCCCGTCATACAGGACCGAAAGGGCTGCAGTCTAGGCTGCACGGTAACTGGCCTTGTCAGAATAGCATTTAGCACACACACCCCGCCGTTTTTACATCGACGCCTACTCGGCCTAAGCCCACCCACACTAGCCGCTTGCCTGCGTTTCTGTGGCCTTTCTATCTGGCTTCCCTAAATCGAAGGTTCATCAGAACAGGCTTTGGACCCGTGGAGCCGTGGCCCACCAGCACTTGTCTTTTGACTTCCCTGTCCATGCTTGTGGCGACCCCGTGCTGTCCCTGGACTCACTACACCACTGACTTGACCGGAGTTGTCAGACCAGCGCCACTTGGGGGCTTGAGTCGCGAATCCCTATTCATTTTGTTGCAAGGCTAATAACCCATGTTGCCGCTCCTATCGCAGAGGCTCGTCTATATTGCTCTTCTCCATCCCTCCATGCTACCACTCTATGATGCGACGTGCTCTTTTTAAAGTTCCGTGAGCCCACTTTATACTCCTCCATATTCCCTTGCTACCTGGCCTGCGTACTCTACTTCTCCTGCCACTTATAATATTGGCCTGCCCTCCTCCCAGCGGTCCCTACGGCTTCTCTTTTGTGGCTGGTTTACATTCACGGCTCTCAACAATTCCCTGTTTTGGCAACCTATTTATTAGTTCGGTGCATCTACCCGCCTTCGACTCGACACAATACATCCTGGCTGTGTAATTGCGTTCAATACCAACACCGGTTTCCCTTGAGTTTCAGTTACGAAGTGGCTGGGCGTTCGTTTCGATATCATTTTTTGGTTCAATTAATTTCCAAAACTTCATTTGGGCGGTATCTTTCTGCCTGGTCCTCTTGTCAAAATAGGGCTTGTGTCTGGAAGTGTTGAGTGCAACAAAAACGCCAACCTTTTCTTCACACACACACATATATATATTCAGGCTTGCACCCCCAGCTTTGACGTCTGGACAACTGAATCTGTCAGCCTGATCCGACAACTTGATCTGAAATTCGATCCGGCAACTTGCCTTGACAACAAATTGACTCCTCTTAACGGGGTTCCCTTTATGGACCCTAGCACCATTCGACTACCAATATCATTGGCATCATTAACCATCACACCTCATTCATCCACATCGTCATCCACGATGCACCCCTTTGATCGTCGCCTCCCCTATAGCGAGGGGGAAGCTACTGCTTCGCAGCAAATCGAACTCCCCCCCCTCAGAGATGTACATTTCTTCGCTTCCTCAAGACCTCTAACCCTGTTTGCTCATATGTTGTTAGATGTTCCCCGAAATCAACATGCACTTGGCCATACGCGAAGTTGCCGATCATATGTCACAGGCCCAGCAGGCCCACGAGTCCCAAGAGCCCCATGAGCGCGGCAGTTTCTCCTATTACATTACTTCACCCACGACTGAAAGGGGAATAAACCAAGACGAAGACGAAGAGGGATCGCCAAGAAGCCATGTTCCGCGGATATATCGTGGCCCTAGACACCGAGTCCCTCGCAGTCGTCAATTAAGCCCATCGTCAAGGAACTCAGAAAGATGGAGCACTCCAGCTAGAGCCTTTTCCGTTTCAACAAGGAGCATTCCTCCCCCAATCGAGATGAAGATACCATCTCCTGGTCCTCGCGTTGCTCTCCCAATCCTCACTCATCCACAGGTCGCTCTCCCGAGCTTGACCTCGGAGATAAAATTCGAAGACGAACCGCCAAGCAGACCTCGCGAACTCTCACGGGCTTACAGTTATGATTTTGCCATGCACCACGGACCTCCAAGCCCCATTCGGCCGCTTGAGCGCACTTCGTTCTCATCCAGTGTCTTCTCCACGCCTCACTACCACGATGCGGCCCACTTTGAGAACCAGGAACCTGCCACCCCCGCAAGGGAAACGAGGTCTCGGAAAAGACGTGGTAACCTTCCCAGAGACACGACAGACAAACTACGGGCGTGGTTTGACGACCATTTATCGCATCCCTATCCTACAGAGGATGAAAAGCAAGAGTTTATACGCAGAACGGGACTCCAAATGAGTAAGTATTTGATACCCTACTATCGCCAACATTGAGACTCCAGGCTAACAATCTCGCCCTCAAGACCAAATCTCCAACTGGTTTATTAACGCCAGAAGACGCTACTTACCACTTATCAAGAAGAAGATGGCTGAAAAGGCGGCAGCTGAAGCCAAGGCGGCTTCCGAAGCCCTCCAAAATGGACAAGCTATAAGCAGTGAAAGCAACTTTGCCGCTTCGCCAGCTATCAGCGACGGCACAGCCTTTAGCGCTACTAGTGATGGTACAATCTACAGCGCCGCTAGCGATGGCACAATATTCAGCGACATTGTCAAACATGAGGCATGAAGCGGAACTTTTGCGGGGAAAAGAACCACCATGAAGAAATAGAAGACGGAAGAGACGTGAAAAAAAAAGAAGAAAAGAAAAGAAAGCCAAAAAAAAAAAAAAAAAGGAAGCCACGAAATACAGAAAGTGGTTTGGCGAAATGATATCACGACATTATACAATGATCGGTGGAAGCGTGTTTTCATGTCTCGACAGAGGCTTTTTTTTCTGCCCCCCCGGTTTGTTTATTCCGGTTACTACTACATACTTCACAGCGTGGAGTGGGCGTTTAGGAAGGCAAAGGGTAATCTAATAGGTAACTGGATATGATTGGCTCCAAAGGACTATATACTTTTTTCTTGTCTAGAGGCGGGAAAGAAGGATTACTGGGTATCGATTTATAGGGCATTTGGGCTCGCGGCGATTCTTGAACAAGGATACATCCGCCGAGCTCTCTTTTTTGTTTTTAAAAAGTTACTTGCGAAAAGAAACACCACAATCATGGTTTCACTTTTAATTGGTTTACGCAGCCATCTCATCTTCTTTAGAGTTCTTGCTCAATTGGAACTATTTGACGTGTTATCTTGCTTTGGTAAAATAATTTGACGTGTGATATGGCGCTTTTTTCCCCCTTCAAACCTGCCAAGTTTTTTTTCGCTTTAGTGATGATGATTAATTATATGAGTAGGAGGGTATTTGGGGGAGGCGAAAACAAATAATGATCAGCCTTCTCTTTTTACCAAGCCTCTTTCTTTTACAAACTACTTGATATGGTTTAGATTTTCGGAGTTTGCCTCGAGGAGAAAGACTATGTACCTAGGTAAAAACTCTGTTTACGCCTCTTTTTTTTTCTTCTCGGGTCAGCCATATGGCGGTTGATGATACTATGGGAGGGGTTTACAGTTATAGTGTAAGCCGGTTCGGCGCGGACTTTAAGCCCCCGGAGCTTGGCACTGGGAAGAAACAATGAAGAGAAAAAAAAGTGTGTTCCTTGGAGTAGCGTAAAGTTTTTTTTTTTTTTTTTTTGCTAGTTGGAAGGATTTTACTTATTTATCTTTATCTATTCATTCATATTTTTTTTTTATCCTCTGTCAGAAGTCAAATCTTTGCCAAGGAAGAGCTGAGTGAGAGTTGTCTTTGGTGGCTTTTTGGTCTATAAAGTCGGCGGCGGCGGGCACTACTTTGTGTATGATATGGCTTGCGCGCCAATTGGGGGATGTAATCGCGCACTGCCGTATTAAGAAGTTGGTCTGCAGGCGGTACATTTTTTTTTTTTGGACTACACAAAGATTTAGATCCCGTATTGTCTATCCGTTTAAATGTTGCGTAAAAACGTGGATATGTGGCGGCGGTCGTCTACGTGGGCGCCGCCAAGGGCATATGATGTAGTGCTATAGGCCATCGGCGTATGTACTATTAGTTTAGTATTGGCCTCACTCGAAGTAGGCAATTCCTAGAGAAAAACAAGAAAATTCGCCTAGGAGGGAAGGGATCGGAAAATGCTACCATGGCTAGGATCAAGGAGGGAAAAGATTCACCCTGGGCCATGCGGCTTGGCACAGACAGCCTTTGAACTTTTTTTTTTCTTTTCCTTTTGCCTTTCGGCTGCACTGGGTGAGAAAAAGCCCAAGCCCAGCTGAAGCTGATCCTAGCAATGATTCGGTGTAGCATGCTGTATAAGTGACATTCTCTGCTGCGTTTTACCTTGCAGTTCGTATTGCGATGCTCTTGGGAGGGGCAACGGTGCGAAAGCCGGGCCAGTGCAAATAGACTATTAGCCGAGGAAAATAGTGTTATCAAACGAAAACCGTCACGGTGCTAAATACTGGTTTGCTGTTTGGAGCTTCTTGTGCAGTAGCCAAAAGATTAACGAGCGTCAAAGGGGGGGACTAATGCGGGAGGCAGAGTTTGACAGCAGCGGTGGGCGAATCGTAGCGCAAGAGATACTTTGCACGCGGCCGCTGCATGGTTTGATGGAGGGGGCCGAGACTTGATGGACGCGCAGTCTGACTGCTGCAGGCTCAAGACAGAAGGGAAAAAGAAGGGGAAGAGCTGGATGTGAGGTTAGGGGGGGATGTTTCGGCGATCCATGGCATGTAACGTGCTATTCCGGTAAGCGAACGCGTCACTCGTACGAGAGGATTTTGACAGATGCTGCTTGTATAAGCCATCTGTAAGACTTGTGCTCCGTGCTCTGTGCCGTGGACGACTGACAGCAGCGTATATGCGCTGCTACGAAGCATCAGCGAGAGGCCAGAATCGGGCATCGCAAGGGCTGGGACCGCGGCAAACGGGGACGGATATGGAAGGTTGTCCATGCACACTCAGGGATTATGCCATGGTTGACTGGCGACAGGGCTGCCTTTTGCTCTCCTTGGTGATGCCCGGAACTTACCATGGCCAGGATGAAGAGCTGCTATCCATGCTTGCGCCTAAAGTTGGCGATCCAAGCTTGCATGGGTGTAATGGGTGTGTGTATGTGTATGGCTCGATTCGGTTTATGCGATGAACCAAGCTGGCACGAAGACAGTAGCCACAGTGCTTTGGCTGCTGAAGCATGAAGACGGAATGTCACTGATGGAACGAATCTCGTAGCGTTACGACGGCATGTGCCTATGAGGCAGATCATACGGCGAAGCGAGCCAGCAACAAGCGAGATGGGATAGTACAGGCGCGGACGACTCCATTCTCGCAGCATCACGATCGCTCATGGCGGCATGCACATCTGCTACCTGAATGGGACTGTCTTGCGCAAGACGTCGTGGCGCATCCACCTGCTGTAGAGGTCAATCTCCAATGGCGGAAGCGAGCACTCGACTCGCAGAAATAGGACTGCAAATGGAGCATCGCGGCGCGAATAGGAGGCGAAGGATATTAACGGCATGCTGGATGCTAGTCGTGTTCTTGCCGGCCCCAGTTGTGTGCCCCCTCGCACGGAGAACCTAGGCGTCAGGTACAGTAGTGTGTCTGAGTACTGTACATACAGTATAGTATGATGGGTGCTCGTACGAGCGAGTGCTGTACGTGTACATTGCAGGGCACATTGCAGGGCTAGCAGGCAATATGGACATGACGCGAGGAGCTGAATAAAGCTTGAACAGATGGGATCCAGCAAAGCGTGTGATGGATGTGATGGTGCAGGGGGTGCTTGGAGCTCATGGGTGGCTGTCGACTAGCAAATCCCTGCTGCAGCAGAAAGCTACAGGGGCTGTGCTCCCTGCCATGCAGCTCCAGGGAGTTGGTAAAAGTGTCAAAAAAAGACGCTGCTGGAAATAGCATACTGGCACATCCTTTTGCATGCTCTGTAGTGGCACTAGCCTGGATGGCAGCATCCTTCCGAAGAGCCGCTTTGCTTTTTGCTGCCTTGCCTTGCCTTGTCTCGCCTCGTCTGGCCGTGCTGGGGTCTATTCGATGCAGCGCCAGGTACTATATTCGTGTGGCTGGGGAGGGCGTCAAGGGCGCCAGCTCCTACTGTACGTGGACTGCAAGCTGAGTCAGGACCAGTCAGTACAGGCACGAAGACAGGGACAGCACAGCACAGCAACGCAGCGACGACAGCCACTGGGAGAAGCCGGAAAGGCTAAAAGGGCGCCTGGCCAGCTCTTTGACTTGCGCGCGGCCCTGTCCTGTCCAGTCCAGATGCGTTGCGCGCGGGCGCTTCTCCCGGTTCCCCGAGCGCCCAACTGGCGGCAATCGCTAGTGCGCTGGGAATGGTTTTGACATGTGCGGGAGTGGGACGAGGGCCGGGAAGTGGGAAACGCTGGTGGGCATTGCTGGAGACGTCGATCCAGCGGTTTGCTGTGCGGCTGATGGTGGAGGTGGATGGCGCAGTGCCGCACAGCACAGTGTGCAGGAGCAGAGACAAGGAGAGAGTGGCAGCGTCGCAGAGCAGAGGGATTGCGCTTATGCATGTATGCACGTTGTACATGCGGCGTTATGCGTGTAAGTGATCCGGGCGGGCTGATTGGCCGCCAGACATGCACAAAGTCACCGAATACCACGTCGGTGAGCGCAGGATGCGGTTGATTCCACGTGCTGGGCTGCACCGGACAGGGGCACTGATAGGCATCGCCAGGATAGGACTGCGTCGGCGAACATTCGACGACTGCCAGTGTTGACAGCTGAATCCAGGCAGTGGATTGCCCAGCAGATCCCCTCTTCTCTGGTGCCAGATTTACGGCCGAGACGATGGGTTCAGTGATGCTTCAGAACTGACTAAGCGAGCCGCCAGGGGGTCTTGGCAGCTCTTCGGGGGTCGCTTGGCCGAGCTGGCGCGGCAATCTGGTAAATGCGGTCCGAGCTGCCTGCTGACTACGCCTACGCCGCATGAATCGGGATGCTGGGGCAGCCCCTCTGCAGAAACCGGTTTGGGAAATGAGGCTTGCCCCATCCACTCATTCATCCATTCATCCATCCACCCATTCATCCAGCCCAGCCCGCTGGTCAGTGGCTCTGCCCGCCAGGTGCTGCAAGCCGGCCGTGATTGGCCACCAGACAGCCACAAGCGTTGCCAGCTGAAGCCCAGTTGAGCCACTCAGTTGAGCCACTGGCCTCGCAAACTCTTTCCTCGTCCTCGAAGCTCGTGTGGGTTCTGGGGGTGGTGGCTCCAAGTTTGCGGTTTGCGGTTTGCGGCTGGCCTGGCCTGGGTCGGATCTCGCTAGGCTGTTGCATGGAGGCAAAGTCGCAGTGATCTCGATATCGGCAAAACGTACACCCAGCGCCAGGACTGCCGAATTGCTTTTACAAGTGTGCATGCATAAGCGGTGGCTAGCAGCACATGCCCTGCAGGGAACGGAGCAGTGCCTGTATATCGCAGGTCCTCTGGCCTTGCCCGGTCACGTTTCTGCTCTGCTCATGGGCCTGGCCGCCTGTCAAGACATCAGAGCGCATCGCCTATGATTCGTTTACTACATGCGGAAATTTAACCAGCAGAGACGCCAAAAGAAGATTCCGAGGCCGGGGGCGCCCATGCTCGCCCAAACGGTGCAACGTGGGGGCCATGGGTCCTTGCTGATGCTAGCAGCGTCGACTACGGACACTACGAGCAGTTTGAAGGGCCATGTTGTTGGTACAGCATACT